CGGGCCGCGCATGCCGTGGAACGCTCCTTGGAGCCCCTCCACGCTCCCCGACCCGCGCGGCCAGTTTGCCTGGCGCGAGCGGCGGGTCGCGGCCATGTCTCGGGCGGCCGTGCCTCGGCCATGTCGCGGCCGAGCCTCCGCCGTAGGCTCGAGCAGCAGCTCGCGGCTGTCGCTGCGGCGGGCGAGCGCGCGTACATCGCGGGGCACCTCCCGCCGACTCTCGACTCGTTCCGCAGAGAGCCGATGTGGAACCAGATCTACGCGGACCGCTTCTTTGCGATTGTGCGGCGGCAGATCGGCGCGAGCCCGGCGGAGCGCTCCCCGGCCGCCAGTGCCGGGCCCCTCTGGAGCGGGGACCGGCCTGCGAGCAGGCGTGATCGACGGCCTCTTCTTCAGCCACCTCCACTCCGACGAGTTTCGGCTGATCCCGGGCGTCACCGCCGCCGCCGCGCCCATTATCCACATCATCTCGTCGGTCACGCCCATCTACGGAGGCAACCCGACCGTCTACGAGATGCGGCACGCCGCCGCCGCGCCGGCGGAGGCAGACCGCAGCCGCGGCGTCTCGTTTCGGCCGGTGCGGCTGACGCAGCACGCGGCCCTTCTCGGCGACGCCAGCTTCACCAAGGCGATCACCACGCCCGCCGCCTTTCGCGCCGCCGGCATCTCGAACGGAGACTACGCGGCGGTGGTCGACTCGCTGACCAGCGGCTCCGCGGACGGCGACTTGGCGCGAAAACGTCTGCTGCAGCGACCGCACCCCCCCCACCCCCTCCTCTCACCCCCGCCTTTCCCACGAAGGTGTACCGCGCGATGCACGAAAAGTACCACTCGTGGAATGGCGGCGCAGAGAGCTGCAGCAGCACAGCCGACCGGCTCCAGACTTGCGCGACTTGCACGAATGGCTGCCGCATCGCGAACGCTTGCCTTTACAGGGCCGCAGCGGGCGGCCGTGCCGCGTGGCAGCGCTGCGTGGACACGACGACGCTCGGCGGCGCGGCGTGCAGCGACGACAGACACTGCGGCGAAGGCTTCGGCTGCCAGTGCACGGCCCGGCGCTGCTCGTGTGAACTGGAGCAATAGCGCGCCCGCTCTTCCGTCCAGCGCTCTCGCGATTTATCTTCCGTCTTCGGCGCCGCCCGGCACCGCACTCGGAGCACTTGGACCGCGCAGCTCGCCACAGCTGCCTATCTCCGCAGAGCACAGGCCCGGGGGTCATTCATACGTCTATTGTACTTTCTGTGTTTGGACACGGGTCGGTATCAGGTTACACGCAACACGGAAGAAAGAACTGGTACCGCGAGGAAATTTTCCGTTCTCGTCCGTGTCGTCGTCCGTCGTCGTCCGACTCGCGTCCTCCCCACAGCGGCTGTGCCATAGGCCCGCTCACATAACTCAGTCAACACTCTCGCACAGAGAAAAGTCTTTTTTTGGCACGTGACTCGCTCGAGTGCAGGTGGCCTGTTGCAGCAGCCGCCGCATTTCGGATGTTGTCCCGGGAGTGTCGACACCCTTCGAGGCGATCAGATGCTGGCGATCGCTGTCGCGTGCCTGGGTCTTCCGGCTCCAGTCCTCGTCGAGCCGGAACTGGCGGACAGCCGCAGCGTTCGTGATGGTGCTACTTTCATCGACGAGGTCCTCGGCATGGCCGACGACAAACCCTGTCTGCAGCGCCTCGCTCGCAGGCGCCACCTCCGACTCAACTGTCACTTTGATTCCAGACACTCTCGAGTCTACCTCGCTCGAGTTGTGTGCCCCGCCTGGCGGTCTGACCGTTTTCAGCGAGGCAGCTCTTCACCCGAGCTGCTCATCCACTTCGGTTGGCTTTGAGGTCGCCGGTTCGGTCAGCGCTAACGGCGCCTCGACCCTCACGATGAGCGTCGGCTCGGAGCCGTGGGTGCCACTGCCAAACCTGCTCTCCAACTTCATGATGCTGGTGCTTACGGGTGAGCCACCGCATCAAAACATCTCCCCAGACCCGTTCGCCACTGCACTTACGCACGCCTCCAACGGTCCAACCCCGCACCTCCTGGCCTCATCCCACCCCACGCTCGTGCCGCCGCGCGCTCCGCTGTCGTGCCATCGTTGCTAGAGCTACCCCACGCCCTCACAGGGGAGCTCACGCTCGACGGCGACATCGGCGTGTCCTTCGAGCTCACCGCTCCGGCGACTTTTCCATTGGTGAGGGCCGGCGGTGACGGCGCCCGACAAGATTGTCGAGGTTGGCGCACCCGCCATGTGGATTAGCGGCGAGGACGGCTTCACGATGACAACACAGGCTAGCATCGACAGCGACGGACCACAGCACTCACTCGTGCGCGCAATCCGGGAGGCAACCCTCAATCACGGCCCCCTCCCGCCCCTCTTTCCGACTCATACGTGCTCACGCCCTCGACGTCCCTGCAGTTGCGCCCTTCAAGAACCTCCTCCCGGGCTTCACGACGCCGGAGTGCGAGGCGGACTCAGGTTCGACGGGGTAGCAACCGCCGCCCTCGCTGCCGCCGTCGCCTCCTCCGCCGTCGCCACCGCCCCCCTTGCCGCTGCCCCCGTCGCCGCCGCCGCCGTCGCCGCCGCCGCCTCCGCCGCCTAGCCCCCAACCGCCCTCACCGCCGCCGCCCTCGCCCCCCCCACCCTCGCCGTCGCCCAGCCCGCCGCCTTCGAGTCCGCCGCCACCCTCGCCGCCGCCGCCGTCGCCGCCGCCGCCCTCGCTGACCGCTGCAGCCGGGTTGGCAATGGCGATTGCCTTGAGTGTTGCCAGGGAGAGCAGGTGGCCGTTGGCACACGCGGATTACTGCGCGAAAACAGTCGAAGATCGGCGAAGAATGCCGACGTGACGTCCAGTGCGAGCACAACTGCGATCTGGTCGGGGACGGAGAGACAGACTCGAATATGCTGCAAGATAGACAACTTAATTAAGTGACAACTTCTCCAACCCCTTTACCTCAACGAGAGATTATATGAATCCTGCGAGGCCCAGATGGAGGTGGGCGAAAGGATCCGCTGGGGTAGTGTGTGAACGACGCGTGCGATCGTCTATGCCTGGACCAAAGGCGAGTGCCAGGCACTTGGAGTCTTTGGCTGTTACCACCTTCGTACTCTAATCGTGGATGCAGCACGAGCAGCATGCAGGCACAGACTCAGACAGGGTCCAGCCAGTCTGAGTCTCCAGAGACTCCAGCAGCTCAACCGTGGTCCGTGTTAGTCCACTGTTCAGTCCAAGACAATGAAATTCTTGCGTATGGGTACAAGGTTGCATGCTGATTGCTGTGCTGGCCTGCTGCAGTGTGCAGAGAATCACAAATTCAAAAAGCAAAGCTGCCGGGGCACAGTCCACAGAGGCGAGGGCACAGCCAAAATTAACGAGGCCAGCACAGAAAGAGAAAGGTGCTACGACATGTGTGTCGGGGGTGGGAAAGAGCCCGCGCCCAAAGCAACATTCCAAGTGTGACAACAGCAAGGCTACAGGAAAATCGCGGAGGAGGGGGGGGCTCGGGGGTTCCGGTTGGCGGTGTGTCTCCGCCTGGCGGGTCGCCCGAGAGGGCTCCACGCCACCGGATGCCGGGGTGCACTAAGGGGGCCGTGTTCTCGTGTCGCCGCCTCTTGGTGGCGGTGAGTCAGAACTCGGCCTCGCCCTTCGTCTAGTTGGAGCAGCATTCCATGGTGCAGCCGCACGAGGCGCAGCGGCACGGCGGGAGTCCGGCCCACGAAGCGTCGTCGCACCCGCGCGAGCAGACGTTGTTCTCCAGGTACGTGGTGAAGCAAGCCTGCGGGTTGGCGGGGTACCTGGCGGGACAGGACGTGTTCAGTCGGCGGTTGGCGGAGCGCGGCTTCCGCGACGGTGCGGTGAATTTGAGCGCACATTACGCCGTTGCACTCGTTGTCCGGAACCGGCTCCGGCTCCGGGGTGGGCTCGGGCGGCTCGTTGGTGCAGCACTGCAAAGGGGGGGGGGGGGTGTCAGAGCGCGAGAGCGGAAGACAGGGGCGGACGTGCGGAGGGAGAGTGAGATTCGGGTCGTCACCTCCAGGGTGCAGCCGCACGAGGCGCACTTGCAGCCGGGGAGGCCATCCCAGCCGATGTCGCACCCGTAGGAGCAGACGTTGCCCGGCGCTGCCGAGTCACGGGGAGGGGCAAGGTCATGATGGCCAAGGGCGGGGAGGGACGATGGTCGGTGGGCTGGGGGGGAGCAACGGGGTGACGCGTTTAGGGCGACGTACTGTAGGTGAAGCCGCAGAGAAGCCCGGGTCCGCCGTCTGCTTCGGGCGGCGGGTAGACGACGCCGTTGCACTCGTTGGGGTTCACCGAGAACCCGGTCACGGCGACGACGAGGGACGAGAGGAGGATGCGCATCATGATTGTCTGCGGCGCGGGCGGAGCGGGGCGTGAGCCGTGGCCGGCCGGTGGCCGCGGGTCGTAAGCCGTGGCCGGCGTCCCGGCGGCCCCGCGGTATGTGTGTGTGCGCGCGCGCGCGCAGGCGTGGGCTTTCCGAGCAGCAGCGGTGAGGGTGGTTTTTGACATTGAAGGGGAGCGGCGAAGACCAACTGGGCGTGTCTCTAAGGTGCCCAAGGCCATTCATCAAAGGCGCATGAAAAGGCGGCGCCGTTTTTTTTTGGCGTCTGAGGCCGAGAGGGGCGCGGCTGCTGCCTGCTCCATGTGTGCAGAGGTCCGCAGACGCGTCCGCTTAGCGGCGCCACACCTCTGGGGCGGGTCTCAAGGTGATGAGCACTGTCCACTGATCACACACTGTTCTCTGTTGGCCGCAAGTCGACAACTCTAACACTCACACGTAATTTGGGGCCTGGAGCCCTGTTCACGCGCGCGCGAGACGTGCAGACAGGGTTGCCAGGTGAGAGCGAATGGCGCGGTTCACGCCTCTCTCTCAAGTCGACGCGCTTGGGGCAACGGCCACAATAATGCCAATGTGGCGCTCCACAGCCTCCCAGCGCCAACCGCACCCCGCGGCGCCCTCTCCCGCGGCCCCCTGCCTGTGTGAAAAGAAAACTCGAAACACGCCTGTGGCGGACTACTTTAGACATCGACAAAGACGCGTGGTGTGCATTCCTCAAGAGTCGAACATCCTCAGCCCGCTCCCGACGTCCTTGGCTGGGAACGGGTTCGCCTTAGCGAGCGGTTGCACCGCGGCGCTGGCCGCGTCGAGCCGCGCGACGTCGGCCGCGTCGAGCCTCCACGAGAGCGCGCCCAAGTTATCCTTGAGCTGCCTCAGGTTGCGCGCGCCCGGGATGGGAATCGTCCCCTTGGCGACACACCAGTTGATGGCCACCTGCGAAAGGGTGGCGCCGCCGCAAGAGGAGAGTCGCCTAGTGGAGCTGCTGCTACCACTACGGCACGGGCGGCCGCCTGGGAGGGGGTGGCGCCGTGCTTCTCCGCCGTCTTCGCGACTGCGTCGACCAGGCCAGCGGCGGTCTCGGGCTGGCCGTTGAAGAAGGCCTACCCGAGCCGAGCCGAGATGAGTCGAGCTTGCCCGAGATGTCCCGAGGGAGGGCGGAGGACGGCCTTGGCCAGCTCCGCGCGCGGTCCCTCGGGCAGCTGTTCGGCCGAGTACTTGCCGCTCAGCAATCCGAGGCCGATGGGCGAGTAGGCGAGCACCTGGCGGGGGCAGCGGGGCAAGAGGCATCCGGGGTCGACGGAGGAAGCCGCCTCTAGTCCCACTATAGGGCGCGCGCCTTGACGCCGAGCTGGTCGCACTTGCGCTTCAGCCCGTTCGAGTTTGCGAAGGGGTAGAGCAGCGAGTACTGGATCTGGTTCGAGTAGAGGGGGATGCCTCTCCTCCCGAGCGACGTCGAGACCGCCTCGACTGCGTCGGCGCCTGAGGCGACACTCGTGGACGCGTCATGGACGCGTCGTGGACGGTGTCATGTGCCGCGTCGGCGCCGTAGTTTGAGACGCCAACCGCCTGGACGAGGCCGCGCTCGTAGCAGTCTCCGAGGCCGTCCCAATACGCCTACGAGGCAACGTGCGAGACGCGTCCGAGCATGTTCCCCGAGGAGCAGCAAACTCGGAGGCCGTTTCCGCGCGCCTCGTTGGCCCACGCGTTGGGAAAGTGAATCTGATACAGCTCCATCGAGCTCCTGCCCATGCGCCGCAGCGAGGCCTCGCACGCCTGGACGACGTCCTCGCGCCTAGTAGGGAGCATCCGAGGAGAGGCTCCGAGAAGGTTGTCGCCGACGAGTGCGCCTCGATGGCATCTCTCGCGCCTGGTCTTCCACGGCAGCGCCGCAAACTTGGAGGCAACCTTGACTCGCTTTCCCGACCTGCGCTCAAAGTCGCCGATCAGCATCTCGGACCGTCCGAGCCCGTACAGTTCAGCGGTGTCCAGAAACGCGTCGGGCTGCGAGGCATAGTACTCGAAGAGCTCCTCCAGTTCAAAGTCGAACTTGGCATCATACTTCCAAAAGAGCGAATCGCCCCACGCCCATGCACCGATGCCCATCGCCGGCAGGACTAGAGGTGGAGCTGCGGCGGCGGCGACGGGAGCTGCGGCGACGGTGGCGGCGGACGGACCAGAATCTCTCGGCACAGCCAACGCTTGCGCACCGGCGCCAGCGCCGGTCGTGGCCGCCAGTGCGCCCGCCGCGAGGCTCGCGCCCTGTAACGCGGACCGGCGGCTGACGTCCAGAGTGGCCGGTGCGAGGGCCGCGAGCAGAGGCGGGAGGAACATGTCGGATCAGTCGGCAACGTGACCCCCGCGTGCGAGCAGTGGCCCAAACTGTCGCAACGTGACTGAAGTTCCGAGGAACCTTGCCCCTTTCCTCCCGCTGTGATCCTGTGTCAATACAACGACAGCAGCAACGACAGCTGGTGACAGCTGTGACAGCTGGTGACAGCTGGTGACAGCCACAGCTGCCAGGGAGCAGGGAGGAGTGAAACGCACCCAAGAACAGTGACAGCCATAGTGACAGTGCCAGTGAAGCCAGTGAACGCCAGCGACAGGCGGTCGGTGACAATGTCAGCGCGGGACCCTGCGAGTGAGTGACAGCGACAGCGACAGCGACAGCGACAGCGACAGCGACAGCGAGGCAGCGCCAGCGCCACAGTGAGGCAGCCATAGCCCTAGTGACAGGCACCAGCGAAGGGGCCCAACCGCCCACCCACCCATCTGTGCATTACACCCCATGCGCCATTGGACTAAAATAAGTAAGACACCGGTGCGCGTGGATGTAGCTCTCAGCGCTTGATGCACAGCAGCGTTTGTACGCGGTCTCACACGTTTTGCAAAACTCCTGCTCCTCTACCTCAGAATTTCTCTGTGTAGGGCGAGCCTGCTTTCTTATAGCAGAGCCGAGCTCTCTACATGAGAGTTCCTGATCAACGCCAATAGAATTTTGTGGCTCGGCAATGGCCAAGAGGTTCAATACCCGAGGTGTGTTGCTCAATGCTCTGCGCGTTTGCTTGCGATCGAGTTTGTTGCGATCGTGGATTTCAAGGTCCCAATCCTCGCGGTTGATGATTGACGCCGTTCGCTCGCGTGAGATTTTTGAGCGGCAGATGAACCAGCGCTGGAGCCCATCACGGCACATGCTGGAGGAAGGAGGGCAAGGGTTTTGCAGATTCTGTGACTCACGCCCGCTGCTGCTGACGGTGCGTGGCTACTGTTGAGAGGGTTTCTCATGTGGCGTCGGGCGTGCGAGTGAGCGGTCGCGCGCGCGTGCGTGGTATATCTTGAGTGTCCTGTCTCTCTCGTTAGTGGCACCACATCCCATTGTGACACTCGTCCTGCGGGGGTGCTCATGACACCTGAGAGACAGTAGCAATGACAGCAGCAATGACAGCAGCAACGACAGCAGCAACGACAGCAGCAACGACAGCAGCAACGACAGCGATGACAGCTGGTGACAGCTGGTGACAGGTAGGTGTCACTGTCGTGTATCGCGCGCCTTGCGGGGGGGGCGCGGAAAAGAGGAACCTCTTAGCGCCCTCGCCATGGTGCTGCAAGCAGCGCCGGGCGACGACGACTTACCGCCTCCCGGTCCCCCTCGGCACACCTCCGCTGCTCAATGTTTGACGACTCGAACCCGTGAAGCTTCCCCGCGCGCGGGTTACCCCGCACACGGGTCAGCCTGCCAGCCACAAATCCACGCAAGCGTGGTCCGCGCGCATGGCATACAGGCGTCCGCCAGACAGCGCAGAGGCTAGGCGACCGGGGAAGGACTAGCTCAAGGGCAACACAGCGTCACCAGCCGTTGGCGCGCAGAACGAGTCAGCGGCCCCCGGTTGGGACGAGTGCGCGACGCGGACGAACCGCTCAATGTGGCCGGCAGCTCGCGCTGCCGGCGGGGTTGGTTGGGGAGAACCGGCACGGGGAAGGCCGGCCTCCCCGAAAGGGGATGCCGCAGGTCGCACCTCATATTCACTGTTTGCAACCTCGCCGTGTAGATATTTGAATATCTTGGTGACACGTGTGTTACAGACAGGGGCTGGGACCCACCCATGAGAGCGCCGGCCATTGTACTTGTTCACCATTCTCAACCCATTTTGCCTCATGGAGCCAGTCGAACCCCGGTCCCAACGAGATTCGAACTGGCAGCCACTCGACGACTTGATGGGTCGCAGTCTCGAACTGCATGTGAGCGCTTGTCGCTGTCGTTTGTTTGCTTCATGACAGCTCCCAGCTGTCGTGACAGCGGCTAACGGTCGTGACAGCGGCTAACCGTCATGACGTGAAATTTCCATAGTCTCTGAGCTCTGTGTCTTGCTTTCCAACATACGTACACGTGAAAAAAACAAATATTCGGGCCAGATCGCCCCTGATCGGCAGTTATCAGGTCGGCCCGGCGCGGACTTGCTGGGCACCCTCTGCCTGGTTAATGTTGCCCTTGCTCGCGATCGCGCACCAGACATTTGTGCCCTCCCCGACCGTGCGTGCGCACGCGCCGGCCGCCTTGCGCGCGCCGGTGCGCTCTATTCTCGTGCCGGCGACTCCGGCCGCGGCTCCGCTTCTCACTCGTGGACTCCAAGCCATGCATGTGAGTGTCGCCGCTGGTGCGTTGCTGGCGCCAGCGGTGGCCGACGGCTTCGCGGCCGCGGCGTGGGGCCTCTTCGACTCATGCGCCTTCACGCACGACCGCATGTTTGAGGCCTCGCTCGCGGTGAGCTGCTTTGTGGCCTTTATCCTCTTCTTCGAGAGCATACACTTGGTGGTCGACCCGCGTGTGTACCGGCTCGACGGGGCGGCGCCGAAGCGGCCTCTCCGCGGCTTCACCACACAGTGGTGGAAGACGGTCGTGCCCGCCTTGACGTACCTCGGATCGATCTACGTCTACCACGAGCTCAGCCTCGGCCAGCTGCTGTGCGGCTCCTCCTCCGACGCACATCTCCGGGCGCGAGCCTCGCCCGGAGGTGACCCGAGACGCGACCCGAGGTAGGTACGGGCCTCCTCCCGCCGACGTGCTCGCGCACGGCCCCGGCGTGCCGACGTGGGGCAGGGTCGTCACCGAGCTCTCTCTCGGCGTCTTTCTGTACGACGCGCTCTTCTACCCCTTCCACCTCTCCTTCCACAAGCTGCGAGCGCGCCGCTGGCGCAAGATGCACGCGCGCCACCACGTGTGGGGCTCCACCGAGGCGGCGGCGCACAACGCCGTCGAGACGGTGCATCACTCGCACCTCGCCGCGGCTCGGCACCGTCCCGGAACCTTCCCCGAACCTTCCCCGGCCCTTCCCCGGCCCTTCCCCGCAGGTGCAGAACTCGTACCTGGACGCGGGCGTGCAGGTGTTCATCAACATCTTCGTGCAGCACCTCTCTCCCTGGGGCTTCAAGCACCCACTCTCGCGCGCGCTGCACAACGTGATTGGTGGTCTACCTCCTGTGCGAGTCACCCACCCTCCCCTGGACCGGAGGAGTCCCCCTGTAGGTGATGGTGGTCTACCTCCTGTGCGAGTCCCACTCCGGCTACGACCTGCCCTTCATGTCGCACCGCCTCTTCCCGGGCCTCTTCGGCGGGCCCGTGGCGCACGAGCAGCACCACCAGCAAGGCGGCGGCTGCAGACCGCCTCACACCAAGCACCAGACACCACTCGCCAGACAGCACGCAGCACCACAGCAGCAACCGCAGCAGCCGCAGCAGCTGCGACTGCGGCGCGGTGTCACTGCGTCCGGTCTGCTGCACAGGCAACGTCAACTTCCACCAGTTCTTCCTCTGGGCCGACCGGATCCTCGGCCACACCCCCACCGCCGAGCAGAACCGAAAGCACCGCGAGGCGCCGAGTACTCTCCCGTCCCGCTTCCCTCGACCTTCCCTCACCTCGCGCTCTCCCCGCAGGCGCTGGCTGCCGTCGGTGCTGCGCAGGACTCTGCGCGCCAGCAGCAGGCTGCTGCAGAGGTTGTGCGTTAGCAGCGCTCCCGTAGGCCCGGAACGGCGGAGTAGCTCGAGGAGTAGCAGTCCACTGTGCATGCATGCATGTTGCAATCGTGCTCCCTGGCATGCATGACTGGTTGTTCGGCCCGACCCCACACTACCGCATGGTGTTGCTGCATGCGCGACGCGGGCAGTACCCCCGAAGTACACGTCGGTGTCGCATGTCGGTGACCGGACACTACGTTGATCGACCCGCACGTGGAGCGTGGCGTGGCGGACCGGGTCCGGGGAGAGCGGAGCGAGAGCTCCCTCTCTACCCCTTGTCCCCACTCAAGGTTATGGGAGCGGCCATAACAGGTGTTATGGCTGTTATGGCTGGCTGCTCATAACACCCCATAACACCTCATAACACCTCATAACACCTCCATCGCTGTTATGGCTGTTAGAGGTATGCCCACCCTACCATAACACCTCATAACACCTCATAACACCTCATAACACCTCATAACACCTCATAGCACTCCAAGTACTCCAAGTGCCCCTCGCACGACACTGGCACGGGACTGGCGCGCACGGAGCTTTAACTACTAAAAGCGGGAGCAGCCAGCTTCCACTTTTTAGAAACCTCTCGAGACATGAGTGGAAAAAGGAAAGAAAAAGGACGTGAGTTAAATTGCGGGAAAGACATAGAAAGACATACAAGTTAAAAATGGAGGGAAGCGTGCAGAGCTGCAGAGGCAGTACGAGTTAGAAACGGGAAGCAAATTGCGTGGGGGGGGGGGGGGGCGGGTGGTCTTGATTGAGCAATCTGAAGCCATCGCTCAGCCTCAGGAGGCAGGTTGATGTTATTGAATTTAACTTGAGGGCAAAAGAGAAAATATTTGGCGATCGATGCCGAACCTACCTCGCGCGAGGCGAAAATTCCAGCGGCGAGCAGTCCGGCGTGGCCTCTCGGGCCATAACACCGTGGACCCGGGACGGCCCTCCCATAGCAGCCCATAACATGTTATGGGCTGCTATGCCCAGAGAGCCATAACACCATAACAATAACTGCGCCTGGGGACAATTTACCCCTCTCTCTACCCGTATGTGAGACGCGCGCAGGGCGCGCGCCGCCGCGCGAGATAAATATTCACAGAAATTTTAGGCATACAGATATACACCGCGTTATAGCGGATAGCGCATAGGCCATAGCGGTTAGCGCGCAAGCTGCGCCATCCAGCGGTGACCAGGACGCAGCCACACGCAGGAGGAGACAGGAGTGTCATGTGGCTGCTGTACTACCCCTTTACCACGCCCTCTCGACGCGAGGAGAGCACGCGAGACACACACACACACACACACACACACACACACACACACACACACACACACACACACCACACACACACACACACACACACACACACACACACACACACACACGCACACACACGCAATGTTCTTTCGCTCCAATCAAATGTAATCAGTCTTCCCCGAGAAGCACTATCTTAAGATTGAGCAATACCCACCACAAAATTCTCACCTGCAGAGTCGCAGGGTCCGGTCGGAAATTAAAGTCAGAGTAGTGTGATATACTACACACCGCTCTGAGACCTCTATGCTCTAACACGTGGTGCACGACACGCGTCTCTCAGTCACAGTCTCACGTCACCAGTGCGGCGGCCCCGCCCGCTCCCGAAGGCCGGTCCCTCTGCGTTGAACGACTGCGCCGTGCGCCCCCCGCCGCGCCCGCGCAACATGGCAGCTCCTCTGCTCGATGAGGCTGCGAGGGTCGGCTGCATCGGCGCTGTACCCACCCCCGGAGTGCTCGTGCACCACGCCACGGAATGAGCAGTTGGTCACGCCGACCCACCGCAGCAGCTGGTTGAAGGCGGCGGTGGAGAAGTCTTCAAGGGGGAGATGGAAAGTGGGCCGGCCTGTCGCGTTGACCGCCTCCAGCATCGCCCGTGTGGCCTCGTCGATGCCCTGGTTTGGGGAGGCCCAGCCCGCAGCCGCCCTCGCAGAGCCGTTCCACGAGTGCCACCCGGACGCCGCCTGCCCGCTCGTATCCCTCCTGTAGCTGACTACGAAGCGCACGCCCGGGAGCAGCGCGACGGCCCCCAGCACAGACCGCTCCCAGCGCACCTCCTTGAAGCCGCGGATGAGGGGGCGGTGCTTTGTCTTGTCGTGCGGGGCGAGGCGGAGCACGACCGAGCAGAGCGCATCGCGCACCTCTTCGCCGTTCACTCCGTACCACGGGCTGCGGCTGCTGCCGCTGTACCCTTTGAAGTTGAGGTGCTTGAGCTTGGAGAGGGGCGCCTGGTGGCGGGTGAGGACATAAGCGAGAGGGTTCATCATGCCGTAGTTCTCTCCGGAGATTTGTATCTGCGGCACGGTATTGAGCATCGAGAGGATGGTCGTCGAGCCGGAGCGGCCCGTGCCGAGGATGACCAGCCACGAGTGCGAGGCGCACTCGTGCATGACGCGGGCGCGAGTCGTGCGAGTCACACGGCCGACGAGATGGCCCGTCGGCGCCCGCCGTGTGTTTTCGAGTGTGTTTCTCACTCGACCTAGGTCGACCCGGGCGCGTTAAGAAAAACTTCTTTTGCGCGCCAGTCGTGCCTAGTAAATTCCGCAAAATTTCTTTTGTCGCACAATGTGTGCGCAGTGTTGTTCGAGGAGTCCTGGTTGCTCCTCGGGCCCACTAGGAACTTCCTAGCCTCTTATGCGGGCTAAGTCGCTCGCGTGGGCGGATGCAGCCCACCGTGCCGAGGGAGCGCTCCTCAATGGAAATGTCAACGGTGCGCTGCGCGCTCTCGACGAGACGGCGAGAAACTCGCGGCGCAGCGACGACGAGGTCCGCGCGCTATACAGCCGGCTGATGAGAGTCGGCAGGGATAGCACCGATGCGCCGGCGGGCGCTGTCGCGCGGCTCCACGAGCACATGCAGCAAGCCGCAGGCGTGGGCCCTTCGCCGGCGACGGTCCACCTCGAGGTGGCGGCGGAGGTGCGGCGGGGCCGCCTCGAGGGCGCACTAGCTCTCCTCGCAGCCGTGGCTAGCGGAGGCCTCGTAGCGCCGAGCACTGGCTCGTTCGATCTGATCGTTCATGCTGCTGCCGCTCGCCGCAACCGCCTGCTCGCGTGGCACGCGTACCGCGCCCTACGCCGGGCGAAGCTGACGCCCTCCGCCCACACGCTTAACGCTCTGATGAAGGCGGAGACGCGCGCACGCAGGTGCGAGACCCTCGCGAGGCGCACACGGGGCACACAGACTCTCCGACGCGCCCTGTCCGCGGCCAGGCCTCAGGCGGCGCTCCGCCTCTTTGCGCGCGCAGACGCGGTGCCCGCTCGCGGCTGGGTCGGCTCCCCGCCAGACGGGTGGTCGCTTGTGGGCGCGATGGCGGCGGCGGCGGCGGCGGACGAGCCGGAGTCCGTCTCGCTCTTCTTCGAGCGGCTGCTGCGCTCCTCCTCAGACGAGGCAGAGGACGGCGGCAACGGTGGCGACGTTGGCGGCGGCGGCGGCCGCGGCGGCGGCGACGGCCCTTCACAGAGTGTCGCAGCGTGGAACATGGCTCTGCGCGCGCGGCTGCAGTGCGGCGATCGGGCGGGCGCGGTGCGCTGCGCACTCGTCAACGCTCTGCACATCACGCTCAACGGCCACCGCAACCGTGTCACGCCCCCCGCCGCAATCGTGTCACGCTAGGTGCGCTTGTACGGCGAGATGCGATCCGCCGCCCTCGAGCCGGCTTCGGGCGTCGTTGCGCCGCGACCCGCCACCGACACCCTCAACACTCTGCTGGCCGGCTTTGGCGGGAGCGGCGACGGCGGCGCTGCGGGCAGGCCACCGCCGAGCGAGTGGCGGTGGCTGCTCAGCGACATGGGCAAGTTGGGCGTGGCTCCGGACAAGTTCACTCTCGCGACGCTGCTCCGGCTGCAGACCGACCTCCGCCGCACGCGCGACGTCTGGCGGTGGGGCCGCGGCCGGAGGGTGCGCAGGGACGCGCGCACGTGGCACCACCTGATCGAGGCGAGATGAGCCGAGATGAGCCGAGATGAGCCGAGATGAGCCGAGATGAGCCGAGATGAGCCGTGGCACCGCCTGCTAGCCTCCGGTGTAGTGAGAGGCCGCGCGGAGGCCTCCCTCGGACTCCACTCCCAGCCTTGTCTACGCCCGCACGCAGGCGTACATCGAGTTTGGCAAGCCGGGCGCCGCGCCCCGCCTGCTCGGCGCCATGGCGGCCGACGGGGCGCGGCACGGCTGGGGCTGGCACGCGAGCGGCGCGCGCTCGAACAACCTCTACCTGCGCTCGCTGCTTGCGGCGGGTGAGCCCGCCGCCGCCACGGCCCACTTCGAGCGCTGGTCAGCCGTGACGAGCGGCGAGCCCCTCGCGCCGTCGCTGCCGGCCGCCCGCTGGCGCCGCCCCGCCTCTAGATGCCGAGAACGCACTCTGGTGGCTGCACTCCCACGAGGCTGCACGAGAGGCTGGGCGAGAGGCTGCACTCCCACGAGGCTCTGGAGGCGCTGCACGAGACCGCATTCCCACACCCCCGTCCCCTTCCCTCCTGCCCCAGGCTCCGCACTCCGCCGAGCGAGCCGCCAGACGCGCACTCGTACTCGATCGCGCTGACGGCGGTGCGCGCGGCGGCTCTGGCAGCGGACGAGGGCTCGGCTGAGCGCGGCCGCGGCGGCGCGGCGGCGCGGCGGGAGCGGCGCGAGAGCGCGGCCAGGCTGCTGCAGCGGGGCGTGGAGGCGGGCACCTTTGGCGGAGCCGGCGCCTCTCCGTCGGGCGCCGTCGCTCACTCGGCCATCACGGCGTGCGGAGGCGACGTCGCGGGCGCGATCTCCCTCTGGCGGGAGATCCGGCCGCTCCTCCGCTCATGGCGCCGCGAGGCCTCTGGCGGCGCAGAGGAGGAGGCGGCGGCGGAGGCGGAGCGGGCGGCGGCTCACGCCCTCCTGCGAGTGTGCGGCATCGGCGGACCTAACCGACGCGGCGAAGACGTCGCGTGGACTGTCGGGTGACGCGTGCCCGACGTGCCCCCGCAGGCGGCCGGCCCGACGAGGCGCTGCGCGTCGCCTTTGCGCTGCGGCAGGACGGGCTCGAGCCGGACCGCGCTTGCTTCAGCGCCTACACAAACGGCAAGGCGTCGGCGCGAAAGACTCGAGCCGCGCCGCGCCGCGCCGCGCCGGTTGTGCGGCTGAGCGACGTCGCGCGGCTCGCGGCGCCGGGCTACGAGAGGCTGCTGCGGCTCGAGTGCTGCCCAGAGACGGTGGGCGGAGGCAAGCCGCTCAAGATCCGGATCCAGCTCACGGCGCCAGAGGAGCATCAGCAGGAGGGGGTCGTGGGAGGCTGATTGTAAGTGCGCCGACACGCCAGTTGTATTCAACATTCACACGGGAGACCATGATCTGAGTGGAGTCGCCGGGTAAAGTAGACCATGATTTGAGTGAGTCGCCGGGTCGTCAGCCGCGCGCAGGCGCTCTTCCGCGTGGCCGGGCGCGAGCAGCGGCAGCCGCCGGCGTCGCAGCCGGGCCGCGAGCAGGAGGAGGCGCAACCGCAGCAGCAGCAGCAGCAGCAGCAGCAGCAGCAGCAGCAGCAGCAGCAGCAGCCGCAGCAGCAGCAGCAGCCGCGGGCCCAGCAGGACGGGTCCTCGGCGCTCGCGCGGTGGTCGACGTCGCTGCTGCAGGTGATGTCTCTGAGGCCATCGCCGCCGTCGCAGCCGGCTGGAGGAGCTACTTCCGAGCCCGTGAATGGCGAGCAGCAGCAGCAGCCCGCATCCCGCATGGCATCCCGAAAGAGGCGATGAGTGGCGGTCGCGGCGGTGTATATGAGGTGGAGCGACCACCCACATGAACACGTCTTTACATGAAATGGCGTTACATGACATTTGCAAGCACATCCCGCCGACGAATCAGAGAGAGAGAGGTTTTTAGCAATACCAGAGAAGTAGATTTTTCCCTTGATTTTCCGCCGCTCTTTTCCGTGTCAAGGCGGGAGCGACACATTTTCTGCTGCGAAGCTAAACTCTTCTCGGACGGACGAAAGGAGTCTCGCCTGTCCTCCCTGCCGAAGAGGAGAGCAGACACAGGCGATTCAAAGGTCGCTGCTCCCTGAGACGGCACAGTCTGGCCGCAGCGACGCGTGCCGCGAGCGAGAGGCTGACTCGGAAGACACAGTCGAGGGCTAAAGACACTGTCGGCAAGCAGTCGGCGGCACTATCGAGTGGCTAAAGTGGCTGAAGGCCAAAGCCGCTGCTCCAGGGCGTCGAACGCGCGTCGAGCCGCAGCGGCATCCGACCGATGGTGATGCTCGGCGGCGCCGGTGGCGCCTACAGAGACTTCTTCCACCCGGAGAATGACGACGCCCTCTCGGTGCGAGCACTCTGTGATCAGACCGCTGAGCTCGGTGCGATGCTCTATAGCTCGATGCTGCGACGCTGCGGCGTACGGTCACCGATGCTGATAGCTGAGGCAAGGTACCGAAGCCGAAGTGTCCGGCGCAAAGTTGCGGATTTGCAGTAGGGCCTGCTTTGTACCACTGCGCGGAGGTTGTACCACTGCCCCTCCGAGCCCTCCGGGCACTCCATCCCTCATGACCCCTCCCGAGCCCTCCCGAGCCCTCCAGCGCCACCCTCGTGCCTCTCTGCCCTCCGAGCCCTCCGAGCCCTCCGAGCTCTCCACCCCTCCCGAGCCCCACCCCTCGCGCTAGTGACCCTCTTGCCGGACGACACCCTCCGAGCCCTCCAAGCCCTCCAAGCCCCCCGAGCCCTCCAGACCCCTCCATCCGCACAGCCCCTCCGGCCCCTCTAGCCCCCTCCGACCCCTCCAGCCCTCTCTAGCCCTCTGGACCCCTCCTACGCCTCGCTTTTGGCCAGCCCTCCAAGCCCCCACCCCTCCTGGGCCCTGCCGCCTGACACCTCTATCGGTGGAGGGCTTTAGGTCACGGTCCGCACTCCCGCCCTCCTGACCCCTCCACACCCCTACAGCGGCACCCCTACCCCTCCCGCCGTTTTAGGGCCTGCCCACCCGCACTCGATGGTCGTCGTCGTACGTGTTTCGAGATCTGCTATGAGGCTGACACCGGCACCAGCCCCGAGAGCGAGACGCGCGACAGCGGACAGGAGATCCACGCGGTATGGGTGGACGCGAGACAGATGACGACGACAAGCGAAGATGAGCGATACACAGACACACAAACTCAAAGACTGGTCCCGCCCTCTCCAAAAGAAAACATGCTTCTCCGGCGTTCTCCGTGTCTTCGTGGGTAAGGTCGAAGGGGGGACAAACTTGCACCTTCCCTTGGAGAAGCACGTCGCGTCTCGCAGTCTCCGCTCCCCACCTTTCGCGCCCTCAACCATGGCAGGCATGCCCCCGTACACCAAGTGTGATCTGAGCATCCAGGCCCGCTTCGCGGAGCTCCCCCAGGGCGGCAAGATAATGGCTGAGTACATCTGGGTCGGCGGCAACGGTGAGCTCCGCTGCAAGACACGCACGCTCGAGGCCAAGGACGCCAAGGCCGCCCCCGCCGACCTGCCCATCTGGAACTTCGATGGGTCTTCGACCGAGCAGGCGCCGGGCGACGACTCCGAGGTTCTCCTCAAGCCGTGCGCCGTCTACAAGGACCCCTTCCGCCCGGGGAGCGACAACATCCTTGTGCTTTGCGACTGCTACAAGCCCGACCCCGACGGCCCGCGCGGCCTCGGCGAGCCGATCCCGACCAACACGCGCGCCGAGTGCGAGAAGATCATGACCAAGATCAAGGCGGCCGAGCCCTGGTTCGGCATCGAGCAGGAGTACACCCTCTTCGAGCCCGACAAGAAGACGCCGTACGGCTGGCCCAAGAACGGGGAGCCCGGCCCGCAAGGGCCGTACTACTGCTCCATCGGCACCGAGAACGCCTTTGGCCGCGCGGTGTGCGAGGCGCACTACAAGGCGTGCCTCTACGCTGGCATCAACATCTCGGGCATCAACGGCGAGGTCATGCCCGGCCAGTGGGAATACCAGGTTGGCCCATGCACCGGCATCGAGTCGCCCGACCAGTTGCTGGCCTCGCGCTACCTGCTCATCCGCGTGTGCGAGCAGTATGGCGTGGTGGTCTCCTTCGACCCGAAGCCCATCCCGGGCGACTGGAACGGCGCCGGCTGCCACACCAACGTGTCGACCAAGGAGATGCGCGCCGAGGGCGGGTACGAGGCCATCAAGAAGGCGATGGAGCGTCTGGGCGCCCCGGGCAAGCAGGAGGAGCACATCCAGGCATACGACCCCTCTGGTGGCCTCGACAACCAGCGCCGCCTGACGGGCGCGCACGAGACGGCCTCGTACAAGGAGTTCTCCTGGGGCGTCGCCAACCGCGGCTGCTCGGTCCGCATCCCGCGTATGACGGAGAAGGAGAAGAAGGGCTACTTCGAGGACCGCCGGCCCGCCTCTAACATGGACCCGTACATCGTCACGGGCAAGATCATGGAGACGACCGTGCTGCCCGACTTCCAATAGGGTGTTCGTAGCGCGCACCGCGTTATCTCCCCCTCTCCGCAGCGAGAGTGAAGTCGCCTTGAGAGTAGTCGCCCTGTGAAGGGCCGCGCTGGTCAGGTGCCTCAGGTCGGGTGATCGATCGCAGCAACTCCATGCAACTCGCACTCTATCGCACTCACCTCTCTCACCTGAGTGTTAGCTCTGTTTTGTAGTCCTGCTAGTCTTGCGCATTGCTGCACGCGTGTGCAAATGCTAGATCGTAGAAGGGACCAAAGGATTTTTCGATATCGCTCTGCCGCTCCGCGCCGGTCCGTCCAGACCAGGACCACGCCCCCCGTCTCGCTCGCTCTCGGCTCTCGCGTCACGCGTCACACATCGCGTCGGCTCAGAAGCGTGCGCACGGGGGTCGGGATCTGTGAAGTCGGAACACGGAAGAGCCTCGGGACCCTATCTTACAAAATAAAAACGGAACAGCTCGGCTCTAAATATACCGCGTACTGTCTACTGTGGAAGACGGCACGGATGTAAAAAGCGAGGAGCACACACTCAGCAAGGGCCAATAAGTCCCCGCCCATGCGGTCTTCCGTTTGTGCAGGGTTCTTTCTTCTTTGTGTGGGGGTGGTCGGCGACTACGACGTACTACGGGCCGGTAGACTACGCGGCCGGGACCCCCGGCTGGCGGTGCCTCTGCGGAGTCTCCCTCTGCATCGCCCAAAACTAAACTGGGTAGCGGCTAGTGGTTATCTCGCGCCAGCTGCTCTGCCACCCGCTTGTACCTCGTCGCGAGCTCGAGGCAACCCCCCGTCTCCAGCTGGCCGACCGTTGCGCGGTAGATCTCCTGCCACGGCGTCTGGCTCGGCAGCGGCGGAGGGACGTGCTCCGCCCACCGCGCCTAAGGGTGAGGGGGGGGGGGAGGAGGGTCTCCCTTTGGGGGCGAGGTGCGTGCTCCGCCCGCCGCGCCGCTCTCTCCTCCCCGCCACCTCCATTCCTCTCTCCTCTCAGCCCTGCAGCCTCCCCGCTCTCTCCTCCCCTTCCCCCCCCCCCCGCCGCACCTCGAGCACAGCCGGAGTGATCTCTCCTCCGTCGGCGCAGCGGACCACGTCGAGCGACCCGGCGGCCACGTCAAGCCGCACGGTATCGCCCGTGCGCAGAATGGCGAGCGCCCCGCCGACGGCGGCCTCGGGCGACGCGTTGAGGATCGACGGCGACTCGCTCGTGCCTAACAACAGCTCGTGCCTAACAACAGCCGTGCTCCGCCGCTGCAGCGGCCGTGCTCCGCCGCCGAATCGGCCGCGCGGGCGCATTGAAGGCCAGAGCGACCTCCGAAGCGGCCGGCGGGCGCGGCATCTCGGCTGCATCTCGGCTGCATCTCGGCTGCATCTCGGCTGCATCTCGCGCCCGACTGGCGGCCGTCGCCGACGGTGGGCAGGTGCGCCACGCCTAGATCTCGGGTGATCTCGGGTGGTCTCGGGGTACTCTCGAGGACGTGGTAGGGCAAGTGGTCCACGCCGCGCGAGATGAGCGCGTCGGGCGGCTGCATGTTGACTACCTCCGCAGAGCCGGGGTAGCCGACCGGCCCGACGTACCGAATGAAGAGGATGCAATCCTGCTGACCAGAGTCATGTGAGGCGACCGGACCGTTGAGGACAGGAGGTGCCGGAGGAAGGGGGCGCGGTCCTCGTCGACGGCCAGCTCGGGGTCGTTGATCCTGCCGTGGTAGTCCTCGGGGCCCTCAAAGACGATCGCCCGCGCCTCCAGCACGCCCTCGCGCCTGCAGGGAGGCGCGGGGAAAGGGTGCGAGAAGGCCTCCAGAGGGAGCACGCCCCGAGGCCCTCGCGCCCCGCGCGCTGCAGGAAGCGCTTCGTGAAGTCTTCGGAGATGACGCACCTGTCTAGATGGTGGGGCAGAGTCGAGAGGTGCGGATGTCGGGAGGTGCGGAGAAGTGGAGGTACGGGGAGATGTCGGGGTGTCGGAGAGGCGACGCACGTCTTGAGCAGCGCAGAGTCGAAGAGGTTTCCTACAGGAGGCTCCGAGAGGGTCCGAGAAGGGGCCTCCTCCTGAGCAGCGCCGAAGCGACGAAGCTACCCGACACCACGCGGAAGCCTAAGGAGGGCGGCGCGGACGTGTCACGGTCGCGGGCAGAATGCGCCTCAACACCGACACGAGCGCGGAAGCCGGCGCGCGCGCGGAGCGGAGCTGCGGCGGTGCGGATGACGTCCTGAGGGAGAATGCGGCGGGATGTCAACAAGGGAACAGGTGCCAACGCAAGAGAGGGGCGGGGCCGGGCGGCGCTTCCTCGTCGAGCGAGCGCCGCGCGCCCACGTTCTCCGCCACGCTGCGCCCGGTCACCGTGAGGGGCGCCTAGCCTCAGCCATCGACTCGCGGATGAACGGAGAGGAGTGGTCGGCTTGCGCCCTGGCCGCAAGGGGGCGGCCCCGTCCAGCAGCCCGGCCGCGAGCAGCTCCCCCATGACTGCCGGCACGCCGCCCGCACGGTAGAAGGACTCGCAGAGAAACTGGCCCGACGGGATGACGTTGACGAGGAGGGGCAGGTCGTGCCTACCGCGCGGAGATCGGGGGGGGGTGGTGCTGGCGAGGCGAGGCGAGGTGTGGCGAGCGAGGGGGCGCGTCGTTCCCGTGCTCGTCCCAGTCGCGCACGGACAGCTCCGCCTGCGCATGCCGAGCGATGGCCTGCAGGAAGGTTCCAGGAAAGGTCTAGGAAAGGCCTTGGACATACAGCTCCGCCTGCGCAGGCCGAGCGATGGCCTGCAGGAAGGTTCCAGGAAAGGTCTAGGAAAGGCCTTGGGACATACAGCTCCGCCTGCGCAGCCGAGCGACGGCCTGCAGGTGCGGCGGCGCGTTGGTCGAGCCACCGATGGCGGTGTTGACCTGCGCAAGACGGGCGCGGTCAGCGGGACAGACTGGCATCTCCAAGGGACCTCCGGCGACGTCTCGCTCGCCCGGATCGCGTTGAGGAAGGCGGGCCGCGTGAGGATGGCGGACGGGCGCAAATCCTCGTGCACCAGCCCGACGGCACGCTGCCCCGTCCGATAGGCGTACTGCGCGCGCTCGCGGTACGGCGCCGGCACCGCGGCGCAGCCTGGTGGCGATAGATGGCCTTGAAGAGCGGTCTAGGAGGTGTCCAGGAGGTGTCCAGGAGGTGTCCAGGAGGTGTCTAGGAGCTGCCTGGCAGCGACATGCCGAGCGCCTCTGCGAGCGCGTTCATGGTGGAGGCGGTGCCCATGGTGTTGCAGTGCCTGAGCGACCGAGTCAGCAAACACTCAGTCCAGCCCGTTCCTCCGAGGCGGTGCCCGTGCGGCTGCACTGCCCCGGCGACGGCGCCGACGCGCACACGCGGTCCATAAACTCGGAGTAGCCGATCTCGCCAGAGGAGAGGAGCCGCCTAAGGCGCCGACTCCCCAGTCCGCCCCCCTCCGCCCGTGGATGCTCTCGCCCGACGAGAGCGGCCTCGCCTCCCCTCCCAGATGACAGAGCCTGAGCCCGCCAGCTTTCCCTCCCACCAGCCGTCGAGCATCGGGCCGCCGGAGAGGACGATGGCGGGCAGGTCGGCGGTCGCGGCGGCCATGAGCAGGGCCGGCGTTGTCTTGTCGCAGCCTGTTGTCAGCACGACGCCGTCGAGCGGGTAACCGTGCAGCACCTGATGAGCTCATCAGCCGAGATCTACCCGAGATCAGACGCAGAGGTACAGTCGAGCGGGCAGCCGCGTCGGCACCTCGACGAGACTGAGGTACGAGAGGTTGCGGTCGAGCGCGGCGGTGGGCCGCCTGCCCGTCTCCTGGATAGGGTGGCACGGGAACTCGAAGGGCACACCGCCCGCGTCGCGAATTCCGTCACGCACTCGGCTCGCCAGCTCGACGTGGATCCGGTTGCACGGAGACAGGTCGGAGCCTGTTTGGGCGATGCCGATGAGCGGCCGCCCCGACTGGAGCTCCTCGCGCGTCAGGCCCCAGTTGAGGTAGCGCTCGATGTAGAGCGCGGTCATGCCCGGGTTCTCGGGGTTGTCGAACCACAGCTGTGAGCGCAGCTTGTGTGGAGGTCTGCTCGGACCGCCTTCGGCAGCCTTGGACACCAATCCTCGGCAGAGCTGTCTCGGCGCACCGGTGGCGGCTGTAACTGTACGAGCGTGCCGCATGAGCACGGCAAGACAAGAAGTGAATGGAGTCCACCCTTCTCCGACTGGCGCGGCTACCGTCGGGTACTTATTTTAAGAGCAGGTAAACAGCAATAGATCCGGGTGTAGTGCCGGATCAGTTCCTGGAGCCAGGGGGACCGATTCGCGCTTGCCAAGGGACCAATTGCTAGACACCCGGGCCGGGGGGGGGGGAGGGGGTACAGGGGGGCCCGCACAGGTGGGCGAGCCAAACTCTGGCGGAGGCAGCCCGCTCACCCCCAGGCGCCCCTCGAACCGGAGGGTGGTCTGCCGCCGCTGCGCGGTCGGCGCGCCGAGCGCGGGAGACATATCAGCTTCGCGCCACAGGTGGGGGGACCGATTCTCAGCAAGTTTGGCAGCGCGGGCAGTGTGAAGGATCGATTGCTGTACAACGAGGGACCGATTCCGTGAGGGCTGGGTATCGATTAGGCCGCTTGAGGGCCGGATCTATTGCTGTTTACCTGCTCTTAAAATAAGTACCCGACGGTAGTTCATTCATTCACGAGTTTCGCGGGGGTGCCCCATGCGTCAAACCCGAGACCTGCGTTTGTGCCCCGTTTGTGCCGCGTCCCGTGCCCCCGAGTTCATTTTATATAACAACCCGAGACCTAGCGCGGGTGGGTTGGAGGGGGCTCGCTGCAAGGAAGGGCTGTGTAAGAAGCCAATCCCCGTAGTCCGCCCCGCTCCTCCCCATCGGGCCGCATAAGCGGCCACGCCTTTTTTATTGAGCAGACCGAGTTGAGAGACACCCGCGTTGCCGTTGCGCGTTGGTGTCCAGTCCGAGCCTGACTGTTCTTCGTTCGCCTTTCTATCAATCAATCAATCAATTGAGAGAGAGAAGTCAGAAGAGGCAGGAAGAGAGATAGAGAGAGAGCGAGAGAGAGAGAGAGAGAGAGAGAGAGAGAGAGAGAGAGAGAGGGAGAGGGAGAGGGAGAGAGAGAGTGAGAGAGAGTCAGAGAGAGAGAGAGAGTCAGAGAGAGAGAGAGAGAGAGAGAGAGAGAGAGAGAGAGAGAGAGAGAGAGAGAGAGAGAGAGAGAGAGAGAGAGAGAGAGTCAGAGAGAGAGAGAGAGAGTCAGAGAGAGTCAGAGAGAGAGAGAGAGAGAGAGAGAGAGAGAGAGAGAGAGAGAGAGAGAGAGAGAGAGAGAGAGCTGACAGAGAGTAGGCGGAAAAATGTGCTTGGCGAGCGAGCGGCGTGCGGCGCGGGTGGGGGACTCTGCTCTCTGGGTCTGGCACATCATCAAACGCAACAGACATACAACACAAACAAATGGCTATTACTTACCATCGATACTTACAAGCGTGTGCGAATGCTTATCAGCCACGAAAGGAGAGTGGCCGAGTAGACTCGATCGCAAGATCCCAGAAAGGCACCTCTGCCTCTGTCTGCGCTCTGGACAGGCTGGTCCGCCCCAATCGACCCCTGTTAAGTGACTCGTTCGCTTTCCACCCACTGTTTTAGGTATGTTGTTGGCAAATCAAGACACAGAGCTCACGCAAGATCACAGCGAGTTTGTGTGAGCTCTGTGTCTCCCTTTTCCAACAATGTACCTACAACAAACCTAAAACAAGCGGCTGTTACGGTAATTCGGCCCGCCGAAAATGCCACGTGGGAAGGAGGACGTACAACTCCTGCAAGGAGAACAAACGGCAACGACAACCGCTGGATTCGCAATGACCGCAGACAACGCCCTGGCATTGCTCCAGCTTGCAGTGCTGCTGCTGCTGCCGATCGTTCTGCGGCGAAAATGGCTGAAGTGCGCCGCGGGGCGCGTCAGCGAGGACCTCTCCAGAACTCCGACCGGTGGCCGCCAGAGTTCGCGGGCCGGGAGCACGCTCGAGCAGGAGCTTGGGAGCACGCTAAAGCAGGAGCTTCTGGCCAACAAGGCCGCGCTCGCGACCCTGCGCGCTGCATTCCTCGAGGCGGGCGGCGTCGAGGACGCACATACCGACATTTACCTCCTGCGGTGGCTGACTGACGGGGCCAACCCCGCCGCGGCGGCAGAGAGTCTTGCGGTGGCGACGCGGTGGCGTGCAAAGATGGGTGCCTTTGAGGTCCGCTCGCGCGCGCTGGCCGGCGTGCCGTTGATGAACGTGCGCAACGGGGTCGACCGGCTGCTCGGCGCGATGTCTATCCTCCCCGCCCACCGCAGCACTCGTGACGGCGCTCCGCTGAACATTGTGGTGCATGATGACTTTGACCCTTCGAGAGTGACTGCGGCTCTGACGCCCGAGGAATTTCTGCTGACGATGGTGGCGATGCTGGAGTACAACCTCGCAATCGTCGACGCGCGCTCCGCGGCCACCGGCCGCCTGATCCGCATGTCCTTCGTGATGGACTTTGAGGGCCTCAGCTATCGGATGATCTCGATGCGGTTCCTTACCGGACACGTCAAGCAGACGCTCGGACTGGACTCGTACTATCCGGGCCTCTTCGGTGCCATCGTCTGCGTGAATGCACCGGGCATCTTCAGCATGGGGTACAAGATCGTCAAGCCCTGGCTCTCCGAGGACATCCGCGACCGCATCTGCGTTAATGCTTCGGGCGCCTCGACGGCGGCGGCGCTCGACAAGCTGGCGAGCCCTGAGAGCCTGCCCGCCGCCTTCGGTGGATCGTGCGTGAAGTGCCCGCAGGATGTGGGCGATGCGGTCGGCTGGAGCCTCACCTCCCAGCAGTCGCGCGAGATGCTGCACGCGCGCTCGAAGCTCCGCGGCTATGTCGCGAGCTGCCCTCAGCAGCGAGTGAGTGCGGTGGCAGAAGTGCCGACGCCCACCGAGTCCAAGGTGGTCGAGCAGCCTGCCATTTCCCTGCTGGCACCCCTGAAGCGCCCATGGTGGGCCGCCTGCCTTGCCCGCCCGGCCTCGCCGCCGCCCTCGCCGCTGAGCGCCTGACTCCTTCTCTCGCGCTCCTCCACTTGATTGTTGTGTGCGTGCCCTCTCTCGGCTCACGAAAAGAGACGAGTGTGTCGAGTTGTCCATGGCATGGTACGTTGTCTAGTAAATAATGCAACCTCCTTACTACTCTGTATCTCCCCCGCAATCACGCCCCGACCTTTGTTTCTGTACGCGCACACTCCACTCGGGGTAGTATATGAGTGTCTCTCTATGGATTGTTCCTTACACGGCACGCCATCAGAACGAGAGCTATGTGATATACGGCGAAGTCGGCGTCGGGTGGGTGAGGAGGGAGTCTAAGTGAGGACGACGGGAGACGAGATGCGGCGGCGGAAGTGTCGGGCAACGCCGGCGAGGGCAACGGCCAACGTGAGAATGGCGAAGCCGCGGCGCGCATGGGGCATGCTCGCTGCTTCTGCTTCGCCTGCTGAGAGGAGAGCGACTTCCACGTAAGCTTGCGGGCCACGACTAGGTCCGGATACCGCCGACAAGAATGGCGGCAAATAGCCCGTGTCCACTCCGAATGCGGCGACGCTGGCCGCAACGGCAGTATCCGCAGCGACAGCTGCTGCATGTGCAGCCTTTTGAAGCTCCAGAGCGAGCTGCTTGCCCCGTTCTTCAGCCGTGCACACGCCGCAGGTCCTGAGACATTGCATGAAGATGTAAGACTGCGGACCTCGCTCCAGGCCTGCTGGCGGCGTCTTCCACACTTTGGAGAAGGGGTAGAGGCACGCCCCAATATGCAGCAACGTGCCACAGTCGACCTCGTTGCTCGGGCATCCCTCCTCATGGCAAGGCCACGGCCCCCTGTCCACGCACCTGTCGCAACCGCGTGCCGTGCCGTTGAGTGCAGTCCAGGCATTGCCATCGCCCCAAACTACCGCGCTCTTGTCGCTTGCCAGTCGACCCATGAGCATCGAGGAGCCGCTGTTTTTGGCCGCTGGAAAGTCCGCCACAAAGAAGTATTCGTCGTCCGAATCGGAGTCCTCCACGCCTGTGGCGATTGGTCTTGCCTTCGTCGACCACGACTTGCCGTCTTCGTCCGTGCCGCTCATCACCAGATCGTAAAGTCTCTCTGTCTCGCTCGGCTCCACCCGCATCGTGCGCTCGCAACCTGGATGATTGAGGTCCTCAAACTCGACCATACGCTTTTCACCAAGCAGGTCCGACGGAACTGACGGGGCTGGCACCCAGCGGGCACGCAGCCCCGCATCGATTGACCCAGTTTTGAGACATCCGTCGCAATACCGGCAGACGGTCTTGCACGCCCGTGCCTTGTCAATTGCCATACTCTCGCGCTGGCCAGCTGCTGAGAAATTACCGCGGTTTTCGGGTGCGCTGACACCCCAGACGGCACGGCCGCGTACGACGGATAGGACAATGGGCGCGAGCATCAAGGGCAGTGAAGAGGACGTGCGAGTCTTGGGAGTCCAAGGTAAAAAGCCGGATTCTGCTCCCTAATACTCCCGGATCGCCGCCGCCGGCGTTTCACAGACAGGTTGATAAGAAACAAGAAGCTAACATCGAGACAGGGAGGGTGTGAGAGGCGGACGGACCTAAGGAGGGTCCTTCATCTCTTTATCAACCATCCCTGCCCGAGCTCCCGATCGACAGAGTTGGGTACGATTGCTTGCAATGCTCTTCGTTCACAGATAAATATTATTGAAAGAAGAAAAATAATTCGCGAATGCGCCCCCCACTTTCCTCGCGAAACCGAAAAGCGTGGGGATGACGTCTACGAGGCGGCACTCGGTGCTCGCATCGCATCCTAGCGTCCAAAGCATGCAGTGGCCTTCTGCTGCGTCCGGAGCCAACGACCCGGACCGCCCCGCTGGCATGGGCACGCGGTCGTGGTCCACTGGCGCGATTGCAGCAGCTGCGGCCAGTGGGTCAGTGGCCAGGAAGACAAATTGGCTGTCCTCGTCACCGGGCTATCCAGGCGCCGTTTCGCCCAGCAAAGCTCGCAGGTCGTGGCGCGACGCGGCAGGCGAGCCTGCGGCTGGAATCGGATGCTACACACGCTCATGCTCAACGAGCGCACTCGCAACTGCTGCTGCGCGGGGCTCTGTCGCGCGCAAAACGGATTGGCTGTTCACAGTTGAAGCTCCTCCGGCGGCTGCTCCCACCCGCCGAGCGCAGCCGCTGCCGGCGCAGCACTTGCGCGACCTGCCTGCCGGGATCGGATGCTACACGCGCCACAACTCGTCCTCCACCGGCAGGTCACCAGGCGGCCTGCTCACCGCTGGGCCAGGCGCGACGCACGGTGTGGCCACGCGAACCTATCACGCCCTGCGGCCAGCGTATCAGCACAGCACGCCCTACACGTGGCGTGACACACAGTTTTGACCTCTCGCTTGAAGAAGCGACGGCGCACAAGATTCCTCCGCTGTGCACAGGTCGACCACGATTGTCTCAGTTTCAGATTTTTTGAATTTACTCAAAGACCATCTCTCTTCTTCTTAGTTCTTCAAGGACCGGCAGGGGGGAGTTGTCACCACCCTTCCCTTGGCCAGAGCCACAAAATATGCCGTACGATGAAAAAGTCCTGGGGGCAGGACGACGAGCATTCGCTCTAAGAACTCTCGCGTCTCGGCGCCCGCCGCGCGCCCGCGCCCCGCCCCTTTTGCGCAGCAACACCTTCAATTTCATGGCCCTCAAAAAATTCGGGTCGGAGCGCAGCGCCAGCGGAGTGGGCCCCGAGTTTGAAAAAGGCGACGGACGCTTGCGTCCTAGCCTCCAACAATGCCTCCCCGGCGCAGAGGGGCCCCCGGAGGAATGTACAACGGCTCCGCGCCACGCCGCTTGCGGCGGAAAAAGAAAGAAAGAAAGAAAACAGACAACCCAAGGGAGGGATGGGAGGACGGCACGCCGCCACCACACAGGGATTTTAAGGAGAGGTGTGTGGTGCGCTAGCCGTCGCCCACCCTAGGGAGTCTGCCTCTTCCTATCTCTCTTCGCAGTCTCTCTCCGATTCTCGCTGCAACCTTCATGCCACCTCGCGGTCGTCCCACTCTCGTCGTTCTCTCCCTTGTCATTTCCTTCTCTGTCGCGTCGTTCCCTTCTGCCTCGTCCTGTGACGCCGCCGCTTGCGGCGGAGAAGAAAGAAAGAAAATTCGGCGGCTTTCTTTTCGCTGCTTCTTGGGCCGGCCAACTGGCTCCCGCAAGGGAGAGGTTGGTGTATTCCGCCACGGCCGCTCGACGATGCTCGACCTTCTGGAGAGGGCCCACGCGCTCATGGGATCTGTCGGCGTGTCCCCACCTCGCCTACGCCGGCCGCCGTCGATACCTCCTTCTCCGCCCGCCGCGTCCAACGAACCTCCAGCTTTCGCTTCTTCCGCGTCTGGGTCGGGCGCGTCCTTTGAGGAGCCCAGCACGACGCAGCTGCTCGACAGCCTGCCGCCCGAGGTGTGCCTCGCTGTGCGCGAGGCGCTCCTGAGCCTGCCGGCTCAGGCGGCACAGGCGGACGATGCGCTCGAGCACATCATTGGCTGCCTCTCGGAGCATCGGAAGCGGCGCGGGCGGCAGAGCTCGCCGCGGCGCGGGCTCGAGTTCCTCGTCACGATGGACCCGGGCCAGGACCTCGACGACGAGATGCTGCTCGTGCTTCTCGCGGCGCTGACGCAGCGCGGCGCGCTCTCGCGCTGCCATCGGTTCGCCTCGTGCCTTCCCCTGAGCCGTCTGGGAAGCCCTCCTCTAGGCCTGCTCGCCTGCCGTGGGGTCATCACCTGCCTCGCGCCGGCCGACCTCCGCGCGCAGCTTGCCGCCGGCACGCTGCGCTCGCTCGGCCTCTCGGGCGTCCCCACCGCCGCCGGCACGGACGGCGGCGGCGGCGGCGGCGAGGCGGCCGCTGTCGAGGAGATGAAGAAGGTACGGTATCTGGTGCGAGGGCTGAGCTCGACGGGGGCGCAGTCAGGCCTGCGCGCCGGCTTCGCGCTGATGCGCTCCTCGCTGCTCGCGGCGGAGGACCGGTCGCTTGTCCTGGTGGTGGTGTCGAGTCTCAAGGCGCCAGAGCTGGCCGAGAGCTGGCCGAGAGATGGCCGAGAGATGGCCGAGAGCTGGCCGAGAGATGGCCGAGAGATGGGTTCGCCGAACCTTCCTGCAACCTTCCGGGAAGCCTCCTGCAGGACGCGGCGGAGCTGCTTCGCGAGGAGGGCGCCCTCTTCAAGCGGAAGGCGCGGCCGGTCCTGGCCCGGGGGGCGGCGTGCCGAGCAAGCCGCGGCTCACCGCCTCGCCTCCTTGTCGGTGTGCAGGTGCGGCAGGTCGTCATCCAGGGGGGCGTGCTGCCCTTCTCGCCCGGCGTAGCGGCGGCACCGACGAGCGGCTCGAGGCTCCGACCGCCTGCAGCACCCTTCCCCTGACCCCCCCGCACCCGTTCCCTGCAGGCGGGCGAGATGCTCGAGCCCGACTCTGCGCACAACAACGCCTTTGACGCCGCCTCGTCGCGCTTCTTCTACCACCGCTGCCAGGAGCTGGCCGCCCCGCTCGCGCCCTTCCCAGACCCTCCCGGACCCTTCCCGGACCCTTCCCTGCAGGAGCTTGGCGTGCCTCTCCTCGTCCTCTCCCGCTTCGCCGCCTACGGCTGCCAGGTGCCTCGCCCCTCCTCACAACGAGCGCGACACAAGCTCGCCGCTTCTCGCCGCCGCTTCTCGGCTCACCCCGCCGCACTTCGCCGCTCCTCTCGCCGCACCGCGCCGCTGATCTCGCCCCCGCCGCTCCTCGCCGCACCTCAGGTGCCTCGCTCCACCTACGACGACCTCGCAGCGACGGGAGGACAGATCGGGCGGCGGCTGCAGGAGACGCGCCCTCCCGGCCACTCGGCCACATCTCGGCCACCTCTCGGCCACCTCTCGGCCTCATCTCCGCTGCACCTCAGCCGCATCCTGGCTATCTCCGGCCTCATCTCGGCTGTATGCTCTGCCTCGCCCCCATCTCGGCCGTGTCTCGGCTGCAGGAGACGCAGCGCACGTCGATCGAGCGGCTGTGGCGCCGCGCGTGCGCGCCCGCCGACTCGCCGTCTCGCGCCGGGCTTCCGGTGCGGTGCGACAAGCGCTGGTTCTGTGACACGTTCCTCGGGGGCGACGGGCGCGACCGGGCAGAGGACGTTTCGATCTGGGATCTGGTGAGACTCGCCGAGACTCGAAGAGATTCGAAGAGACTCCCGGGGCTTGGGCCGCGGCGTGCGGTGTGCTCATCTCCGCTCATCTCCGCTGATCTCGGCTGATCTCGCCACTTGCAGGTGCGCGGCTTCAACATGTACGACCCGATCGCGCTCGTCGCGGCGGTGCCCGCGCTGGCGGAGCGCTTCTTCGAGACGGACGACCTCGTCGTGCACGGGGTGCGGCACCGCGTCGTCGGTGCGCCGGGGGGAGGGGAGGCGGCGGTGCCGTGAAGCGACCCCCCTGTCACCGGCCCCGTGCGGCTGTGGGCAGGCGTGTCGGCGGATCGGTCGGGCGTGCGGCCGGGCTCGGGGCTGCAGGAGTGGCTCTGCGCAGCCTTCCTGGAGGGGGCGCGCCTCGAGGTGACTGCCCGGCGCGGGGCCTGCAGCAGGCTGCCCCGGGCCCCCTCCGAGCCTTCTCGGTCCGCTCCCGTGTCAGGCTGCCGCCGAGGAGGGCGAGGAGGAGCTGCCGCGCTCGGGCAGCATGGGGAGGCCTCCCTGGTCTCGCGCCGAGCGAGGCGCCGAGCAGCACGCGCACGCACGCACTGCACGTACATGGACATCGAGACGCACACACGCACGCACGCACACGCACGCACACGTGCGCACGCAGACGCAGACGCACGCGCACGCACGCGCGCAACGAACACGTACCACCCTTTTGCGGCGGCAATGAACACCGTACTCACCCTTGGCGGACCGCCCCGCCCTTGTCCCACGCTTCGGCGTGGGGAGTCCCCCTGCCGTGACGTGTGCTGCTCCCCTCTCCTTAGGCGCCGAGCGGGGCGACTCGCTCGACGACCCGTCCCTCTCGCCGGCGCTTGGCGAGGGCGGGCAGGGCAGCGACACGGTGCATGAGGAGTGAGGCGCGAGCGAGTAGCCGAGGGGACTAGCGCGTAGCGGGCGGGGGCATACAATGCAGCTGTGGCGAGAGCGTGGCCGAAGCCGGGCAGGGCGTTGTGCCTCCAGGCTCCAACGTAGCGTGCCACCGTGCCTCAGGGCACTGGAGGGCGGCTCGTGAGCGTGGCTCGCGCACGGCTGTCCTTTCGCTAGAAGCAACACCATGCCGCGCGGGAATCAGCGCATTCGCATGAAAGCGTGCGCCCACTACACGACAGAGCCCACACACACGAAGTTTTTCTGTCTACTGACGACTACTGTCAAGAATATGCGGCTTTCGTGTTTCTCCGCTCTCCGCACCAGTCCGCTGGACTCTGTGCACACCACAGAACCTCGAGCACCTCGGGCTCGGCGTTCATGAGACACATCGGTTGACGGTTCCCGAGCCAGATCCGACGAGGCGGGCGGCTGGAACCGTGCGGACGCGCCGGAGATACAAGCAAGGAGAGACGCTCATCCGCGCTAGGAGCACTTGGAGCACTTGGAGTGCAGTCGGTAACCTCACATCCAGGGCCGGGGAGCTCAGAAGCGCACCCAGCGGGCCGGATGATCGGCATCGGGCTACGGGCTAGAGAGCCCTGACCCCTAGGTAGGGGGGTGCGCGGTCGCAGGGCCATAACACGGGTCTCCGAGGCGCGAGGGATAGCTCCGCGCTCCGGGTTTCCCCTAGCAGCAGAACGCACCCTCTACTCGGAGCTAGTAATACGATAATACTCTCCGAGGGTTAGCCCCGCGTACCAGGTTTCCCCTTAACTGCAGCACGCCCCGGGATAGACCACTTTTCTCTTTTCTCGCAGGCGGACCGCTTCTTCCTGCCTATTTCTAGCAGACCCAGTGCCGGCAACACACAGCCAAATGCGCGAGGCGCGAGGACGCTCCTGGGCCGCGTTTGAACGGTGTGATATGCACATGATTTAGGGATCCCTAGATTCGAAAATGGTGTGAACACCTCAACCTCTCACAGGCCAGCGCACAGCGCCATACGAGGTATTTTCTTCTCAATAACAAGGCTGTGAACACGACTGCTCAGCATGGTTTCACTCGCCCTCCTTTTGCACGTCGGCCTCACTAGCCTCGTTTCCGCGCTCGAGCTCGGGCCTCCAGCCCTCATCAGCCGGAGGCGCTTGGCCACAGCCGCCCTGACTCTGCCGTCTTGTCTGTCGGCCGGCCCGGTCGTCGCAGCGGAGAAGGGAGGCGTGCAGTGGTTGCTAGACCTACCGAGCAACTTTGCAGTACAGAGGCAACTCGCCTCCATCGTGCGCGTGCGCACAGAAACGGTGCTGCAGGCCGATGACGTGACGACTGGCGCGACTGTGAAGCTGCTGCTGCTCCCGCTCGGCCAACAGGCTGGCGGCAGCCTCTCGGCCGACGACCAGCTCGCACTCGCCACATATGTCTACAGCGGGGAGGGCTCCGCCGATGTCGTCGGCAAGACAATGACGGCATCTGCGGCGCGCTCGCCCGGCGTCCTCAAGCTCACCCAGCAGGGTGCCGCCTCTGGATACACGGCCGACGACGGTCGGCGGTACGTGCGGTATCAATACACCAGTCAGAGGTGCGCGGGCGAGTACGACGAGGGAGAATGCTTCGGGACGCTGTCGACGCGGCGGACGCTCGCAACGCTCACGATGTCGTCGGTCTCGCAGTACCGAACAAACACGGAGAGAGAACGCATGAAGGAGATGGGCCAGGCGAGGAACGTCGACGTGCTCTGGCTGCTCACTCTCTCGGCGCCGGTCGGTGCCGCGTGGGACTCAATCGAGCCCGTGTTCGAGCGCCTCAGCAAGACGCTCCGCGTTCCGATGGCGCCCGCCTAACTAAACAAAGCAGCCAAAGGCGTGCGCACGCAGGCGCGAATAAACAAATAAATCGACCAGACATCTCCTGGAGAGATAGGGCGACAACCCGACGGGCAGACCCCGCCTCGCTCGAAAAAAAGGAAAGAAGCATCAAGCAAGACAGACAGCCCAGGGCGCAGGGGGCAGGGGAGGGATGGGAGGACGGCACGCCTGCGACGGTGTATCATACACTTTATGCCACCGTTGCATATCCTTTATGCCACCGTTGCATATCCTAAAAGTGTATGATACACCGTCGCAAAACTGCATTGGGTCTCGAGTTCGAATCCCGCAGTTCGACTCGGCGCAAAAAACCCAGACGGGCGTTGTCACTCTGGTTCGAAACCCACCTTAGCGTTCACCTGCTATCCGCCGGTACCCAAAACCGGATGCATCTCCGCACGACCCAGGAATGCAGTTTTGCGACGGTGTATCATACACTTTATGCCACCGTTGCATATCCCGGATATGCAACGGTGGCATAAAGTGTATGATACACCGTCGCAACGCCGCCACCACACAGGGATTTTAAGGAGAGGAGTGTGGTCTCGAGAGTGTGGTGCTAGCCGCCGCCCACCCTAGCCCTTGCGCCTTGGCGCTTGGGCGTCTGCCTCTTCCTTTCCAACCCCTGCCTAGACGAGTACAGCTAAAGAGTGTGGTCTCCTCCGTGTGGGGGGCCCGTGAACATCTTAAGCTTGTGAGCCAGGAAAAGGGTTGCCTCCGTGTGGGGGGCCCGTGAACATCTTAAGCTTGTGAGCCAGGAAGGGTTGCTTCCTTTCTCTCTTCGCACCTCGCCGATTCTCGCTGCAACACCCTCATCGCCTCATGCCACCTCGGTCCTCGCGGTCGTCCGACTCTCGTCGTTCTCTCTCTTGTCGCTTCTTCCTCTGACGCGTCGCTCTCCTCTGCCTCGTCCTGCGACGGCGCCGCCGCCTGCCCGAGCGGGATTCTTGGTAAAATTCTTCTGGTTGCATGCGGGCGCGCGCGGCGGGTTTTTCTACCGCTTGGCTTCTTGCTTGCCTTTAGAGAGGCGTGATGTCCTGGTCCTGCTCCGCATGCACTTACAACAACACGAAGGGCAGCCAGTGTGAGATGTGCGGCACTCCGCGGCAGGCCGTGCCTCAAGCCGTCCCGCAGGCCGTGCCCGTGCAGCCGGAGCAGGCTGCGATGCAGAGAATGATCGTGACCGTGCCTTCGGGCGTCGGCGGAGGGCAGCCACTGCAGGTGCAGACTCCGTCCGGGCTGATGCAGGTGACGGTGCCTTCGGGCCTGGCGGCGGGGCAGCAGTTTGAGATGCTCGTGCCGAGCCCGCCGCCGGTCGCGACGCCGGCGCCGGTCGCTGTTGCCCAGCCTGCGGTCCCGCAGGTGGCTATGGCCCAAGCGGCCCCGCCGCCGCAATACGCACCGCCGTCACAGCAGCAGTATGCGCCACCGCAGCAGCGGGTCGTGCACCACCACCACCATGCGCAGCCGCAGCCGCACGTGGTGCACCAGGCGCCGCCCATCTACGGCGGCTACGGCGGCTACGGCGGCTACGGCGGCTACGGCGGCTACGGCGGCTTTTACGGCGGTGGCTTTTACGGCGGTGGGTTTGGCGGAGGCGGCTTCACTTCGGGCCTCGTCGGCGGAATGCTCCTTGGCAGCGCCCTCGACGGCTGCGACGGCGGGTTCGATGGCGGGTTCGATGGCGGGTTCGATGGCGGGTGCGACGGCGGCTTCGACTAGCCCCGCCGGGAGGGGAGCACACTCACCTGCACAGAATACTGAATGCATACGCCAGCAACAGCTTGCGTGTGTGCGCATCTCGCGTGTCAATTTGTGATGCCTTGTATCTCTCAGACCCGGAAGAGTTTTCGCGCGGTAGTTCTACCAACGGCTTACGCGTAATCCACGCGCGGGGCTATGTGAATATGTTCTTTGTCAGGCCGGGCCCGACCCGACCCTTCGCCTTCCGCGGTGGGGTACGGAGCGTCTTTATGACATGGTCTCAAGTTTGCGACACTCCACTACTGTGTGTCCACACGACGACGTCGTCGCTCGCCGGGCGCGCGCCCACGCACACACGATCTGATCGTGAAAAACGCGCGCGCAAAACCTCTCCGCGCGGCAGTGGGCAAACACACGCGATCGGGCCCGGGCGGGACGGTGGGACACTCGCGAGTAAAGCGCGACGTACTCTCGCAGCCGAAGGGATCTCTCCGACGGCTTGGAGGCTCTGCACGCATGCGAACGTCCCCAGGTTTTTGCCTCTGCTCGCGGCTCATCCGCGCGCGAGCAGGGCGTCTGACTGCAAAGTGCGACCCCCACCCACCCCCACCCCCACCACCCCCACCCCCCCACCCCCCCTCCGCGCCGCACCTCCATCCTGCCCCCTCGCGGGCGTAGCAATCTTGCGGAATCCGCCGGGCGGAATATGTCGTCACCGGCCGGCGCGTTGGTGCTGGATGGCGGCGTGCAACACTGCCTCGGCCCGGCTGGAAAACGACTGTGGCGAGGGAAGGAGAGCGCGTCGGAATGGAGAGCGAGTTGGAGTGGAGGGCGCGTTCGGATAGAGAGGCGGAGGGAGGAGGGGGAGGCGTGCGGCGTGAGGTGGTGGCGTGTGCTGTGCGTCGGGGGCAGACAGGGGTGCGGCAGGTGTGTGGCGCACGCGCGCCTTTCCAGTCGGCGGGTGGTGGAAGGCGATGACGTGCTCGGACGAAGCCTCGTCCCACCTACAGAGCGCCGCGGGCCGCGTGTCGAGGGCGGCCTCCCCTTCGCGGCTCTCCCTTCGCGGTCTCGTCACCGGCGCGAGGTCTGCCAGCCCTCGGCTGCGGCTCCCTGCCACAGCTTGGCGTCCACATTGTCGAGGTAGACGCCCCCGTTGGGCGGCGGCGCCTTTGGCGCGGGCGGCGGCGGCGGCGCAGCCCTCTGCCGCGGCGGCGCGGCGGCGGGCTCGTTGTCGCTGCAGAGGGCGCAGTGGAAGTAGTCTGCGGCGTCCGCCTCCTCCTGCGTCATGCCGGCGCACTCGCCGTGGCACCACCGCTCGCAGAGCTCGCACTGCACCCACACGCCCGCGAAGGGGAGCTTGCTCGTCGGCAAGTGGCGGTCCGTCCCGCAGAAGCAGCCCATCTGCGGGTCGTCGAGCTCCGCGTCCTCCGGGGAGCGGTACCCGTCGTCAATCGCCGCGTACCTATGGGCCGGGGGGCGCAGGGCTGCAAGCGAGCAACGCCCTCCGCGGGACAAGGAGTGGCGGGCCCGCGTCCACCACCGACCACGCCCTCGCCACCGCCCACCACGCCCACGCCACCGCCCACCACCACCACGCCCACGCCCACGCCAGGCTCCGGCGCACCCGCTGCGGTCGGCACTGCGCCCGACGTTGCCGCGCCGCGCCAGCTGGCTCTTTGCAACCTTGCGCGAGCCCGTCGCGGTCGACTTGGGCCAGCCGCCGCGCCCGCGCACCGGAGGGCCGCCGTCCTCATCGGCACGCGCCTTCTTGCGGCTCCCGGTGGCGCCAGCGGGCCGCGGTGGCGCGAGCGTCGGGTCGATGACCTCCATGAGCTCCTGCGTGCGAGACGCCGGTTGCGGGACGGCTGAGGGAGGGCTCCGGCCCTGCAGCTACACGTCCCCCGCACGCGCCTTGGTCACCCGCTCAGCCGTCTCGGCGACCTGCCGGTCGGCGTGGTGCTCGAGGCCGCGCACGAGGTCGCAGAGCCGCTCGAGGGCGGGCAGCTTGCGCAGCTCGGCATACTCGAGCAGCTCGAGGATCTGAAGCGTCACGAGGTCCTCGTGCCTGCGCGGGGCGGGCCATGGACATGTCTTGGGCGTGTTTTGGACGCGTGCACCACTCTCTTGGCCCCGGGGCGAGGGCGGCGGCGGGGCGTGAGACGGCGGCGAAGGCGGCGGCGAAGGCGGCGGCGAGGGCGGCGAGGGACAAGGGCGAGGCGCGCCCGTGCGTGGTCTGCGGCAGCCATGCGAGCAAACAGTCGAGGCCTGCGCACGACGGCAGAACGGTGTGAGGCGGCGCCGACGCGCGCGGGGGGAGGGGGCCCCGGTCCGGAGGCGCGGCGGGGGCGCCTTGCGCGTCCGAGGCCCACTCCGAGAAGTGGGTGAGCGAGTGGTCAAAGGTGGCGACCTGCGAGGACGCGACCCGAGGGGGACGTCTCTCTCAAGCGGGGCACCGGCCGCGAGGACTCGGCGAGAGGCCGAAGAATCGGCAAACGAGCAAGACGAACGCTACGAGCGGCGTGGCTGGTGCAGCGGGCTGCGCCCTCCACCCTGTGTTGTGTGCGCCGCCTCTGCCCTCGAGCATCTAGCGGGTTGCCGACGCGTTTGCGAGGTGGCGCCACCACGTACCGACGAACCACTCGATCTGGCGCATGCTCCACGAGGCGCCGTGCGGCAGCACCGCGTCGTACGCGCACCGCTCCTTGCTCCACCGCACCTAACCGAGGGGAAGCCATCGACATCAGCCATGAGGTCGAGCCGTCGAGATCAGCCGAGGCTCGCCCCGCCCCCCCCCCCCCCCGCACCTCTGGTGCGGCCGTCTCCCCCACCGAACGCGAGTAGGGCGGCGGCGCCGGCGCGGCGTCCGAGCTGGCCTCAACGTTGGCGTCGGCGTCGGCCGGCGCGGGCCGCTTGCGCTGCTGGTGATGCCGCGCGACCGCCGAGTCGGCCATGCTGCTGGCAGCCAGCGCTCCGGCGCCGTTGCTCCCATCGAACGGCGCGGCGGCGCTGGCGGCGGCGGGTGCCGAAGGCTGTGCCTGCAGCCGCGCCTTGCCGTTGGACGGCCCCCTGCCGTCGCCCCGCCCCCCGGCCGCCTGCTGCTTGCCGCTCGCGGCGGCGGGGCTGCCGGGCTGAGGCTGCGGCGGGTTGACGAGCATGCTTTGCGGGAGCGAGCCTAGAGCACCAGCGTGGCGCGAGCGTCTGGGGCGCGCAGGCGCTCGCGGGCGGGCGGGCATCGGGGCGCGGCGCGCACCGCCCCCCGCCCGCCCCGCGCGGCTGTGCGCGGCCGCCCCGTCCCGCCATGCCCGCTCGAGCTGGAAGCAGGGCTTCGTTTGGCGGTCCTGCAGACGACGGAGAGGGGCGGCTCGTGTGGGCAGGAGTCGTCTTGTGGGCGTGTCGGGGGCGTGGCGGGCGGGGAGACTCAGAGGAGCACCCGACAAGAGCAGCAGGGACGTCCATGACCCGGTGGGGCGGCCGCAGAGGTGTGCGCGGTGGCGGAGGAAGGGGAGGGAATCGTCTCGGAAGTGACTCGGAAGTGACTGCGAAGGCAAGGCAGCACCTGCTCCTTCAGCCACTCGGGGTGCATCTTGCGCGCGTGCTTGCGACACCCGTCGCTCAGCGCGAAGATCTTGTGGCAGCCCGGGAAGCGGCACATGTGCACCAGCCCAACGCCCTGCCCACCCGGAAAGCCCGGCACGCCCAGATCGCCCCCCGGCGCTCCGCCCGGCGCGCCCCCTGCGGTGCTCGGCGCGCCGCCGGCGCCGGCGCTGCTGCTGCTGCTCGCGGCGGCGGCAGCGTCACTGCTCGCCAAGCGCCGCGCCGCCTCCTCGCTGGTGAGGACGATTGCGCCCGCCGCGCGCAGCGCCTGGTGCGCAGCGGGCGACGTTGGAGCGCAGTCGCCACGGGCGGCTGCAAGCGCCGGCAGCAGCCGCGCCTCCTCAGCGCGCTGCCGCCTCCTCTTCTTGCGTTTCCGGCGCCGCCGCCTCGCGTCCGCCTCGGGGTCGCCGGACGAGCCCTTCGACTTGGAGCCGCCCTTCTTTGGCGTCGGCGGAACCGACCACGAGATGGGTTGGTACCCGCTCACTGCGAGCTGCACCGGCGGCGGCGCTGAGTACGGCCCATGGCGAGTGTAGCTCCACTTCCGCTCGCCGAGGGTGAAGACGTGCGAGGTGCCGCGCTTGGGCTCGGAGGTGATTGTGCTGTCCTTGGCCGCGGACGAGCTTCGATCTGAACAAGAGGGAGTGCAGAGGCGATCTGAGCAGAGGTGCAGGCGCTGAAGTGTCGCCGGCCGCGCATCACAGGGTTGCTCGGAGGGAAGAGGGATGCGCAGCGCGCGCGGGAGCTGGGCCGGGCCGCGCATTCCTGGTGAGATTCGTCCCGAGTCTGTGTCAACCACACTCATGGGAGATGAGGCAGGCGCGGCAGACCCGCAACCAGTCGGCGCAGAGCTGGAGGAAATCTGGGACTGCGCGGAGGAGGCGCCCGCACGTAGCGCGGCTGTCTGAGCATCAACCCCTTGGTCCGCCGCGGCGGGAAGATCCGATGGCCCCGCCATGCACGCGCGCGAGCTGCGGAGAGAGGGACCGCTTGGGAAGGCTTGGCGTGCGTGGTAGAGAGGGTGCGCGATTTCTTTTTTGAATGAAGGCCGGAATGTCTTGCTTGCTTGCCAATGAATGTGCCTGCTGAGCACGAAACAAAACAAACGAACCAGGAGAAAAATGCCGGCTGCCTCGATGTTGACACGAAGACACACCGCATATCTCAGATTCTCAGAGAGAGAGATTTTCAGTTTGTAGTTGATTCTCTGTGGATATTCCTTCGAGAAAGAGAGAGAGAGTCCTTCGCGCTAGAGAACTTGTCATTGAGAAGGAAATGCGCCCTGTGGCGCTGCGCGCTGGGGAGAGCGAGGTTGATTGCGTGCGAGCCCTTCACCCCGCACATTCACAGCAATCACAAGGACTGGTTCGCGCACCTGGAGCTCGTCAAGGCGCGGGATGTGCACGTCAAGAACTTCCCGTCCCTCGGAGACAGCGCCGTCAACAACCGCGAAGCCGCGCGCCTCAATCTCCGCCTCAACGCCTTTCGCCGGCAAGGCCCTCGATGTCCGTGTCGACGGTACGTACGCCACCGCCCTCTCCTCCGACGCCCTCCAGGACGAGCTCCAGCGAAAGCTCGGCCTTTGGCTCTCCGTGGCGCTTCCCACCCTTCGGGTCGCGCTCGAGCGGGGCATGCCAGTCGATTTCTTCGGCGACTACCTTTACAACAAGGCCCACCACTGGCGGCCCCACGACGGCGTCCTCGCCGCCTGGGCGGACGCGATGCGCGCCCCGGCCAACGCGCCGGTCGTGCACGGTGACAAGGAGAAACCAGAGCTCACCCGGCAGTACAACGAGGGGTACAAGGTCGACCTCGCAGAACCCCATGCAGGACCGGGAGGATGCGATGAAGTAAATGAACTGAGCCCTGGCTGTCAGGCTGTCAGGTGCTGTCAGGTGATCTGTCGGGCTGTCGGGCAGCTGTCAGGCACTGTCAAGTGCCTCTGTCAGACCAGCTGTCAGGTGCTGTCAGTGCTGTCGGGTGCTGTCGGGTGCGTGTCTGACAGGCGAGGGGCTCTGTAGCTGTCGGGTGCTGTCGGAGCTGTCGGGTGTTGCTGTCAGACGCTGTCGGAGCTGTCAGAGCTGTCAGGCTGCTGCTGCTGTCAGACGTTGGGCTGTTACTGTCAGGTGCTGTCAGGTGGTGCTGTCGGGCTGCCCTAGCTGTCGGGGTGCTGTCAGGCTCTGACACACACCAGCCACACTTATGACACTATCAAGAGGAGACCAGCGGGTACGCAGCTGCCCCCCTCCTACGGCGTGATCACGCCGGCAGGGGCGGCCGCCTGGGGAGCGCAGATGGCGGCGCAGGCGCAGGCCGCGCCGGCGGCACAGACGGCGGCGGCCACCCCCACCCAGACGCGGTAGGCATATGACTGTAGGGCCCCAGAAGGGTAGCTGGTAGCTTCATTTGTAGTAGCACAGCCGCCGGTGCTGGAGAGGGGTCCGCAGAGGTGGGGCGGGAGGGTTGAGAGAGAGACCCATGACCATCCCATGACTGCATGGACCACACTCACATGTACATGCACATGTCTTTGCATGTAATAGTTTTGTTATACCCTCATGGGGCACAAGAAAGAGGCTCTACGGGGGGGGTCTGACTGTGTACGGTCTGTGCTGCTGTCGGGCTGTCAGCGCTGCTGTCAGGCCACTGTGTGCTGTCGGGCTGTCAGGCAGCTGTCAGGCTGTCACGTTAGGGTCTGACAGCGACGGAGCGCCTCGCCTGTCAGGCTCTGCTGTCAGGCTGTCAGATACGTGCTGTCAGACTGCCAGAGAAAGTGCTGTCAGCGCTGTCAGGCTGTCGGGCACTGTCAGGCGCTGTCCGGGGTTTGCTGTCAGGCTGTCAGACCAGGGCTCAGTAAATGAAATCAAGCTCTCTGGACGCCCCTCCTCAAGACCTCCTCGACGGGCGTTGGCAACGCCTCGAGCGGCGGCACGCCCGCCTCCGTTGGCCACTCCTACGCCTTCGGCAGCACCGAGGAGAGAAGGCCCGCCGCCTAAACATGGGCTGCAAGGCGCGCGGGCAGCCCGGCCAACCCTTCGACCACAAGAGTGGCCACGGCTACGTCAAGGGGCATCGTGGTCTCTACCACGACGCGATCTTTGTCAAGCGCAACAACTTCAACCTGCTGCTCCACGAGACGTTCGGCGGCGGCTACTCGCCCACCGCTGTTCTCAAGCTGCGCCGCCTCGCGCGCAAAGTCGCGCGCGGCAGCGTCGACCGCACGGCCTACTCGCCCAAGCGCCAAGTACTCGCTCTCTTTTATGTCCCACAATGCAGAGCGCATCTCTCTCTCTGTTGTGCGAGGCGTGAACCGCGCCATTCGCTCTCACCTGGCAACCCTGTCTGCACGTCTCGCGCGCGCGTGAACAGGGCTCCAGGCCCCAAATGAGTGTGAGAGTTAGAGTGAAAAGAAAACACGTCTCGTTCACAGGGCTCCCCTGAACAACACGCCGTTGGGGGCATCTTCTCTTTGCCCAGACCGCTCTCTTTTGCTGTTCATGGTGAGAGCGCACGGAAACACTGCGCAGGGCTCACCGCGTAGCGACCGCGTTTCCTCCCTCCCAGCGCCGCGTGTTTGCCTTCCCGCACAGGGTTGCCAAGGCTCGAAGATGCCGCCGGCCGTGTCGGATGACGACATGGACGTTTCCAAGCACGGCGCGGATGCTATGCCGTGGGCGGCGGACGCAGCGCCCGACAAGCCCTTCGACTACGGGGAGACGGACGACGCCGCTTCGAAAGCGAGCGACGAAATCCCAACCGACGCTTGATCGTTCACCTGCAGCATGACGGCGACGTCCAAGGTCGAGAGGCAATAGAACGAGAGGGGGGCATTGGAACGAGAGTTGGAGACTCTTGGCGACGATTGGCATTTCCTCGTTAGCGCACACAGTGTATTATCCGCCCCCGCGACCACCCGTGCTGGCCGTCAGTGGGGGCGGGAGTAGTTGCGCATGGCGTGGGGGGGGGGGGGGGATGCGCGTCGCCGCTCCGCGTGGCGTCTTTCGAAGCCAACAGGACGGCATATCATCACACCAAAATGTACCTTCCGCCATTTTCCACACCCAGACACACAGAGACGGTGACACCGCGCGAGATTGATAGACGATTTCACACCACACACGACACACGTGAGTTGAGAGTTCCGTGAGAGGCTTGAAGTACTGTTGCGACTTGCGTGTGTTGAGCTGATGCTGAAATGCTGTCTGCACAGTCTGCTGCGTGTACGTGTGGGTTTTGCGGGTGCGCACCCCGCGCGGCCACTGACTGGCGCGTGCGGCACGCGGCACCTCGCAAGACTCTCTGACGCTGCGTGGGCGCGCGCAGACCACAGTCACGAAAGTCCCGCAGCTCAGCCCCCCGGCAGCGCGGCTCGTCTCTGCGTCTTCATCTCGCGGCGCCAGCCTCGCCCAAAGTTGCCGCGCCGGGCAAAGACTGATGAGATGCACGCCTGGAGCAGGGGAGGGGGAGAGGGCCGCTGTCGCGCGCGCTCTCGTGGTGTCGTGCCACGCTCTTCTCTTTCTTCCGTCTATCTCTTTCTGCGCGTGGGAAGGCGTGGGGGGGAGGGGAGTGGGGGGGACGGGAAGGGAGTCGCCTCGTGGTCGTACGATTGGTGTGAGACTAGGAGTGGTCGTGAGAAGGAGAGTGAGTCAGCACCTCGCCTCGTGGTCGTAGGGCAGGTCCGCCTGCTGCAGGTGCTCCCAGGCGTACGCAAACCCGCTCGGCGTCTTGAGGTTGTGCACGAGCAGCGACCTGCGCGGGACGCAAGGCGGCGGACGTGTCCTGGACGCGTCCGGCTGGGGGGGGGGGGGGCACGAGCAGCCACCGGTTGGCGGCGGGCCGGTAGGTGCCGCCGCCGCGCTGCTTGCGCGCGCCCTCGGTGTTGTGGCATGCGAGGTCGTCGCGCCCCTCCGTGCGGCAAACCTTTGCGGTGGGGCAGGCGGGAGGTGACCCGAGATCGGGCGAGATCGGGCGAGATCGGGCCGAGATCCGCTTGCGGCGCGCCTTTGCTGTCGAGCATGCGATGTCGTGGACGAGCGGGCCTGTGGGACAGCTCTCTGCTGACGGCGTGGCTCTCTCTGGAGCGGTGCAGTTGGACGAGAGGGGGCCGATGTCGACGTAGAGCACCTGCGGAGAGGCGACCGAGAGGGGGGGGGGGGGAGGGGTGCGAGGGTGGTGGAGGCACGCAGCAGCGAGGGAGACAGAGGCGCGCGAAACAGACAGCGGCGCGAGACCATGGGGAGGGGGGAGGGGAGAGAGAAAGACGAGGGCAGCCGCGAGGGGGGGAGAGCATCCACCCGCTCGGGCGCGTAGCTCAGCCAGTACCCCGTCGTCGTGTCCTCAAACTTTTGCCACTGCAGCGCCTCGCGGTCGGGCCCCGCCGCCTCGGCCACCTGCGGAAGGGGTCGGCGGTGGCGTGGGGCGGCGGGCTCGAGCAGGGCGAGGGAGCCGAGGGGCGAGGGAGCCGAGGGGCGAGGGAGCCGAGGGGCAAGGGAGCCGAGGGGCAAGGGAGCCGAGGGGCAAGGGAGCCGAGGGGCAAGGGAGCCGAGGGGCGAGGGAGCCGAGGGGCAAGGGAGCCGAGGGGCAAGGGAGCCGAGGGGCGAGGGAGCCGAGGGGCGAGGGAGCCGAGGGGCGAGGGAGCCGAGGGGCGAGGGAGCCGAGGGGCCGTGCGCCGTGCGCCGGAGCTCGCGTGGTGAGAGGGCTGAGGGCCGAAAGGGGGGTGAGATTGGGGGGGGCGGCGCGCCCAGCGCTGCACGGCGGCGTCGGTTGCGGCCCAGTGCAGCAGCTTTGCCGAGAAGATGTAGCCCGCGCCGGTCCCGTACGGGAAGGGGGGGACCGCGCCTCGCCTGAGAGGAGGCGGGTCGGTCAGGGAGGGAGGACTAAGGAGGAAGGAGGGGGCCGCCCCTCGCTCGCAGGAAGGCTCCGAGCAGGCCCGTGGGACAGGGTCCCCCTCCCCCCCCCCTCCCCCCCCCGGGAATAGTCCTCCGTACTCGGGGGGGCGTGGGATGGCGACCCTCGCACGCGGCTGCACCTCGGCTGCACCTCGGCTGCACCTCGGCTACCCCTCGGCTACCCCTCGCACCGGTCGCACGCAGGGAGATAGCCCGGCTCGCCCGGCGAGCCCCACGTCGCGCCTAGCCTCGGCCGATCTCGGGTCATCTCGGACCATCTCGGACAATCTCGGAACAATCTCGGCTTCAGCTCGGCGAGTCGCGCCGTAGTTGTTAAGCGCGGCGCCCAAGTTCCAGCCGAAGCCGCACCGGTCCGCGCGCACGCCGACGTCAGCGGCGCGCGGCACCTGCCCCAGGGACGGGTCAACGGAAGGGTCTCGAGTTGCGGGGCAGGGGCCCTCGCGCGTCGGCCGGGCGGCACCGTCGACGCCCAGTTGATTGCGCCGAGGAAGGCCCAGGGGCGCGAGGCACGCGCCTGCCGGCAGGCGGGGGGGGCGCGACTCTTCCGTGACTCTTCCGCGACTCTTCCGCGACTCTTCCGCGACTCTTCCGCGACTCTTCCGCGACTCTTCCGCGACTCCGGGAAAGGCAGAGGGCGAGTGTGGGCCCGGAGGCAGAGGGCGCGTGCACCGCCGCCCCCCCGGCCGCAGGCACCGCGCCGCCGCCCGCGCAGCGCACGCGGTGGAGGAGCGGGAGGAGGACGCGCAGGTTGGGCGCAGTGTCATCGTCGACCTGGCGGGGACAGAAGAGAGTGCAGTGTAGCCAGTCTGGTCTGATAACAGGTCGGGGTGTCAACGTCCACCTGGCGGAGGGAAGTGTGCGGAGGTGTGCGGAGGGAAGTGTGCGGAGGGAAGTGTGCGGAGGTGTGCGGAGACAAAGGCGTCTCTCTCTACCCCCTCCCTCCCTCTCTGTCCCTCCCCCTCCGACCTTGCCGACGTACTTGACGCCAGGCCAGTGCTTGGCCGCGTGCTGGAAGAAGGCGTACTGCTTGAAGGTCGGCATCCCCCGCCCCTTCTTGCACCGGCCCTGCTTGCACGAGTACCGAGTCGGCTGCCGCAGCAGCGCCCCCGTCTCCGGTGCATCGACAAAGAGGAGGTCTTGCCTGTGGGAGTAGAGGGGCAGGCTGGCCCGAGGTGCTGCACGGGGAGGGCCTCCGCCTGCCGCGTCGGGCAGGAGGCGCTCGCCGTTCCCTCGCCTCGGCCTGAAGCGCCTCCATGGCGCTGCCTGCGACGGCGCGGCAGGGAGCAGCGAGAGTACCGACCAGGCAGGCAGGAGAGGTGCGGAGTGGCGAGCAGTACCCCTCCTTCGGAGAGGAGCGTGGCGGGGTGCGATCCGTCGCCGCGCGGTGCGTCCTTGTGCTACGGGCTTGTGGCTCTGCGCTGGCTGCCGTTGGTTTGCGCCGAGAGGACAAAGCAAGCCAGCGCCTCGTACCCAAGCATCGGCTCCTTCATCCACGAGCGGCGGATTGCGTCGCGCCGCTGCGCTCCGACGGCGGTGGGCGAGGACGGCACCCCCAGCAGCAGCAGCACGCGCGACTGCTCGAACACCGACGGTGGAGCGACGCACGAGGCGGGCTTTGCGTTGGCCGCCGCCTCGCGGCGAGCAAAGAGCCCCTCGCTGCCGCAGTCGGGCAGGGCGGCAGACCCGCGCACAGGCTCCACCGATCGGTTCGCGAGCGAGTAGTCAAACTGTACCACCGGGTACTTGTCCTGCAGCTCCCGCAGCAGGCACCGCTTGTACCGGCGGCTCGGGCACGACGCCTCGAGCCGGGCCGGGTCAGCGTTGACACCGATCGGCGGGCGGACGCCGGTATCGAGGCTCATGCCGCGCGGCATCACGTGGTGCGTACGCGGCTGCTGCGAGGAGGGGCTGTGGCCAACCAAAAGGACACTGTGCTGTGTGATGACAACACAGGCTCTCCGATCCCAAAGCACCCATGCACATGCGCGGGCAAGGCCAAGTGAGGAAGAAATCGCGGCCTGGCTCCGGTGGGCCACGAACGCTTCTCTCTTTCTAAAGAAGAAAACAGGAGACAAGACAAATGTCCGGAATGCGTCCAGCCTGCAGCAGGGCAAGGCGCGAGAGCGCAACGCGGTCGCGGTGGCGCACCGAGAGGGGCCGACGGCCATGTGTGTGTGTATGTAGGAAGGTGAAGAACAGCCAGGCTCGGACTGGACACCAACGCGGTATGGGTGGACGCTGGACAGATGATGACGGCACGCACGAGCGACACACAGACACAAACAGGCTCACAAGACACACAGCCAGCTGGCTGCTCCCCACACACCCTGAGTAGACGTACACACAACTCAGGGCCACGTCCTCCCTGTCGCCCCCCCCAGCACTCCAAGGTGCCAAAGGAACAAACAAGGGCACCGCAACACAACAGACGACAGGAGGTAACATGCGAGGCTAGAGCAGGCTTGCTCCACCTGAGCTCCTGGCTGAGCGTTGAGTCCAGGCGAGTTGCGCTGGCCACGATCGCTACGCCGAGCCGAGCTGACGCGCCGAGGCGCCGGCCAGTCGCAGCCGTGAGGCATGCCACAGCAGCAGAGGCACCTGCCACCCATTGGGCGGGCAGACAGAAGGCCAGGGCAGCACTGGCAAGTGCAACGCGCCTCACATGTCGGAGAGCGACCGTGCCTCCTTCGCCACTTTTGATGTAGAGTTTGTTGTAGAGATTTCACGTTGTAGAGCGCCTCTACATCGCTCTACAACGCACGCAGTTCGTCCCGCGGCGGATGTAGAGCTCTACAGCACTACGCAGCGCTCTACAGCTCTACAGCTCTACAGCGCTCTACACTCTACATCCTCTACACCCTCCCTCAGGTGCGCGGCAGCAGCGCCGCCGGCAGCCCCACGCCGCATCAGCGGCGCTCTGAGTGAGTCAGGCTGCGCTGCACAGCCTGCTGAGCACGCTCCCGACGAGCGGCGCGCCACGCGGGCCCGCTGCAGGCGACGCGGGCGGCGAGCCGATGCGCGCGTCGTAGGCGTAGGCAGCGCTGGCGAAGCGAGGCTGCCGGCGCCGGCCCCCGGAGGCGGTTGCAGCGAGAGAAGCGAGGCAAAAGACACTGTTGAGAGGGTGGGGAGCAGCCTGCCGTCGAGCGGCGCGCCGCGCAAGCCCGCTGCCGGCGACCCGATCGAGAGCTCGTAGACATGGTACTATTCAGCGCGCCATCGCGCCCGAGGCGGCCCGCCCTCCCCACAGGCTAGCTGCCTACTGCTAGCCCTAACTCGCACTCATGGGAGATGTCAATTCATTGTATGAGTATGCAAGCAGAGGCGCATGTGCAGATTCTAGAGCACGCCGTGGCGTATGACTTGGGAGGCGTGCGACCACAGCGCGCCCATCGTGTAAGGTCGACGGGGCGCGCGTGTCAGCGAGAGAGTTGCGGGTAGATAGTGATAGAGCCATGCCCGACTTTTCGAAGACGAGCCCCGCGCCACGGATGCCAGCCGTGCCTCCGCGGGAGCCGCCCCTCGAGCCGCGTCCCGTCGGCACTGTCCCTGAGTGCGTCCCGCCTTGGCGGCACACACTCTCGACCAGGACAGTCCGGCCTACGGGAACGTGTCGCGCGCCGGCGACGATTGCGGCGTGGTGGTTTCGAGCGGCGAGGGTTTCTCTTTCACGACCTCGCGCGGATTTTTTGGCGCGGCCCGTGGACAGGGCTTTTGCAAATGTCGCTGATCGACTTGCTGGGCGGTTGGGAGGCAAACGTCACGCAGCTCGTGCTAGAGCGGCTGCCTGCTGCTTACCAGTTCGGCCTGCTCCGCCAGTTGCACTGTGCGTATCGGGACTTGCAGCCACCTCGGTGTTTCCGCGCTGTGCAGGCAGTGCTGACCAAGTGCATGGCGCAGCTCACCAATGCTCCACGACTGATCAATCGTGCAGATGAGTTCGCCTTGCACCTTTTGGCGCATGCTAAGGCCGAAATGCTCCTGCATGACAGAGCGCCTCCTGGGCTGCAGTGGCTACTGGATGCACGCTACTGCGTGCGGGTCGGCCCATCCGGAGACGTGGTACGGCTCTACCTTCCCCGACGCCCGGGCGTGGCCATCGAAATCTGCAGCGACAGCGATCCCGGATACTCCACCGGCGAGCAGAACTTCTGCGGCTCAAAGCAGCAATTCGCTGCTCGCCTCACAGGCGAACGACACTGCGTCGCCTATCGTGAGCTCGAGCAGCGGCTGCAGCTGGGACGCACTTGGTGCTTGGCGTGGCAGGGGCACGACTGCTGCGGCGAGACCGGCGCCATCGAACGCAAGGCCGTGTTCTGTCCCAACTTCTTCCAGGCGATGGGCGAGCTGCTGTCCGAGGAGGCGGACGCCCTGTACGGCGCATCCGACGGGGCGGACGCCACTTGGCTCCTCCGCTCCCTCGGGATGAAGCTCGACTCGGATGCTTTTCAAGGCTGCTACGAGCCTGACTTCGGTGCGCTCTGCTATTCCGACCCATTCGTCTGTCGGGCCTTCGCCAGCGAGCCAGCCGAGAGCTGGGACGATGAAGGGCGGGAGGAGTCTCCACCCGAGGCGCAAATCGCTCCGAGGCAGTGGCCGAAGGAGGAGGAGGAGGAGGAGAATCTGCAGCGCGACGGGCGCTTGGAGAGCCGCTACTTGACCATACGTCAAAGGCCATGGGCGCCCAAGCAAGATGCGGTCGAGGGACTCGACGGTCTCGTGACTGTGCCAGACGCAGCGGAGACCATCGTGGATGGGCAGCTGGTGGAGCTGCTCGCATGCAGCGTGGAGCTCGCACGCCACGAGCCGCCCCAGTGGGACCGATTCTGTCGACACTTCTGGCAACATTACCCGGCTGTCAGAACGCTCGCCGCTTACACCCGAGCGGAGCTGCGGCGCGCGCGCGCTCGCATCTTCGCAGCGCCGCTTCGCAACCAGATTTGCGCGTTCTACAGCCAGTTGCCTCAGCTGAAGACGTCGATGCAGGATCTGTCACGTCGTCTCAGACTTCTCGATGTGAACGGAGAATTGCCTCCTTCGGGGTACGAAATGACGCAGGTGAAGGTCTCGGTCCAGCACGCGGCAGGGACAGCCTATTTCCTTCTGATGATGGGCCGCGAGTACGATGAGGACAGCGATTTTGGGCGAAGCCGAAAATTTCAGACGGTGCTGTGGGTCGACTTTGGGGATGCCAAGATGAACTCTCACCACGAGCTGTACCGCCAGCGTTCGCACGTTGAGCGTGCACCCTATCTGCAACATGAGCTTGTACGGGGACCCGCGTATTGCAACCCTGCGAGTGACGAGACACGTCTCAGGGCGCTGGCCGCGCTCGGCTTCCCATCAGGTGTGAGCCCGGGTGTGCTGCTCGACGCGTGCCGCGGGACCATGTGGCTGCCTTTTCTGAGCGTCCATACCCACCGCGCGAATCAGGACACGCCGCTTGAGTGGTGGGAGTGGGTGCGTTAGCGAACTGCGTGCTGTATTCAAATACCTGGGGCATGCCCTCCCCTGTCCGTGTACACCCCACTGTCTGTGCACTTAAGCACACCGGTCGATACGGTTCACGGTACACTGTAAGAGGATACAGCACGCCCCCATTTTATGAAAGTCGCTTGGTATTCTATCAACGCTGAGCCCATAGCGGGTGAGCAAGCCCTAAAACGGCGGGAGGGGTAGGGCTATATCGATAGAGCTAGAGGGCTCAACCACCCCTCCACCCCTCCACCCTCCACCCCTCCACCCTCCCGGAGCGAGAGGGGTCCGTCCTCGAGCCCTCCCACTTCCACCCCTCCGACCGGAGGGAGGCTCGCCAGCCCACAGGGCTGGAGGGGTCCCCGTCGGATCGGCGTCGGGAGGGCTCCACAGGGTCCCATAGGGCTAGCGCGCTGGGAGGGTGGAGCGGTCCACCGGGGAGAGGGGTCAGGAGGGCTGGGCGAGGCGGGAGGGGTGGTGGGGTCCAGGAGGGCTCGCCGCCCCCCCGAGCTCGGGTGATAGGCAAGAGGGCTCGGGCGCCGGGTGGGCTCGGAGGGACGGTCGGACAAAGGGAGGATCTTCGTGGCGGGAGGGCTCGAGAGGGGTCGGAAGGGCCTCCGGGAGGGGTCGCAAAAAAAGAATGGCGCGGACCTTCCGAGAGTGCCCGCCACGAGAGGGTTAGAGGGGTCGGAGGGGTTTAGAGGGCTGGAGGGCTGCAGGGCCTGCTGCCGCCCATGGACGCGGGTCAACCGGCGACGGCGCCCGTGATCGAGGGACCGGCGACGGCGAATGAGCTGGTCTTTGGCGCCGCAAGACCTTCACCCACGTTTCGCGACTGTGGGCCATCCAACAGTCTGCCGGCGCGGCGGGGCGCATTCGAATGCCCCCGGGCGCCGCCGGCAGACTGCCAGTGCTATCCGGGCGGGCCTGCTGCGGCAGGGCGCTGCAACGCCGCCGCCTCGCCGCCACAGCAGCGCCGCCCCCGCATGGCTGCCGCCAGCAATGTCACCGCCAGCCGCCGCCCCCAGCCGCCGCCGCCAGCTGCCGCCAGCACTGCAGCGACAGCTCTCTCTGCTGCCCAGGCGCCGCCGCGGCCACGAGTGTCACCGCCACGAGTGCCGCCGCCGTCAGCGTCCCCATGGCCGCTGCCGCCGCCAGGCGGGCGAGCGAGGAGCTCCATATGAGTGTGTGTGTCTGGAGGCTGTGGCGCTTCCGTTTTGCGTTAGCGGAGAAACCGCAGGTATTTCGAATACCAAACGCGCTTCGTGTTTGCCTTGAGGAGCGCAGCGACGAGTCCGTAAGGAGCGGCCCAGCTTGCTGGGTGCGGCGCCGCCGCGCGCCGTATCGAGAGACTCTGTCGGGTCAGGTTAAAATAGCGCCGCGCAGGCTCCCCGGGCCGTCCGCACACAGACCACGGAAACGCCTCATGATGTGTATTGCACCACTTCCGTATGCCTACAGGGTATCTTTAACCGAGCCCTCCGAGCCCTCCACACCCCTCCACACCCCTCCGACCCCTCCGACCCCTCCGACCCCTCCGACCCCTCCGACCTCTCCGACCCCTCCGACCCCTCCGAGGGCCCTCCACACCCCTCCGCGAGCCCTCCGAGCCCTCCGAGCCCTCCGACCCCTCCGACCCCTCCGACCCCTCCGAGCCCTCCGAGCCCCCCGAGCCCGGCTCGGTGGCTCGCCCCTCCGAGCCCTCCGGGCACTCCATCCCTCATGAGCCCTCCCGAGCCCTCCCGAGCCCTCCAGCGCCACCCTCGTGCCTCTCTGCCCTCCGAGCCCTCCGAGCCCTCCGAGCTCTCCACCCCTCCCGAGCCCCACCCCTCGCGCTAGGGACCCTCTTGCCGGAACACCCTCCGAGCCCTCCAAGCCCCCCGAGCCCTCCAGACCCCTCCATCCGCACAGCCCCTCCGGCCCCTCTAGCCCCCTCCGACCCCTCCAGCCCTCTCTAGCCCACTGGACCCCTCCTACGCCTCGCTTTTGGCCAGCCCTCCAAGCCCCCACCCCTCCTGGGCCCTGCCGCCTGACACCTCTATCGGTGGAGGGCTTTAGGTCACGGTCCACACTCCCGCCCTCCCGACCCCTCCACACCCCTACAGCGGCACCCCTACCCCTCCCGCCGTTTTAGGGCTTGCTCACCCGCACTCGCTGAGCCTACCTTCAACCGCGCGGAGCGCCGGATTTTTACTCGTCCTGCACGGCACACGTCACCCAGGTCCCCATGCGCAGCCAGGCGGTCCTATCTATCTACCGTGATATAGTTATAGAGGAGTCTTATCAACAGAACTGCTGCAGTGCTGGACTACGATCTACGTGGCTAGTGGTCTGACGACGCTGGATAGCACACGTACACCGGTTGCCGAGGGCACTAGGCCATAACCGGGGAGCGAGCGGCGGGAGCCGGCTGCAGGGGCGCGGGGAAGGTAAGGGGCGGGGGAGAGAGGAACCGGTAGAGGAAGGGGGATGAGAGGACTGTCTGGCCCCTGACTCGGATATCCATACAACCTTGTGAAAGGGGTGAAATTCTGAAAAAGGTGCAGCACCCTCCACCTCCACCCCAGGAATTGCGACTCGCCGCTTTCCTCCCGCTGTGATTCTGTGTGAGCTCTGTGTCTTGATTTGCCAACAATATACCTAAAACCTCCCCCCGGGTTTTTTGGCTGTTTACGACCGCTCTCACAAAAAGAAATTCAAGCCTTCACATCCCGCCATGTAGAGCAATGCACCGGCTCGGCAACCGGAGCCCTAGGCCCAGCCCGCGCAGCACGGCCTCGCCATCGAGCGGCGACGAGGACGCGAGGAGCGGCGCAGCCTCACTTCAACGCGCTCTCGACGCGGCGCTCGGCGGCGAGCCGCTGTCGGAGGCCTTCTCTCTCTCGCTCGCTGGCAGTGCCTGGCTCCGCTCCGTCGGCCGCTCGCTTCGCGGCGCGCGCTCGCTCCTCCACCTCGACCTCTCTCGCTGCAGCCTCACGACCCTGCGCGGCCTGGACGGGTGCGCCTCTCTCGTCTCGCTCAACGTCTCCGACAATGCTGTCGCGACGCTCGAAGAGGCCTGCCGCCCGCCGCAGCCTCGCCTCCACCCGTCGCCGACGGAGGCCGCACGCGCACATCAGGTGGACCGCCTGGCGCCACTCGCGCAGCTCGAGGCGCTCGACCTGAGGCGCAACCCGATCGCGCGTGAGGGGACACAGTACCGGATCGGGGTGCTGCGAGCACTGCCCGAGGTCCTGATCATCGATGGGCGCCCCTCTTCGAGCCTCGAGCGGTGCCGCGCCCAGGCGCGCGGAGGCTGGTCGCACCGCCGTCCTCTCTTCCCAAAGCACAGACCCTCGTGAGGTAGGCTTTCTCTGCCCGCGGCGCCGCCCGACCGTCGTCGCCGTGGTTGACCTCTCCGCAGCAGCCATCTCCGCAGCTGCGCTCTGCGCAGGTGGCCTCTCCACAGACGCCGTTGGCGGGCGGCAGCGGGAGGGAGCGGGAGCATCAGTCGCCGCCGCAGCAGCGGGAGCAGCAGTCGCCGCCTCCGCAGCAGCGCGCCACCGTCGCCGGAGGCACGGCCACGCACCACTACACGCAGACCGACGAAGCGGCGCTCGACGACGACAGCCCGCTCTGGCTCGGCGCCTCGAGCTCCAGAGGGCGGAGCCGCGGCGGCGAAGGAAGCCCGGACAGCGGCGCTCCCAGCGGGGGGAGCGATGGCCGCGGGTGCGGGTGCGGTGTCGGCGGGTGCGGCGTCGGGGGGTGCGAGGCGGCTCCCGCGGGCATGCCATCGCCGCCGCCGCGAGCCGCACGCGATGTCTGCGACGGCAGCGCAGCGCGGTCGAGGGCGGTGCGCTCCCTCGCGTTTGGTGCGTGGCGATGGGCAGCTCGGCCCCTTCCGCACACCGCCGTCGTCACACCTCGCGGGCGCGACTCCAAAGGCGACAGGGCCGAGGCGGCGGATGGCGGCGACGGCGGCAGCGACGGCGGCAGCGGCGGCAGCGGCGGCGGCGGCGGCGGCGGCGGCGGTGGCGGCGGCGGCGGCGGCGCCAATCGGCCTGACGGCGGCTGGCGCTGCGGCTCCTCGCGCGACGCTGCCCTCGAGGCTGCGCTGGCGCTGTCTGCTGCGGAGAAGCGCGCGCTGGAGGCGGAGGTGAGCTGGCTGCGCGAGCAGAAGGCGGAGGACGGGCGCGCGCTCGAGCAGACGGCGGCGCTGCTGGCGATGCTGCAGGAGTCGCACCGCGCGCTCGTCGCGAGCAACCAGCGCCTGCTGCTGCAGATCGCCGAGGACAAGGCGAGGCACGAGGAGGAGCTGAAGATGCACGCGCGCAACTTTGCAGAGCTGCAGGAGCTGACCGAAAGCCTCGCCGCGCGGCCCGCCTCGACCGCGAAGGGTCGCAGGAGAGACCAGCGCATGGAGTCGGAGCAGGGGGGCAGGATGACGCCCGCGCACAGCGCCGACACCGGGTGACGGCGAGGTGGAGGTGTGTGAGCGTTGAATAAATTGAACACAAGGCAGAAAGAAAGCGGCGGCGTTAATTCTTTTCCGCAGAACTGGAACGAGTTCCCGCCCAGAGGAAGGAGAATGCACACAGTGTCGCTGCTGACTCCGCCGCCGCCACTTCGCGCGCTGCGCCGGCAGTACGCTCTCCTAGCCTCGCGCAAGTCGCCGGGCACCGCCCGGCCGAGGCTCTCTCGGGACGCCGCCGTCCAGCCTTCGCCGCAGCACGCCGTCGTTCAGCCATCACCTGGCAGCGTCCGATCTGCGTCCGAGCTCAGCTCAGCGTCCCAGTGCGAGAGAGTGGAGCGGGAGCGGCTGCCGCCCAAGTCGGTATTCCGGCGCCAGCTTCCCGCGCCTCTCGTCGCCTTCTCGTCGCCGCAAGGCCGCCGCAACTTCGCCGAGGCGATGGCCGCTGGCCAGCTTGAGCCATACTTTCCGCTGTCGGAGCAGTTTGTCACGCAGGACGAGCCAACCTTTTGTGGGCTGACCACGCTGACGATGGTGCTGAACGCGCTCAACATCGACCCTCGGCGCCGCTGGCGCGACGAGGCGGGGCCAGGCTGGCGCTGGTGGTCGGACGAGATGCTGCCCGCCAGCTGCACGGTGCCTCTCGAGCAGGTTCGCGCCGAGGGGACGACGATGGACGACTTTGCGAGGCTCGCAGTGGCCAACGGAGCGCGGGTGTGTGCAGTGGCGCCACGCTCCTCCATAGCCCCCCGGAGCCTCTCCGGAGCCTTGTCGGACCCGTCCCGCAGGTGCGCACGCGCTACGCCTGCGGCGAGAGCCTCGATTCGTTCCGCGCCTCCCTCGTCGAGCGGACGACCTCGGCCGCCGCCACTTTCGCCGTCACGTCCTTCTGCCGAGCGCGCCTCGGGCAGACGGGTGAGCTGCACCCCCAGGCCCTCTGTCGACGGCACACATGCGTGCGCCTCACAGCGCAAGTGCGCTCGCTGCAGGCGGCGGCCACTTTTCTCCGATTGGCGGCTATCACGCGGAGTCCGACTCGGCGCTGGTGCTCGACGTCGCCCGCTTTAAATATCCGCCGTTCTGGGTGCCTGTGGAGCAGCTGTGGGAGGCAACCCTCGCGGTCGACGAGGTGACCGGCCGCGCTCGCGGCTGGTTTGAGCTGAGCGCGGCCCCGCTAAATGAGAGGTGTGAGCACACGCTGTATTCGTGGCGCGCCACGTCGTGAACGTGACGTGAGTTTTATTCTAATACTAATTTTGATTTTTTAAAGGCGAAGGGGCTAAAAAGAAAATTTTGAAGCCAAGACAGACAGAAACAGGCAAGCAAAAGGGAGGGATGGAACAATTGGAAGAACTCACTCGGGCGGGTGTCCGAGTTTCTTTTTCCGCTGTGCTCGAGGGGACACGCGTTAGGAGTCGGCGCGAACGGATGTCGTCGACGAACGGAGTGGCGCCCGTAAAGGCAGAGTACCTCATCGCCCCTCCCGAGCGTCCCGCCACTAGCGGAGCAGACGGCTCGGACGCTGCTGCCACTGCTGACTCCGCCGCCGCCACCGTCGCCGGCCCTCCCTCGGCTGCCGGACCGCCGCGCAAGAAGCAAAAGGGCATGAACAAGAACCGGGGCTCGTACCGGCCGGCCAAGGCCGAGGTGCGGCTGTGCACGGCGGTCGTGCAGGGCCGGGAGTGCAAGTTTGGCGACGGGTGCAAGTATTCGCACGACCTCGTCGCGTACCGCACGACGTGCCCGCCCGATCTGGGCGAGCTGTGCCCCATCTACTCGGTCAACGGGTACTGCCGCTTCGGCGTCACCTGCCGCTTCGGCGGCGCGCACGGCGCCTCAAACACTCCGCCAGCGCAGCCTGTCGACTCTGAGCGAAACGTGGCGCCGGCGGCGCTGACGTCGCGGCTTCGCAAGCACGAGTACGACTTCAGTGGCGCCGCGCACGCGCTTCGCCAGTGGGACGCGATCAACGAACACCGCAAGCCGTCCGAGGGACAGGAGGCGGGCGCGGCTGCCGCGGCGCAGGCGGCGGCGGCGCAGGCACAGGCCGGGGCATCGGACGGGCCTGCGCCTGCAGTGGATGGGCCAGGGAAGGAGGAGTCTGCGAGAGCCGAGGGTGCCACCGGTGCGGACGCTGCCGAGGGTCTCGAGGGGGGCTGCACGGCTGGCGGCGGCGGGCACTACCCGAGCGGCAGCGTGGCGACGCGCGAGCGGCGGGCAGTGGACTGGCGCCGCAAGCCGTACTCGCGCCGCTCGAGATTGCCCGAGATGATCCGAGATTGTCCGAGACCAGGCGCGGCAAGCTGTACCTCGCGCCGCTCACGACGGTGGGCAACTTGCCGTACCGGCGCGTGTGCAAGGGGTACGGCGCCGACATCACCTGCAGCGAGATGGCCATGGCGACCAACCTGCTGCAGGGCCAGGCGCCTCGAGAGGGCGCTGCCTGCGGCGGGCAGGCGCCGGCCCCTTCTCGGAGGCGTCCCGGAAGTGTCGCTCTAGGCGTCCGAGTGGGCGCTGCTGCGGCGGCACGTGTCCGAGGACGTGTTCGGCGTGCAGATCGCAGGCAACAGCGCCGAGACGATGGCGCGCGCCTCGCGCGGCTCCTCGACGCCCCCCCGAGATTGCGTCGAGATGAGGTCGAGATTGCGCGGGGCCGTAGGCGCGCGTCGCGCAGCTCATCGAGGCGGAGACGGAGGATTGCTCTGCTCCACGCGACCAGCTGCTGCCGGAGGGCGACTCTTCACGCCGCGCAGCCGTGAACAGGTCGATTTCGTCGACATCAACATGGGCTGCCCGATCGACCTCGTCTGCAACCGCGGCGCGCGACCCTTCCGAGACACTTACCAGCTCTCTGACGCACCATGCCAACCACCCCTCGCCCTTCCCACACCGCTGTGTCCGCTCCGCCGTTGCGGCATGCCGGCGGCGAGACCCGTCCGCAACTGCTGCAGGCATGGGCGCCGGGCTGGCGCAGCGCGCCAACAAGGTGCAGGGCATCGTGCGCGTCATGTCGCAGCAGCTCTCGTGCGGACCCTCACCGCCCGGCGCCGCAGCTCGGCCGTGCGGTCGGCTCCACCTCGCCACCCACCTGCACAGGTGCCCTCTCACCGTCAAGCTGCGCACCGGATACGACATGGACAAGCCGACCGCGCACCGGCTCGTCCCGCAGCTGCCCGGCTGGGGCGCCGCCGCGGTGACGCTGCACGGCCGCTCGCGCCAGCAGCGGTACACCAAGCTCGCAGACTGGGACTACATCTCGCAGTGCGCCGGGCGCATTCGCCGCGCCGGCAGTGCGGACGGCGTCTCTTCACGCGTCCTGCCGTGAACAGGTGCGCCAGCGCGTGCCCCGCGCCGCTAATTGGCAACGGCGACGCCTTCAGCTACGAGGACGTGGACAACGCGCTCAAGTCGGAGACCGGCATCTCGTCCGTGATGCTCGCGCGCGGCGCGCTCGTCAAGCCTTGGCTCTTCACCGAGGTCAAGGAGCGGCGCCACTGGGACATTTCGGCCTCGGAGCGGCTCGACATGCTGCGCGGGTTCGTGCGGTTCGGCCTCGAGCACTGGGGCACCGACACGCTCGGCGTGGCGCGCACGCGCAACTTCCTGCTCGAGTGGCTCTCCTTCCTCCACCGCTACGTGCCCGTCGGCCTCCTCGAGCGCCTCCCCTGCCGCATCAACGAGCGGCCGCCGACCTACTTCGGCCGCAACGACCTCGAGACGCTGATGGCCTCGTCGATGGCGTCGGACTGGGTCAAGATCTCGGAGATGCTGCTCGGGCCGGTGCCGGCCGACTTCCACTTCACGCCGAAGCACAAGGCCAACGCGGCCGCCTCCGCCGCTATTACCGCCGAAGGATGAGCCGGCGCGCGCAGAGACCGGAGTGAGCGAGTGAGCCAGCGAGGGGGAGCTATCGGGCCCGTCCGTTGCGCGCCATGCCGCGTCGCGCGCTTGTGAATCTGCTGAAGAAAAATACGCGCACGTGTACCCCGTCACCCTTAACACACCCGAGAGATTCATGGGTTATGGCGCGAGAACACGCGAACACTCTGCGCTGTGGGGAGACGAGGTCAGAGGACCCGCGCCGCCAGACGGCAGACGACGCGCAGAGTGACTGAGGGCAGAGACGACGGGGGAGAGTTGGAGCAGACGCGCAGGGCGAGACGAGGGAGGGACGGGAGCAGGACTTTGCGGTGATCAGCAGGAGGATGTACCGAAGAGATTAGGAGCAGCAGGGAGCCAGGGACCCGAGGCCGAGGGACCATGTGGAAGACGGCTAGTGCGCTAGTCGCCACAGAATCGGGAGAGGACGCGCGACGGCGCGACCCCGTGGAGTTAGTCGCCGACCACACCCACAAAGACGACCCTGCACAAAGATCGCACGGGCGGGGACCTGTTCCTTTTTACCCATCTCACAGTAGAGGTGTCCGTTTTATTATGATTTATGCGCTGCACATGCACATGCACATGCATCGAGTTCGACTTCGAGACGGACACCGCAGGCTCCCGGCCTCGGGCGGGGGGCCGGGGGGAGCGCGCGGTAGAGAGAAAAGAGACCGCAAGAGCGGGAGAGACCGCGCAAAAAAGCTGCCAACTCTGACAGAGAGACGTCACAGAGCCGCAGTGTTCCCCACACCCACAAGAAGCAGACCGCTTCCACCCGGAGGTGAGTGCAGCTCTAGGACTTCACAGGAGCAGCTCCTCGACGCTCTCGCTCTTTGGCGGCAGCGTGGCGAGCTTCTCGGCCGCCTGCTGTTCGTTGGGGACGCTCGCCGAGCGGAGCGAAGCCTGCTGCTGCTCGCAGGCCAAGCGGTGTGGCGTGGTGGTCGCCCACGGGGCGGCTGTGGCAGCGGCGGGTTCGTCGAGCAGCACCGGCTTGCGCAGCGGAGCGAGGCGCGCCTCGCCCAGCCGGCGGTCGCGCAGGACGTGGGGCGACCCAAACTTGTGGAAGACCCGCGTGTCGTGCTGTCGGATGTGGACGCCGTCCACCTATGGGACATGTCGTGGACAGGTCTCGCGTGGACATGTCTAATGGACACGGCACGGACAGGAGCCCGCTGTCGGCACCCGGAGCGCATGGCGGAGCAGGAGGAGGAAGCAGCTGGGCATCACGCGCATCCGCAGCCTCACCACCGACTCGCCGTTGTCGCCAAGGTCGTCCTCGTACAGCGTGAGGTCCACGAAGTGCAAGATCGGTATGTCGCGCCGGCGCAGCAGTGCCATGTCCAAGCCACTGCCAGTGTGCACCCCCCACTGCGCCGGTGCACCCTCCACCTCTGTGGTAGGCGAGAGAGGGCTCTCGGCGCCCGTGGTGCCACTATAGTCGGTCGAGAATGTCCAGTCGTAGTCGGACGCACCCATCGCCAGATCCTGCTCGTCCGCAACCTTTTTCCAGGAGGGCAAGCTCGCCGTGGTCACTCGAACCCCGCCTGAGCCCTTGTGCGCAGACTCTCGCATCCAGCAAGCGATTGCTCCGGCCGCATCGAAGCTGAAGGTGCGACCGCTAGCCTCGTGCGTCATCGTGAGGTAGCTGTGTCCGAAGATGGCCTCAGGCAGAGGCGGCACAATCGATGGGAGGCCTTTGGAGGCGGCGGTGGCGCTGAGCTTGTCGGTGAGCGTGCCACGCTCGCAAGTGCTGAGGATTGGCCCGGAGACGCTGTCGAACCTCCAGCCTTTGTACTCGAAAGAGCTGGCCTTCACGCCATTGGAGACCTCGACGCCATTGGAGGCAGCCACCATTCTGTGAGCCAAGCGTGGCTTAGCGAGAGTGCTGCGCGGCGCTAGTGCTCCCTAATCCTGTTCGCTGTCTCACGCAAGTGGCACCAATGCGGCACCGCATTTTACTTTTTTCCACCAGGGCTTGACTGTAGGGCCAGTTGAGGACAACCAGGCACACGAGGAACCAGCTCCGGAATCCAGTTGGTGCCGACGAGCCAGGCACTCTTCTTGACTTGTTTGGCACCTTCTCTCGGCATGAGATCGCACGCACGATCCTTACTTTTACAACTCACGAACCCAAGAGAGAGAAGAAGTCTCTCTGTCTCGAACCCATCGCTCCAAAAATAGCTCCGACAAGGGTCCAGGCCTGGGACGCGCTCAGATACGGCGCTGGACGTGCGCCGGAATTTCGAGTAGTATGGCCCCGAGGGAGGGAGCACGAGTAGCAGCACAGTCATCACCAGTGAGGCAGAGAGAGATTTTTAGCGATACCAAACAACTCTAACACTCACACGTCATTTGGGGCCTGGAGAGTGTTTGTGAGGCAGTGCGCCGCACATTTCCATTCCCGCGATTATGCGCTCCGTGATCGCAATCGGCGTCAACCGGGTCGTCCGCCCACAAAGGATTCGCGATCGTCCGATCTTTGACCGCGCAAGATATGAAGGGTGGCTAAGGGCTCTGCTCGCAAGGCGCCCGCGTCGCAGACGCGGTACCATTGACAAATCTGCAATATACCCCCACACGAGCAAATAGCAAAATCCGAATACCGTGCACGAACTGCGTGAACTGCGCCGTGCAAGCCTTCAGCTGGTGCCACATCCGTAAAATTGAAGCCAAGAACGTCCGCCAAATCCGTGCTTTCGGAGCAACTGAGGGAAAGCCGCTGATCGAGCCCAGCGTGCCCGCGGCCGCCTCCCGCGCAGCACCGCCGCTGGGGACGACACGCTGCGGAATCGGATCGAGCCCATGCACCGGGCAAAGAAGGACGCTGCAGAAGCGGTTGGAGAGGCAGCCGGCGTCTGCCGTCACAACGAGTCCCAGCGCTGGTTGGACATGCGCGTCGGCTCGCCCGAGGACTGCTATCGCGACCCTCCCGTCGTGCCGCAGCCTCCGACGAGCTCTGAAACCGAGAAGAGTGAGGGTGCGCCTCCCCTCACTGCTGGCCTGGCTGCGCACCGCCCCACAAAGCACCCCCTCGAGCATCTCTACAAGTACAAGTAGAAGGGCGACCCCCCCCCCCCCCCCCTTTCCCCTGCGCTCATTCCCTGCCCTCTCCCACCACACACTCTGTCAGAGCCCCCTCCCCTCTTGCACAACAGGAATTTTGACAATTAACCAGATGACTGCTAAGTTTTTGTAGCGCGACTCGGAGTTGCTATGTCGGCCTCTCCCGCCTGGAAGAGCCCCCCTCCCCCCCCCCCCCTCCCCCTTCCCTGTCCGGCCAACGCGGAGCACATACCCTCTTGCTACCCCCTGCAGGTGGGGGAAAGGCACAACTCAGAACGATGGGCTTGCCCATCCCGGAGTGGTTCGATCCCACACAAACCCGAGACGGTGACGGGAGCTATCTGATGATCTCAGGCCCGGTTGGAGGGTAGTGCGTCGGATTGCCTGGATCCTGCTGAACAAGCTCCTCTTGTAGCTCGATCGGTCACACCGCCATCGCCGTCGGGGAGAGGGGGGACGACACTGCTTCGGCAGCGTGCACCTCGATCCTGTACCGTGTTTGTTATGACCCCCCCCAATGAACATACCAGTGAGGGAGGGCGAGACGATCGAGGGGTCCCGTACCATGCGGAATCGACCCTATCCAGTGCTCAAGTGCTCAAGAAGGGCGACCTTCTCCAAGTCGTCAACGCGCCCGGCGGCTCCGGCAAGACTTTAGCCTTGGCCACCCTCCTTGCGGAGCAGGAGGAGATCCGCTCTCGGTCGGCAACGTGGCAGCTAGTCGAGGGACTCGGTAGTTGTGACCCCCCTGAGTGAGGACAGGAGAGAGAGAGCTTTTGTGGTGCTGGTGTACGCAATAACGGGACAGGGTAGTCGTTCTCTCTAGCTCCCCTTCTAGCTCTTAGCATGAGCTGTGCCCTGTGTCCGACCCCGTTTGCGCAGCAACACCTTAAACTTTTAGGCGGCCCTCCAAATTCGGGTCGGAGCGTAGCGGAGTGGGCCCCGAGTTTGAATGAAAAGGGCGACGGACGCTTGCGAGTGTGTGTGTGTGTGTGTGTGTGTGTACTCACACACACGGACGCTTGCGTCCTAGCCTCCAACAACTCCTCCCCGGCGCAGAGGGGCCCCCAGGGCATGCTCAACAGCTCCGCTGGTGCGGGTATTCTTCTCTTTTTTCGACCAGGGTTCCAACTTTTTGCGGGGTATGGTACCCTCGCGGCCCAAAGGGTGGGGGGGTATGGTCCTGACCGCCCATCCCCGGTCTCCGGGAGGCTGGGTCTGTCAGCAGGCGGGGGGGGTATGGTCTCGAGGTGGGTTGCGCGAGAGTACCATACCATACCCCGCAAAAAGTCCGAACCCAGCTTCGTGCGCGATTCCGTGCGACGGTCTGCTATAGCCAGCCACTCCCAGCTGCTCGGTGTGAACAGAGTTCGTGCACCGAGCAGCAGGGATAACTCGAGATCCCTCGAGAGTTCACGCGGAGTCGGCTGGGGCTATACCAGACAGCGGTCCCCGGGGGGTGTGCCACGCCGCCGTCTCCTCATGGAAACACAGGCCGTAGACGCCAGGTCTGCAGCTTCCTGCTCCGACGGCACCTCCTCGGCTCTGCACGAGGTCGCGTCCGAGTCGCAGCTGGGCCAGAACGGACGCCTCCTGGTGCAGGCGGGCGGCGGCCGCTACATCGCTCTCATTGCGCATCGTGGCGACGTGCACGCCATCGACGCCACCTGCTATCACATGGGAGGTCCGCTCCTGAACGCAGAGATTGAGGACTGCGGCCCGTTTGGTCCGTGCGTCGTCTGCCCGTGGCACCGCTACCAGATCAGCCTCCGGAGCGGCGACAGCCTCTATCAGAATATGAGCGGCACAGTGTGCAGCAAAGGCCTCAAGCAGCGGGTGCACGAGGTGGTCCGTCGGGACGGCAAGATTCTCGTGCGAATCGCTCACAGCGACAAGATCGAGTCGGACAACTACGCATTCAAGACGCCGCCGCCCTCTAGCGGCGGCCTGGCAGCGCCGCCGCAGCGGCGCTCTGGGGAGGTCTTGCGTGCTGGTGCAGCTGGCGTTCGCCGGCCAGCGCGTCTGACGGCGGGTGCGGCCGGTGATGTGGCAAAATCAATGTGCGGCGCCGACGGCCGTGCCCCGTGGGCACGCCCTTCGATGCCGCCGCCGCCGTCGGCAGGCTCCCGACTCGGCGCAGCTATCACGGCGGGCGTGCCGGCGGCGGGGGGCGCCGCTGGCGCAGCGTCGGCTGGCAGCACGTCGACGCCGCCCCCGCTGCTGGCCGGGTGGAGCAGACACGTCGTCCGCTCCCGAGCGGAGGTGGGCCGGGGCAGTGTGCGGCTGACGCTGCAGGGCCCTCTCCCCGGGTCGACTCGCGCGCTCGAGTGGACGTGCGGCTCGCACGCGCTGGTGAGGCTCGAGGGCGGCGAGGGAGGCGAGCAGCCCTACACGCCGTACCAGCGAGCGGGCGGTGCGTTCGAGGGCACCTTCGAGCTCGTCGTCAAAGCGTACCCACAGGGAGCGCTGTCGCCCCGCATCGCCGCGCTGCACCCGGGGGACTCGCTCCTCGTGCGGGGCCCGGTCGGTGGCGCGGCCAGGCTGGCTCCCGCTGTCCATGCCGTCGGCTTCGTGGCTGGAGGCACGGGAATCACGCCCATGCTTCAAGTGATCTACTCTCTCGTGCGCTCTCGCAGCGCACTGCCGCGCCTGCGGCTCCTGTGCTTCAACCGACGGGCGGAAGACATCCTTGTGGCCGACGAGCTGGCGGAGCTGAGCGCTGCCCACCCGGAGCAGCTGCGCGTCTTCCACTCCCTCAGTGATCCGCCCGCGGCCTGGAGCGGAGGCCGAGGCCGCCCGAGCAAGGAGATGCTGCAGGCGCAGCTGCCACCCCCCGCTCCGCACGTGCGAGTGTTGTGGTGCGGCCCGCCGGCCTTCAACTCGACGGTGAGGGAGCTGCTTGGCGAACTCGGATACGCTGACGGGATGCTGCACGAGTTCTCCTGACCGTTGAACGATATCTGTGTCGAAACACCGCTCTGGCAGCGCTCAACAGCTACGTCGTTTCTGTTCTCAACAAAAAAAGCCAGAGCAGACGCATGATCGTGCGAGAATACTGACAAATAGCGATGCGCTGTGAATATATTGGGATATACTGGGGTATATTGCACCCCTGGAATATACTCCCATATTGCGCACTATTGCGCAATATACGGAGATATTGGAGGAACATCTTCCAGCCGAATACTGGGATATATTGGAGTATATCTCGGCGCCGCCAAGCACCTCAATCCTTCCGCAATATATTGCAATATACAGCAGTATATCCCAATATATTCACAGCTTGCTGGCCCCATTATTGGCTTATAATTCGCAATACTGGGATATATTGCTGTATATTGCCGAACAGGTCATGCAAAACGGGCCCTGAGTGTGACCGAAACGTGTACATCGGCATAAAAATGACCCTTCTGCTACCCGCACGCCGCCTCGCCGGCCACCCAGGCCGGGTCATAACACGTGGGGAGGAGGGAGGAAGGGTCACAAGGCGACACACCGACGTACTGACCGACACACTACGCCTCCGGGTCGCCGGCCGGACGCACGCGTGCCACCACAATCCGCACCATCGCGGCAATAACCGAGTCCTTCTCGGGACTATAGTCCTCTCCCAGATGCTCCAGCTTGATCCCGCGGCGCACCAGCTTGGAGCGTCCCGGCCCGTCGCCAAACAGCCGCTCCGCGCGCCGCTCGGTCGGAATGGAGGCCACGCCATCGCCGCGCCGCAACGCGTTGGTGATGAGGAGGTGGTACGCGACGGACAGAGCCATCGTCGTCGCCCGCTCCGCCACGCCGCACAACCGCGACGGCCCCTGCGCGCCCGCCTTCGTCGGCCCGCGCTGCGCCTGCCCCGCCCCGATGGTCTCCAAGTTGGTCGCGCCGTTGCTCTTTGCCCTCCTCTTGGCCTCCGCGTTCAGCAGCTCGAGCGGGCCGGTGTCGAAGGCCTCGACATCGCCGACCTCGAGGATGGACTCGGTGATCTTGAAGATGGCGCCGTGCGGCATGTACGAGCCGTGGTTGTACAGCGAGACCCGCTCGTAGATCTCGTGCAGGTCCACGGCCAGCTGCATGTTCTCGAGCGCGCGCGCCTCCTTGACCGCCTTGTCCGCGTTGATCGGCACGCGACGCTTCCAAGCGTAGTACCACGCGAAGTAGGCGTCGAAAGCGAGGGCGGCGCGGATGGCGGTCTCGGCACGCGAGCCGTACATCTCGCGCAGCAGCTCCAGGTGCGCCGTGTCGGCCTCGCGCTCGACGCGGGAGGGCTGGCGGGTCAGCTCGGCGTCGGCTGGCTCGGGCGGGGCGGGGGCGGGAGCAGCCGCAGCCGTCTTGGCCTTGCGCGCCGACTTACCCTTCGTCGCCTTACCCTTCGTCGCCTTGGCCGCAGCGGCGGCGGGGGCGGGCGTCGCAGCGGCCGTCTCGCTCCCCGCGTTTACTCCGCGGTCCTGCAGGTCGTCGAGCATGATGACGAGGAAGGTCGCGATCGCCACCGGCCCGCCCGGCGACTTGCCGTCCCCCGCGATCAACCGGCCCCACGCCTCGCCGGTGAACCATTTCTTCGACCCGTCGCGCCCGGCGTCCTTGCGCCGCAGGTCGAGGTGGTGGCCAAACTCCGCCAGCTTCTCCTGGACCTGCTGCCGCGCGTCGTCGCTGCAGTTGTTGAGCAGCCCCCACTTCCAAGGTGTCTTGGGAAGGTTGAGCTTCGCGACGTGCAGATGACAAAGGTGCTTGCGGCGGCGCGCCACGCGGAAGAGCGAGACGGCCGAGGGGCCGCACTTGACCATGCGGTGCTCCTTGGCGCGGTCGAGCTGCCACTTCGCGTACTTTGCACGGCCGGCCTTGGACGTGTCCGCCTGAAGGGCCTCGCGCAGCTTGATCTCGGCGACGCGCTCGGCGGCGGCAGTCATCGGGTTGCGGGCAAAGCTGCACCTGGTGCACGGGCGCGGGATCGCCTCGCCCTCGTGCAGCTCGTGCGCGAGCGTGATCTCCTCGTCCACCTCGGGCCCCGTGCACGCCTGGAGCAGCGAGTACATCTGCTCGACCGACTCGGGCCGGCTCGGCGTGACTCGCAGAGCCGTGTGGCGGTCGCACTCGCACCACCCCGAGCCGGCCTTCATGTCCACGTGCCGCAGCGCCCCCGTGTCGAGCGTCTGGTGGAGGGCGAGGCGGACGTCGGCCGTCGCGCTGTCGTCGAGGAGGATCGTCTGTGTGCGCCCCTGCCGGTCCCGCTCGGCCGTCCGGTGGATCGCGGGGAGGTTGTCGCCCATCAGCTTCTCCGCGCCGCCGCGGTCGTCTTTGACGGAGCCCTGCGCGAGCAGCCGCAGGTGCGCGGTCGAGCCGGGCTTGTAGGGGTTGCGCAGCACCGCGGTGGTGAGCTGGCCGCCCTGGAAGCCGGTCGCGTCGAGCGAGATGATGATCGGGAGGTCGACCTTGCCGCCTAGGAAGAAGGGGAGGGGAGGCATGCCGTGCGTGCCCGGGTCCTCCTTCACGACCATGGCCACCACATCGTCAAACTTGCGGAAGCCGACCCGCCCGTTCTCCGCCGACTTGAGCTGCTGCTGCTCCTTGAGGAGGTCAATGACGGGCTCGAGTTTGCTGCGGGGCGCTCCCACGCGCGGCACCCTGACGACGCGCGCCTTGTTGACCGGGTCAACGTAGACGACCTTGCGCACGAACGCGCCGGTCGTCTTGTCGAGCTTGTGGCTGCCGGCGTGCGTCAGGCGCAGAATCTTGTCCATCGTCAAGCCGAGCTCGAAGTGGCAGAAGAGGCCGAAGCTCACGCCGTAGTGCTCCTGCTCGATCTTCGTGACGAACTCGGCCAGGCCGGTGAGGTGCAGCGTCTGGACCTTGGCGAGCTTGAACAGCTCGCCCAGCCGGCCCTGGCCGTCGAGGACGTCGATCAGCGGCTCGAGCCTCCGCCCCTCGGGGAGGAACTCGCGCCACAGATCGCGGTCGCGCTGGTTCTCCTTGCGCTGCGCCACGCGCGAGAGCTGCGCAAACTCCTCCGCGCTGCACTTGCGCACGGCCCGCGTGTCCGCATTGTCGAGCCGGTCGCGCGCGCGCTGCAGCTTGCGGTCGGAGAGCATCTTCTGGTACTTCACCGCTCGAGCCTCCGCTGCCGCCGCCTCCGCCGCTCCCTGCGCCTCCTCGAGCTCCGCCTTCGCCTCCGCGAGCTGTTCGTCTCGCTCCTCGAGCTCCTCCGCCAGCCGCTCCGCCTCTCGCTCCACCGCGGCGATGGCCATCTGCTCCGCCGCCGCCTTGCGCTCGCGTGCCCTCCCAGCCCTACTCGCTGCCTTCTCGCGCTCGAGCTCGCGCTGCTCGTACTTGCCGACGACGCTGCTGAGCTCGCGGTTCTCGCGCCGGAGATCGCCGTTCTCCGCCTCCAGCTCGGCGATGAGCGTCTGTGCCTTTGCGAGGAGCGAGAGCTCGTGGCTGCGCTCGCGCCGCGCCTTGTCTCTATCGCGTCGCGCCGACTCGAGCTCTCCCTCCAGCCGCGCTAAGTCGGGCGCCGGGAGGAGCGGCGACGATCCCGAGGCCAATCTAGTTCCAGACCTACATCCGGAGCGCCGCGAAGCCGATGAGCTCGCGACGGGCGAGTCAGCTCCAGGCCGGTCGGGCGGCGCGGAGGCAGAGCGCTGCGGCCGCCCCGAGCCGGGCCGCCGACCGCCTCGCCCGCTCGGCGGCGCCGGGCTCACTGCTGCTCCTCCCACGCCTTGTACGCGTCCGTCTTGGTCAGCCCGCTCGCCGGCTCCCACGTCGAGACCGCGTCGCCCGCCTCCCCGTCCCCCGGGAGCCGGAACTTCTCCCATGAAGGGTGGTAGCCGCTCCACCGGACCTTGAGCTGCCGCACGCCCGCCTCCACCCTCTCCTCCGTGATCGCCTCCACCTCGAACAGGGTCGCCTTGGTCCAGAGGAGTTTCCGCCGCGGGACCGCCGGCGCCTTCTCGGCCTTCCGCTTGCCCGGCCGCGGCGCCCCCCTCGCGTCCCCGCCGCTGTCGACCTGCGCGGCCATCTTGTGGTTGCCCATCTGGCGCCAGTAGCCCGCCGCCAAGGCTCTCCCCTTCTCCGCGTGCGCCTTGATGTCGGAGAGGATCATGCGCCGCCAGGTCGCCTCCGTCGCCGGGTCCAGCGCCAACTCGCGCCGGTTCGCGTCCTTCGGCGGATGGAGGTCCCCGTGCTCCGTCGACAGCGCGAACTGCATGTCCACCGTCAGCGTCGGCCGGCTGTGCCGCGTCTTCGGCTTCTCCCATGTCAGAGTCAGCGCCGTCACCGTCGCCGCCTGCTGCGCCGCGGGAGAGGAGGGCTTGGTGATCAGCTTCGTCAACCCGCACACCGACGGCACCAGCGCGAAGAAGGGGCGCGCGAGCTCCGCCGCGTCCGTCATTGTGTCTGCATTGAACTGGAGCGAGCGCGGCTGGTCGATCGCCTTGAGAGGAGGCGGCAAGTCCTTCAGCACCTCCCGCGGGCAGTCGCGGAAAGTGAAGCTCGCCGTCTGCCACAGGAACTGGCCGCCCAGGGTCCGCAGGCTCGTCGCCATCCGCAGCCCGATCTCCTGCCGGAACGAGTCCTGGTGCTTGAGGAAGAAGCCCAGCCGGCTCGCCTCGGCCAAAAGGCGCGCCACGTCGGCATCCGACTGGTGGGCTGGTGCCGAAGTGAAGGCGTCTGGGGCTACGAATCCCTGCGCCCAGGACCTCGGTCCCCGGCTCCGGGGGGCCCTGCTCGATGCTTGCGCGTGCGCGCCCTCCGGCGGCCGCGAGGTCTGCTCCCCTGGAGCCAGAAGGTTGAGACGTTGATGTCGAGAGGCAGGCGCTCAGGGTAGACAGGGGACATGCGCGCCCCATCGCGCGGGGCGCGCGTGTCGCACGAGCATGGTATGCTGACGGGGCGCCGCCACCCGACGTAGTGGCACGCCGCCCCTGCACGATTGCAGCAATTCCGAGGCCCTTGCTCCGCTTCGTGAACTACGCGGGAGGCCAACCAAGATGCGTTGGCTCGGCTATGCCGACGTTTGCCGTGCTCGCGTGGCACCCACTGGCACTGTTAAGAGCATCGATTCGACTTGACATCCGCCATCGCAACCGCCGCCGCGATCCCATTTTGCACTCAGGACGCAGACGCTCGCGGTCAGTCTGAGCATAGGGCCTTCCTCCATCGAGCCGTCGGACGATGAGCCATCGATCTGGCGCTCGGAGGCGACCTCTGGCCCCATCGTGCCTCTGCGCACCCGTTTGCGGCAGCACTGCTGCACCGGATCTCCAAAATCCAGCCGAGCGAATACTGCTGAATACTGCTGAATACTGCTGAATACTGCTGAATACTGCTGAATACTGCTGAATACTGGGATATATTGGAATATGTTGGGATACATTGCTGTATACCCCAGGCGTACTTTGGTGCACAATATATCGCAGTATACTCCAATATACTCCAATATACTCTTGTTTCGCCCCGGGATTAGCTCCGGCATATATTGGAATATATTGGAATATACTGGAGACGTATCAACAGGGCGATTATATCGCAATATAAGCCAATATATCCCAATATTCTCCAATATATCCGGACCGTATATTGCGATATATTGGCTTATATTCCACATTTCAGCTGTGAAGCTTAATTGTCAGTATTCTCTGCAAAGCGCTTCGACACGCGCAAGCTTGGACACGCGCAAGGCTGTACGAAGCAGCTCACAGGCGTGCCGCCGACGTTGCCTCTTCGGCCACTCTCACGTGAGGTGCCGCGAGTCCCGTGGTTAGAGTCGAGTATTGGTCTTGTAGGTGTGCTCGCGGAGTGATGAAGATCGGCATGTACAACTTTCAGTGGGCGGGCGGTGAGTTTGAGGTGGAGTTCCGCGAGAAGAACATCTTCTGGTGCAAGCGCTTTGCGAACGAGGCGAGCTGGACAGAGGTTCAGCCCGGCGTGGTGGGCGTCAATTGGGGCAAATACGGCAACTACCAGCTGACGGCGCAGCCCGACGGCTCGTTCGCTGGCGGCGTGCTGACGACGGACGCCTCGGGCGCGCCCGTCGTGAACACGAACGACTGGCGCAAGGCGACCTTCGTGCGCGCCTTCACGCCGGCCGAGGAGCTCCTCTCCGGCTCCGCGTGGATGCTCCACTACGAGAACGGCGTCCCGTTCCGTGTCGAGTTCCACGCCGACGGCCACTTCCACTCGCCCGCCTACCCCGGCCACCATCTCTGGAAGGCAAGCCCCGCAACCCGCACACACGCAACTCTGCCGCCGCCCGCCGCCGCCCGCCCGCCCGCCGCTGGCCTGGCGGTGCCTGCCGCCTGCCACGCTTGCCTGCCGCCGCCCCACGCTGCGACGAGGCGGCCTCTGCCCCTCCGCCCGCCTCTCCGCGCGTCTGCCGCCGCCGCGACGAGCTCCTCTGAGGGAGCGCCTCTCGCCTTCTCTCGCCTTCCCTCTCACCTCCTCCCGCCTCCTCCCGCCCTCCAGCTCAACGGCAACCAGGTCGCCACAAGCTGGCCGCACGCGAGGCGGAGCTTTCTTTGTTCTTGATCGGCACATGTCTTTGTATCGCAGGTCGCCATCGAGTGGGGCAAGTACGGCAGCTACGACCTCACCCTCGAGGTCGCGGCAGGCACCCTCCGAGTCACTTCATAGACACTTCCTGGACCCTCGCCTCTCCCGTGGCGCGTGGCAGCGAGGCGCAGCGCCGTCTCCAGTCATCTCCGCATCGCCCTCCTCCCCTCGCACACCTCTCCGCACACACCTCTCCGCACACACCTCTCCGCACACACCTCTCTGCAGACACCTCGCACACCCGCCGCACCTCTGACGGCTCTCCCCTCTCTCTCCGCGCAGACCGGCGGCAGTCCACGGCGAGCGGCAGCCTGCGCGGCCACCCGGCCTCGTGGCGCAGGCCCCATGAGTAGCAGCTCACCAGCAGCTGCCGACCAGCAGCTGGAGCTCAATAGCAGCGCGGCCACCCGGCCTCGCGGCAGATGCACATGTTCGCACCTCTCTCGCTGCCCTCACGGACACCGCTGGTGTCTGTTCCCGGAGCAGGCTCACCTACGAGGAGGCGCTGCCCGCGTACGTCTTCAAGGAGAACAGCTGCGGCCACTCGCACTGACGCTCGGGGACGCGTCGGGCACGCCGGCCACCGACACGTGTCGTGTCGCGTAGACGCATTGGCCGCGAGAGGCACAGAGAGGGGCCGAGCGAAGTAGAGTGAGGGTGCAGCTCACACAGCGAGAGTTTGGAGCATGTGTAGAGCGTGTCGTAGCGCGCGGACAGAGGCGCAGGCAGGCAGAGGAGAGCGGCTCAGGCCGTAGACACTTGTTGAAATCGACGTAACAGCGACCTAATTTATCCTTAAATGCGACAGAGATCCGCGCGCGCCCCTTTTGGAGCGTGCGTGAAGGCTTCGACCTTCGTCGTGGCTTCGTATAGCCCTTGCGATCTACTATAATGGAGCGAAAAAAAGCAAGCGAGTGGACCTCACCCCCTCCGGAATGGCGCAGCGAGAAAGAGAGACGTTGCCGCAGCAACTGCAACTGCCCCGGCGAGCGCGCCCAGTGCAAAAACGCGCCCCTCTGCCGCCACCACAACCGCCGCCGCCACCTCTGCCGCCATCGTCACCGCCGCCTGTTGGTCCTTCTCCGCGCTTGTCCGAGCGTGGGGGTCGTAGCTCCGGGACACGACGACCGGGCAGGCCCGGTCGACAGCGATGGGCGACGCTGCCTCTGTGCTCCCGCCTTGTCGTGGCGGTCGTGCCATCGACTCCCACTCTTTGCGGTGCTCGTCCACAAACAGCTGCAACGCCTCGAGGGCGTCAGGGAACACATCCTCGCCGTATCCCACGCGGAAGTAGTCGAGGTCCTCCGTCACCACGTCGCTGAAGCAGTAGGCGGGCTTGATGCCGATGCCCGCGTCCGCAAGCTCCTGCCCGAGCTCGCTCGACGACAGAGGACCCTTGAAGTTAATAAAGGCGATCGCGCCCGCCGTCGGGCGCACCCAACTAAAGAGGTCGCCGTTGCGGAGGATGAAGGCCTCCAGAAGGCCAAAGTTACGCCGAATGATGGCCAGGTTGCGCTGCAGGATCGTGTCGCTCGCCCGGAGGCACATGATGGCCTGCAGCTCGCTCGCCCGGCTGCAGCATGCGGTGCCAAAGTATTGCACGTCCACCAGGCGCTGCTTGATAGTAAGGTCCTGGAAGACGAGCCAGCCGATTGAGACGCCGCACGCGCCCCACGGCTTGGAGAGAGTCACGGCGCTGAGACCACGCTCATACAGGTCCGCCATGGCCGGCAATCTGTCCTTCGGGTCGTGCTCGAGCAGCCGGTAGACCTCGTCCGAGAGGATGTAGATGCCATGAGCTCTCGCCAACGCCGCGAGCTCTCGCTGCGTCTCGCGCTTCATCAGCACTCCGGCGGGGTTGTACGGCTGGTTCACGATGATGTACCTGGTGTTGTCTCGGATGGCGGCCTTGACCTCGGTGACGTCAAGCTGCCAACCCTTTGACGCGCGGAGAGGAAGGGTCGTGACCTGGCTCCCAGCATGCAGCGGCGTCTCGGCGGTGGATTGATATGCTGGGTTGAAGACGATGGCGTGCGTGTGACTGTTTGTGAGGGCAAAGGCAGCCGTCTGGAGAGCGACTTGGCAGCCGGCAAAGACGAGGACGTTCTCTACGCCGATATGGCAGCCGTACAGGGCCGCCACCTCCTCCCGCAGATCCAAGCTACCTCCATTTGGCGTGTAGGTCAGGTCGTGCGTCTCAAACGCCTCCAGCAGCGCGTGGTCGCCTCTCTCGCGTGTGAGCCGTAGCAACTCGCTGTGACTGGTGGGCTGAGCGAATGAGTTGCTCAGGCTGAAGCGCACGCCGCCAGAACTGGCGCGGGTAAGCCGCTTGTGCTTTTTGCTCCACGGCTCGGTCAGCGGCATCGACTAATAAGCGGCGCGTCGGTCGTGTAAGACACTTTTTGGAGCCGCGCGGAAGGAACAGACTCGTTCGTCCCACTGTTGCTTTTGGAACGAGCGAGCGACAGCGAGCTGCGTGCTGCTGTTCGAGCCGGCCTTGCTGGCTGGCGTCGCCGGCCGGCTGGGTCGGGGGGGCGGCGTTTGGCCCGGAGCTGGCGCGGGCCATGGCGGATGCGGCCTCTCCACTGACGACGCTGAACTACGTCAAGGCGAGCACAGCGACGACAGCCTTCCTCGGGCTTCCGCGGCTCTGCCAGTCCCCTTCCTTGTCCGTCAGGCAGATGAAAGCGTTGGTCGGCATCGGCGCCGCGACCGAGTCGCATCCTGTCACACTCCACGACGCGCGAAGCGACTCCTCCCTCCGGTATGAGACGTGCGGCTTCAAATTGGAGCCTCTCTCCTCGGGTGTGGTCGACTGGTCGCAGGTGGCAAAAAGGGGCACTCCCGAACACACCCTCTACAAGGCGGAGCTGGAGGCCATCGTTAGGAGGCTTCATCCCGATGCCAAGGCCTTGGCCTGGAGCACGTTTCTCTTGCGCGGCGGCCCAGGAGAGAATGGGCCTGCTGCAGGCGCGATACATCTCGACTGGTATCCCGACGTGGCCGCCTGCAAGGAGTTCCTCAGCGAGCACCCAGAAGGTTACCACGACTTGAAAGACACTGCTGCGCAGGTCAAATCGCAGCCAGGCAACGAGAACCTGGAGCTGAAGGTTGTCCTCGGCCTGTGGAAGCCACGAAACGAGAGCAACCCAGTGAAGGAGGCTCCGCTCATCGTGCGTGCCCGTTGCCCACGTACCGCGCACTGCCAAAACATGCGACCGCGCCGCGCATACTCGCACAGTGCAGTTGCACGGTGCAAACGCGCTGCCCGCATGATCTGGTAGGTGTGCGACCCGAGGACAGTCGACTTTTCAACCGAAGTCGCGCGGCAGGAGCTCGCGCATGCACATGCACATGCACACGCACATGCACAGCATATGCACGTCACATGCACATGCGCATGCGCGTGTAGATGGCTTCCCGAGCCTTGCTCAGGCCTTGCTGCCGACGCATCTCCCCGCTGCTGCAGGAGCAATGTTTTAATGTCAACGCCGAGGGGACCAGCGTCCCCGTGGCGAACCTCGCCGCAAACTTGAAGCATAGCGAGAGGCAAAAGTGGTACTACTTCAAGGATCAGACCCGCGACGAGGTCTTTGTATTCCGCCACGCCACGATTGAGCAGCCGTCGTTCGCAAACTTCCACTGCGGCGGCGTGCTGCCCTTGCCCGCGGGCATGGAGAAGCGTTCGTCGGTGGAAACGCGGGTGATGCTCTACTTCTGATCCCAGCCTGCATCGTCGGGTTCGGGGCTTGCTCTTTGGACGTGTCTACGCGTGATCTCGTGTGTCATGATCTCAGTGGAGTTTGCCAAAGAAATTATCAAGGGGAGTTTAGTACGTGCTCCGCGGCGGGGTGCGTATGCTAGCCGCTGTGCTATATATATTAGCCCGTGGTGTGAACCCTGCGCGGTCGGGACTGAGAGCGTGAGCCGCGACAACGCTCGAGTTCGAGCGCAAGTGTGCGAAGCTGCTAGCTGGCGCACAGTGCCCGTGCCCGTGGCCGCGGGTGCGCGCCGCAGCCGCGTAAGTGTCGCGCCCCTCTCTCTCCTCTCTGTGACTGTGTCCACTCTCGCCGCGAGACGCAGACCCTCCGGTGAGCGGCCGGTCGGCGGACCGGTCAGGGCGGTCTCTATCGGATCTCTCAGTCTGCTCCCCTCTCACTCTCTCTCACAGCGGTCTCTGTTTTGAGTGAGGGTGGATACACTATACTATACACTCTCCTGTGCATGAAAAAACCACAGAGAGGAGACCGGGCACTCTCTATGCGCAATCAATATTGACAGGCGACACAGACAGGCTGCGTGCAACTACTCAGAGCCAGTCCGTTGTCCACCGCCGAGCAAAGTCGACCCTAAGCCGACACTGGCAATGCCAGCAGGCAAGTCCTGGGGGAGAGCTAGACGTGGGCATTCCGTATGGACAGGGGCAGAGAGCGAGAGGGGGTGGGAGAGCGGGACGGGAGACGGCGAGAGGCCAGGGGGGGTGCGAGTGGAGAGAGATATGGAACTGCTAAGGCCGAGTAGACAACGCCCCTCGAACGGGCGACCGACGCCGAAGCCCAGAGAGGCTGGACCGGAGGCGGAGGGGAGGGCGGAGGAGGGAGGGGGGCATGGAGCTCCGCTCGCCCCCCTCCCCCGAGTACAGAGCAGGAGGCGCGAGGCGGGCGAGGCGGCCTCACACCTTGACCTCCTTGAAGGTCGACGCCGCGTGCGGCGCGACCACTGGTCGCGAGTCGTCGGGGCAGCAGTCCGAGCAGAGCTCCAGCCTGAGTGCGGCAAGAGGGGACGGGCTCAGGGCAGGGGCAGAAGGCGAGGGGTGGAGCGGGGAGGCGGGCTCCGTTGCCGGCGAAGCCTCGAGGAGGTGTCTCGGAAGTGTCTCGGAAGTGGAGAGAGGGAAGGGGGGAAAGGGATAGTGAGGGGGAGGGGCGAGAGGGAGAGGGTGGCAGCGGGCGCGCCAGTGCTCGATGCAGGTGCTGTGGAACGTGTGGCCGCACGGCAGCGAGCGGCAGACGTCCCTTGGCTTGAACTCGTCCAAGCAGATGGAGCACACCTTTTGGGGGGGGGGGGGGGCTCTGCTGGTGAGGGCAGCGGCGGCGGGGGGATGCTGGCACAAGTGCTGGCCGCGGGTGATGGGTGATGGGTGGGGCGGGGGTCCGGCACACCTTTTGCAGCTCCACGCCGCATGGCTTTGCGCCGCAAGGCTTGCCCCAGTTCAGCGCACCGCGTGCACGGGAGCGCCGGCCGGCACCGCGCCGACCGCCGCCGCTGTCGCCGCCGCCCTCCTCCTCCTCCGCCCTCTCCGCCCTCTCTCCTCCCTCCTCCTCCCCCTCCCCCTCCCCGCCCTCCTCTCCCTCCTCCTCCTCCGCCTCCTCGCCCTCCTCCTCCTCCTCCTCCTCCCCCTCCGTCTCGCCCGCATCCGCGCCCGCAACCTTCTCATCCGTGGCCCGCAGCACCCGCCAGCAGCGAGGGACTCGCCAGCGCGGCGCGTGCGCCTGCAGCACCAACGCTCCACTCCTCAGCCGCGGCTCGGTCGCCTACCTCCCTCGAGCGGCGGCCCCGTGGCGCCTCGATGAGGTCGCGCGACAGGGTGCGCGGCTTCACCTGGCGAGGGCGCGTGGCGAGGGGGCGGTTCCGCGAGGGCGATCGGGAAAGGTCGAGGTCGCGCGTGCGGCGTTCGCGAGGGGGGGGAGAGGGCGGCGGCGGAGGAGGGGGCAAACACGGGGAGGAGGAGAGGTTGTGGCGAAGAGAGGGCTGACGAGAGGGTGGTGGGGAGGCGGTGGTGGAGAGGGTGGTGGTGAGGCGGAGAGAGGGTGGTGGTGGTGAGGCGGAGGAGGAGGGTGGAGAGGTGGAGCACGGCGGTGCTGGGCGGCGGTGGGAGGTGCGAGAGCGGCCGCCTGCGAGTCGAGGTTCCGCAGAGCGTCGTAGTCTTCGGGCGTGATGTCGCGGCTCTGCAGGTCGATCAGCGTCATGTAGGTGGCGAAATCGACGCCCATCGAGGCGGCCTCCGCCTCCTGCTCGGCCCGCGTGCGAAAGGGGGCGAACGGGCTGAGCGCATTGACGAGGACCAGCGTCCCGTCCGCGGCAGGCGTGAGCAGTGAGTCGCTGCGCCGAGCGGCCGCCGCGTCGTGCTTGCTCTTTGACTTTCCCCGCCAGCGTGGCGGCATCCAGCGGCCTTGCGGCGTCAAGAGTGGGAGGTCAGGCCTCTCGTTGAAGGGGGTACACTCTCAAGAGGAGGGTGGGGAACCAGGGTGGGGAACCAGCGCCTGCATTCCTCGAGATATCGGTCCATACGGTGGCAAGCTTGGCCGCCGGGCCGCCGTTGGCCTCTCTTCTGCGGGCCGTGGACGCGGGCTTGGCGCCACGGGCGCGGAGCGCCGGCCGTGAGCCCCCCAGCCGCCTCCCCTCCCCTCGCCTCGCCTCGCCTCCGCCTCCGCCTCTGCCTCCGCGCGCCTCCCCTGAGTTCATAACACAGGCAGGACACTGTGGACTGAAGCGACCTCTCGGGTCCAGCCAACAGAGTGTGGGGCAAGTCCTGTTTTTTTTTACCTGAGCCTTGTATAAGGCTTCTGCCGGCGGAGAGCTCAAGCTATAGCCGTAGCCGTCGCCCATGTCTGGGTTTTTCTCAATATTTTAGCATGCCCACGTGGAACGGCACCCGGTTTCTTATCCAAATCAACTCGTGGGCACCGCACGCAAGATTCTTGTTGGTTAATAAAAATCAAAATATTGCAGGTATTGCTAAAAATTAGCTCCTTAAAAATCTCTCTCTCAGCACGCGGCACAAACGGGGCACAATGCCAGGCCTGTCGTGTGGTGAACCTGCGCCAAATTGATTTGTTTCACGAAATCTACAACAATCTCTCTCGAAATCTTGCCGCCGCGCGCCCAGCGGCAACCGATTTCGTGACAGTGAGGCTGGCGGCTGTGCGAAAGAATTCCACCGTGCCTTTATTGCCGCAGCCGCTTCACACACACAGCTGCTCCTGTGGGAAGGGGGAAGATTTTACGTGCAGCACCGGTTGAAACGCCGTTTTTCTTCCCCGACACAGGGGCAGTTGGCGGCTTCGCGCCAAAGAACTCGCGCCAGGCTTAGTCCATTTTGGGCTCTCACACATCGACATGGCTCCCACCCGCGCCCTGCAGCGCAAGGTGTCGCAGCTCTTCCGCATGCGCGGCTGGCAGCTGCGGCCCGACGCCATGCAGCGGCTCTACGAGCTGCTGAACGGCGAGGACGACTGGGAGTGAGTGACGGCCACACAACGGCCCGTTCACCCTCGCCGGCAGGGCCCGACGTTCCGCCGCCCTCACGCCGCCGCCGTAGGTCCCAGCTCAACGTCCTCCTCCACGAGATCGAGCAGCTGCCGGGCGCGAAGGCCGACCGGTGCGTCGACAAGCCCATGGTCGAGCGCGTCTTTGCCGCCTCCTCCGCCGCTGCCGCCGCGCCGCCGCCCGACGACCCGGCGACACCGGAGCATCTTCTCTCACCGCCGACCGCAAAGCCGGCGCCGCCGCCAGCGTCGCACTTTGCGGTGGTTCGCGCGCGGGTGCGGCGGCTCTCGTACTTCAAGCCGGCGCGCTCGCGCGCCATCCTCGCGGGCGCCGACGACGGCGCGCTCCCTCCTCCCGGCGTCATGCAGCGCGACCCTTCCTCTGAGCCTTCTCGGAACCCTCCTGCAGGCGCGCCGCCCTCCGTCGAGCTCTCGCGCACCGGCCGATTGCTCGGCCGGAAGGGAAAGGTGCGCCGCCCGCCGACGACCGCCACCGCCGCCCCTCCGCCGCTGCTGCCGCTGCTGCCGTTGCCCCTCCCGCCGCCACCGCCCTTGCCCCCTCGCCACCATCACCGCCGCCGCCCTCTTGACAGCACATCCTTCTCGGCGTGCTCACGGCGGCCGACTCGGGCGCCATCGCCCTCGCGGACGAGGACGGGTCCGTGCCTCTCGACTTGACCGGCGCACCAGACACCCGCCTGCCGACACCCGCCTCCTCCGCCGCCTCCCGACCCCCGGCTCCACTCCGGATGCGCCGCCTTCAGGCGCGCACAAGACTGTCGGCTTCTTCACCGCCTCCGCGGTGGTGCTTGTCGAGGGCGAGATGGACGACTCTGGCCCGCTGCCGCTCCCCTCCCAGCCGCCCGCCGCCTCCCCTGCTCCTCACCCGCCCCTCGCCCGGCCATTGCCCGGCCATCGCCCGGCCCTCCCCCGCCCCTCCCCCTCCCCCCCCCTCCCCCCAGGCGTGCTGCACGTCCTCACCCTTGCTCAGCCCCCCCCACCGGAGCTGAGCGCCGCCACTCCCGCGCCGGCGCCTTCCCTCGGCGGAGGGGCGGCCGGCCCAACGCTGAGCGACGGCGGCGCGGCGGTGTGGCCTTTCCATTCCCGGGCGGGGGCCCAGCGTGAGCCGGGCCTCTGCGCTGCAGGCGGCATGACGATGGTCTTCTCCGACGTGTGGCTCGACGACACAAAGACGCTCCGCCGACTGGAGGCGAGATCACCCGAGATCACCCGAGATCACCCGAGATGGACCCGAGATTGAAGAGGCGCTCCGCCGGCTGGAGGAGCAGACACGACTCCGCCCCCTGCACACCCCTTCGGTCACTCCGCCACGCGTCGCACTTTGTTCTCGACCGCCGCCCTCTCCCCCCCCGCCCCCCTCCCCCGGGCTCAAGGCGGTGCTGCGCGGCTATGAGGCGGCCGGCGGGGCGCCGGACGAGGCATCGCCGCCCGTCGCCGAGCTCTTCTCCTTTGTCTTTTGCGGCGCCCCCACTCCTCGCCGCTCGAGGCGGTGGGTGTAGGGGACCCTTCTCGGACCCCCCTTCTAACCCCTCTTCTCCAGGCTCCTTCTGCTCGGCGCCGCACGCGGCGCAGGAGGGCCGCTCCACCACGCAGCTCCTCTTCCGCCGCCTCGCGGCAGCTCCTCGGCCGGCGCACCGGGCACACCCCCACCGCTCTCTTCTTGAGGGCCGCCTTCCTTTCCAGGAGCTCCTCGGCCGGCTGCCGCTGCTGCGGCACCACTCGCACTTCCTTTTCGTGCCCGGGCCGGCGGACGCGTCTCTCGGCCCGCAGAGCTTGCTGCACCGGCGAGATGCCGCCGAGATGCCGCCGAGAGGCAGATGCGACTCTCTTGCCCCTGAGCTTTGCTGGGCCAGCCACCGCTCGCCCTCTCGCCACCTCCCTCCGCCCAACCCCCTCGGCCTCCCCTCGGCTCCGCTCAGGCCACCTCTCGCCAACGTCTTCACCGCGGAGCTGCGCGGCACGCTCGAGCACTGCCACCTCCTCCCCAACCCGGCGCGCTTCCAGCTGGGCGGGCAGGCCCGCCGCCGCCGCCGCCCCGCGCCGTGCTCTCCCTCAGCCACTTCCCAATCTCGAGCCCACCCTTTGTGCAGACCGCCATCGTCTACCGCGAGGACGTTCTCACCCGCACCAAGCTGGCCGCGCTCGCGCCGCCAAACATCGCAGAGTGCGACGACGTGCGCCCGCCGCGCGCCCGATCCCTCGGCGCGTCCCTCCGCCGCGTGTCCGACACGTCCCCGACGCGTCCCCGACGCCGCCTTCAGGTGCACCGCCACCTGGTCGAGACGATGCTGCTTCAGGGCCACCTCTGCCCGGCCCCGCTGCCGCAAACCGCCTCGCACGCGCGAGAGGGCGCAAGAGGACCCGAGAGGACGCGGGAGTAGGTCCCGCTCGCGCAGACCGCCTCGTACGCGCCCTCGGCGCTGCTGCTCGACGCGGCGCGCCCGACCCGCTCCTCGCGCCGCGAGAGGGATCGACGGACCCGAGGGTTTGTGAATCGATCAACAGGCGCCCGACCTGCTCGTCGTGGCGGGGCGCAAGGCGCAGTTCAACCTGCAGGCGGACGCCGCGTCGGGCGGCGCGCGCGAGGGCACCGTCGCCTTCTCCCCCGGCTCCTTTGGCGCGTCGGCAAGTGGGTTGGTCTCTTCTCTCTGCCACAGACACTTGCAATGACGCGCCGTGAAACGCCCCATAGGCTCGTCGGGCAAGTGGATGGTCTACCGCGCGGCAGAGCGCGTGGCGGAGGCCTCCTTCCTCGAGCTGCCCGATTAGGGAGGCTGGCAGAGGAGCGCGGTTTGTCTTGCTATATAGTCTGAGATAAATTGGGGGGGGGGGGGGGGGGGCACGGGTCCACGTGGAGCGCTGCGCAGCCCGCAGGACACACAGGACATGTCCATGTGTCCTGTGTGTGGCGACTAGTTCTGTGTGACTTGGTGTGCGGGCATCACCCCCCGTCGCCGTCCCCCTCGGAAAGCCTCTCTCGCTGGGGTGCTGGCAAAACGTGCGCGGCCTACACGGTAATCGGTATGAACTCAGTGAAGGGTCTACGAAATGTTGTTTCCATTCGGCAGCATCAGACCCAACGCATCAAAACAAGAGACGTAAGCAAAGCCGTACGAAGTAGCATGTACATTAGTACGCCCTCGCGCGCTCGGCTCGTCAGCAGAGGTCACTGAGGACACAGGACTCACGTCAGGAGGACAGGACTCAGGAGAGCTCCACCAGCCCCCCCCCTCTCCGGCTCTTGCCAACGAATAACGCGGCCGAGGTTGCGCCCCCCCCGGATGCGGCTCGCCAAGAGCGAGAGAGGGCCCCGCCCGCGCTGTACGTGCGTGTGCTTGTGGCTGCGCATCCTCCTCCCGGAGCCGCCCCCCGCCCCGCCCTTGGGCCGCTAGGCGAGGGGCGGAGCGGAGAGGTCGGACGAGGCGCGCCCGCCGTGCGGCTCAGGAGATGCGTCGGTCGGGGACCCCTCGGTGAGGAGGGGCGAGGCCGAGCTTGCCTGCGGGCCGGCGGAGCTGAAGCGCCGTGAGACGCAACCGCCGACGCGAGGAGGGGAAGAAGAGGTGGGCGGGCTAGCGGCGCGCCGAGAGAGAGGGCGGGGCGGAGGAGCCGCCGGCAGACCACGCGCCGCACGGGCCTCCCTGCGGGCGGGGGAGGAGGAGGGGGGGGGGGGGGGCGTGGCTACGAAGGTCTCGGATGCGGGTGGGTCTTGTGCCGCCGCCGCCTGCTGCGCTCCCCACTCGACGGAGAGTGCGTCGTCGCACTCCTCCCGCCCGCAGACCCGCTCGCCCTGCCGCAGGACACAGATCTGCTCGCCGCTGGCGTGCAGTGCGACGGCGAGGCCGGCGGGCGTGTAGCTCGTGGGGAGACTGCTGCCCGAGAAGCTGCGGCGGGGCGAGGGAAGGGGCTGGGTGTGTGTGGGTGTTTGAGGCCAGTCCAGCGGCAAACGGTTCGGGTGTTTGGGTCGGGGTCAGTACAGGGCAGGCGCGCAAGAGCAGCCACTGCAAGAGCAAGTGCCACTGCAGGTGCGTCTGGAGCGACTCTCTCGCAAGTGAGCGGCGCAAATGAGCGGCGCGCCTCAGCTTTTGCGGCAGCGGCGTCGGGAGGGCGGCGCCCGCGAGCAGCGCGAGGGCCTACGTGCAGCGAGCCCACCGAGCCGTGAGGGGGTGGGAATGCGCCGTCGGCGTCCCACGGCCCCTAGGGGAGGGAGGGGAGGGGGGGTGGCGCAGGTGGCGCGCCGCTGCGGCAGCGACGCCTTGTGCAGACGGGGCGGACCGCAGCGAGGGCGGCTCGGGGCCCCACGGGGGAGAGAAGGCGTCCGGCCGACCGCCGTTTGGGGCAGGCGCCGCCCGCTCGCCCCCGCCGCCCTCCTCGCCGCCGCCCTCCTCGCCGCCGCCCTCCTCGCCGCCGCCCTCCTCGCCGCCGCCCTCCTCCTCCACCCCCGCCTCCGCGCCGCCCCAGCGGACGCGCCGCGCCTCCTCTCCGGCGGCGAGGGCCGACGAGGCCGCGCCCTCGAACCGGAGCCCGCTGCCTACAGAACGGGGGCGCCCCAAGCGTCGGGGCGCCGGGGGAAGCGAGAGCCGCCGGGATGCCATGCCGGCGCCGTTGGTGCGACGCTGGCGGCCGCGCTGGCGGCCCGCGCCGCCTCCGCTCCCGCCGCCGGTGAGCACCTGGCGAGACGAGACGCGGGTAATGGGGGCGGGTGGAGTCGGAGGGAGGAGGGGGAGGAGGAGGAGGGGAGGGGGGGGGGGGCTTGGGGGGGAGGCGGAGGAGGCGGGGGAGGGGGGGGGGGGGGAGAGGCGGCGGGGCGGTGCACGGATTGCCGGAGAGGTGGAGGAGGGGCGGTGGTCTTGCGAGGGGGCAGTGGGCGGTGAGGCGCCTCCTCGCGCATCCGCATCTCGGCCGGCGTCCACGGCCGGCCTACGGGAACGGTCCAGGAAGCGTCCGGGCAGGCTGTCGAGGCGGGAGGCGGCGTCTCCCTCGCGGTTGGCTGGCTCCGGCCGGGTGGCAGGGCTTGAGGACGAGGGAGTTCCACCGGTTCTTGATGTCGTTCTCGGTGCGAAGCGGCATGTGCTGCGACGAGATCTGCAGCGACGGCCCACGGGGCGGCGGCGGGTGAGAGTGGCGGCGGTGTCGAGCGGAGGCGGGAGGAGAGTGGTGGCGGTTGGGTGGTGGTGGGCGGGTGAGAGGAAGCGGAGCTGCGCCTGCGCCCAGCGCGTGCCCATCTCCTGGACGCGGGTCCACACCTCGGCGTCCTCCTCGGCGGTCCACGCGCCTTTGTTGAGGGGGCGGAGCTGGTTGCGCCATCTCTCGCGGCACTGCTTGCCGCTGCGAGAGGCCATCTCGGTCGCCACGACCGCCCAGCTCTTCTCGCCGTGCACACGTACGAGCTGCCGCAGCTTCTCGTCCTCCTCCGGCGCCCACAGGACCCGCTTGGGCTCGGTCCCGACCTCCGTGGCTGCTGACCGCTTCCGCCTGGAGCCGTTCGCAGCCCGCGACGGCGCTCGTGCGGGCGGCTTGCTCACGCCGCCGCGCAACCGCTTCGCACTCTCTGGGCGCGTTTGCGGGTGGGTGGAGCTCCGAGCCATGCGCCACTGGTGACAAACCAGTAGGCAAAGGCAGGGCGAGACCTCGGCAAAGGCAAAGGCAGCAGGTGTAGCAGGTGTGTCGCGATGTTGAAGGCGTTGGCGTGTTTATTTTTTTTGCGGAACCTAACCTACCAAAAAGTGGAATGGTTCCCTTGATGAAATATCTCTCTCGCCCTCTCTCGGTTTTGGCCCGGGTTTTGGTAAGCGCCAGGAGAGCCAACCCTTGACGGTCGCACCTGCGCGAGCGCGGGTGGCCCCCTCCCCGCCCTTGGGCTTGGCCGCCGGGCGGACCGGGCCGCGGCTTGGGCCTTGGCGCGGCGCGAGGCCGACCACGGGGATGGGGGCCGGTGAGGATGGATAGCGTTCGTGTTGTTGGGCTCATGAACGGGAGGGCGGCACCCTCCCCCGGTGGCGCTCCGGCCGGTGTGCGCTTGCGGCTTGGGCACGTGGAGTTGGATTCGGGCGGGTACTTTGCTGGTATGGTATCTGTGCATAAATGGAGTATGTACTTTCACACCCCTTGGGGTGTTCACGACCACTTGCGGTCCATTACGCACGTGTGCGTTCACGCCCCTTGCGGCGATCGTTTCACAGTCCCATCAACTGTTCAAGAGGAAAAACTAAAACGCGACACCCCCTCTCTCTGGGTATTCGACTCGACACGCTATTTCGACAAGAGTCCTGGACATGTCTATCAGAACTTCCCTGGGGGTGGGAGCCGCTAAACATAATTCCCCGGGGCGGTCGCCGCCGCCGCCCCCGCGCCCCGGGGCGGTCGCCGCTGCCCGGGGCCGCCCCCACAAGGCGGTTTCGGCAAGTTTCATTATGAGTCGCCAATTCGAACTATGAGTTTCGACTATGCGGCCGCAGCCGTTGCTGCCCCCGCCCGTCCCCCTCGGGGGACGTCAAGCGCCCGCCGTTCAAGTTTCGGGCCCCCTTCTCACCTAAGTGAGGGTGTGAACGGGCGGGACTACGCCCCTCCCTCCCTGAGAACGAGCAGCGCACAACCCTTGACGGACGCACACGTAAATAAGATAAGAATGTGTACAGAGGTGGGTGCGGGAAGGAGGAAACTTCGGAACTTTTACTCGCAGCTCGCAGGTCTCGACCAGGTCGATTGAGACTCTCAATCGACGTATCGACGTCTGTCCCAACCACCGCCACACACACACACGCGCGCGCACATACTGGAAGAGATTTGTTTAGGACTTTCTAGGCACGCACGGTCATGGCCGACGTCAATCTGACGGTCTGCGCGTCGCCAGGGCGCTGCGCGGAGGCACCCTCGTTTGCCAATGGCACGTGGCCGCAGGGGCTCCTATGGAACGAGCACGGCGATCGATGGCGCGTGTGCCGCAACTGCACACGCTCCCGTGCAACGGTGGGCCTGCGGCCGTGCAGCCAGTCAGAGCAGCGGCAGGAGGCGTTCGTGTGGTCTCTGGCTGCGTCGCTCGGCGTGGAGACGGGCGGCATCTTTGTCGAGCTCGGCGGGAACGACGGGCGCACGAGCAGCAACACGCTCTTCTTGGAGACCTGCGCAGGGTGGCGAGGGGTGCTGATCGAGGCGAACCCGATTGCGTTTGCCAAGCTGCGACTCCGGCGGCCAGCGGCGGTGGCAGTGCAGGCGGCGGCCTGTGCCAGCGGCAGCGACAAGGCCACGCTCGTGGTCCGCTCGAGCAGGGGCGCGAGGCGCCGAGGGCGACTGATTGGCACCGCAGACGTCGCGGCGGGCATAGAAACGCTGGTGCCGCGGCTCGGACACGAGTGGTTGCGAGCGCGTCACGCCGAGGTGGTTGTGCGATACCACGTGCCGTGCGTTCAGCTCGGCGAGCTCTTCTCTGCCCTCCGGGTGCCGAGGGTTGACGTTTTTTGGCTCGACTGCGAGGGCTGCGAGAGCTCGCCGCGCTGCAGTCGTTGCTCTCGCGCCCTCCCTCCATTGGCATACTGGTGGTTGAGATGCGCGCCGGCGACGCAGCCACAAACCTCCCCCTGCTGGCCGCGCTGCGGGCCGGCGGCTTTGAGCTGGTCCGGTCGCTCCGCGTCTGGGCGAGCCACAGCGATAGGGGGCCCGTCTTTCTGATGGACAGCGTCTACCTTCGAGTGGAGCACTTTGTGAGTTCGGGGGGGCTCCCGGCCGCGGCCCTCGGCTTCCTCCTCTCCCAGCCGACGCAAGCGCGATTTGGGATCAACATGCGCCGGCGACCGGGGCGTCACGGCGGAAATTACTCGATGGAGGAGCCCGAGGCGCTCTTCGCACGGCTGCCACAGGCAGACTCGACGTATGCGAGAAAGGTGTTTAGCTAGTTTTTATTTGGACGCCGGAATTCTTCTTGAAGATCCCTCACACCAAGATCGTGGTTCGTGCACAGGGCGCGGGGGCACATGTGTGTACACAACACCTGTCCCTAAATCCCATCTCGTCTCATATGACCGTTTTATTTATTTATTTATTTATTTACAGTTCAGTCCTATGAGTTTCATCCACGTTTTTTTCTTTTTGGAGCACTTCGAATGCAGTCAGTCGGTAACCTCACACCCAGAGCCGGGGAGCTAAGCGAAGCACACCCAGCGGGCCGGATGATCTCGGTATCGGGTTGCGGGCAAGAGAGCCGTACGTAGCCCTGGGGCCGAAGAGAGAAAGAAAACCCAGAAGAGAAGGGGGAGGAGGACAGGGGCCTCACCTGCACGAGCAGGTCGAGCAGGATTTGGAAGGACGATCAGGGGCACAGGTGGGGCTCTCCTTGACCTTGATCCTTGTGGTCATCCTGCTCCTGACAAGGCTCAAGGGGCCGAGGTGCGCGTTCTAACGTGCAAAATTCTCTTCCTCGCTGGAGTCGCTTAGGCGGCTCCCGTGGTGTACCTGTGTTACATGTACATGTAGTGCCAGTGCGCGCCAGTCCCGTGCCCAGAAAGAAAGAAAGAAAACAGACAACCCAAGGGAGGGATGGGACGGCACGCCGCCCCGGGTGAATTCTCTTTTAGGAGAGCCCCTCGAACGGGGTGGGTTAGGGTGGTTTAGCGCCCCCTAACCCAGGGCGGGTTAGCGTCGTTTACCCTAGACGGTCACTAAACACGCCTAAACGATGCTAAACCGCCTCGACAAATGCTCTGCCTGGCCGGGGAGCTCCGTTTAACACTAAACCGCCCTAAACCCCTCCACAAGTTTCGCGCGCGTCCACGACGCTCCTCTAGCGTCAGACATATGCCAGCATCTCCCACGGCCGCGCGCACCGCCACCGACACCGCAAACGGCGCGAGTCCGCCACCGTCGCCTTCCCCCGAGTCTCCGCTCGCCGCCTCCCGCGAGGAACTCAACGCCACCCTCACCTACATTCGCGTCACGCCCAACGGCCGCATTGTGCAGCCGCTGTCGGCTCCGGTGACTCGAGGGTGGAGACCGACCCAAGGAGCAAGCCCGCCAGGCCCGCGAGGGGCAGGAGACCTCCTCCACCCCGACGCGCTCGCCAGGAGAGGCCACCGACCCACCCGCACAACTCGAGGCCGAGCCGGCGGCGGTCGCCGAGGGCGGACCCGGAGCCGGGACCGAGACGGGAGGGGAGGAGGCACGCCCCCCGAGCGGGGCGGCGGTCGAGGCCGGCGGAGCCGACGGGACCGAGCCGGAGGGGCAGGCGGCGGTCGATGGGGTTGGAGCCGAGGCGGCGTGGACGCCATCCGGCTAAACGCCCGATCGTCGGACTAAACGACGACTAAACAGGACTAGTCCAGCCCGACAAATGGTGGCCGCAGGCTGGATCAACACCGTTTAGGCGCGTTTAGTGACCGTTCAGGGTAGACAACGCTAAACCGCCCTGGGTTAAGGGCCCTTAACCCGCGCTAAACGTTCGAAGGGCTCTCTTTTAGCCTCGCAGCGAGAGCCGGCGAGGAGCTCCAAGCAGCGCTCGACTGTAATCTCGCCAGATGTCCGCGTTCTTGCTCCTCACGTGTCTGTATGCGCAAGTTCCGACACTGGAGGAGTTCGAGCGCCATCGGCAGCTCCATCCCGACGACCCGGGCGCGCACTCCAATTATGGCGCCGCGCTCCGCTCAGTCGGACGCTACTCTGAGGTGTGCTCCGTGTTGGGCTGCTCCCGTTCCGGCGCCGCACGGCTGAGCTCCCATTCCCCGCCAGGCGCTCGATGCGATCGACGAGGCGCTCCGCCTCGATCCAGACTATGCGCGCGGCCACAATAACCGCGGCAACGTTCTGCAGTCGCTCGGCGGCACCGAGCGGCTCGAGCAGGCTGTCGCGGCGCATGCACGCGCTTCGGAGCTGGACGCGAGCCTGCACACCGCGCACAACAACCGCGGCAACGCGCTCCGCTCACTCGGCCGGCTCGACGAGGCGGTCGAAGCCTTCCGCGCCGCCATCGCAATCAACGCCGAGTTTGGCCCCGCCTACTCGAACCTCGGCGCCGCCTACACCGACGCGGGACAGCCGCTCGAGGCAGTGCACCACGCGGCCATCGGAGTCGTCAAGCAGCCGACCTCGCCCGACGCTCTCAACGCCTACGGCGCCGCCCTCGAGGCAGCCTCGCGCCCGGCCGAGGCGGCGGAGGCGTATGAGTCGGGCCTCGCCCTCGCGCCACAATCGCCGACGCTGATGACGCACCTCGGCAACGCTCGCCGCGCGGCGGGCCAGCTGGCGGGTGCGGAGGAGGTGCTGCGCGAGGCGCTCGTGCTCCGGCCGGCGGGGCCCGAGGCGGCGGCCACCTACAACTCGCTCGGCGCGGTGCTGCAGGCGGCGGGGCAGATGGAGGCGGCGCTCGAGGCGTACCAGGCCGCCGCAGCCAACGCGGCGCCCGGCGACGCGGACGGGCTGCACGCCACGGCGACCGCCAACCTGAACAAGCTCCCCACCTCGGATGCGTACCGCGGCGCGGCAGCGCGCGAGACGGAGGCGCTCGCGCGGCGCGGTGCGGCGGCGGCGCTGGCCGCGTGGGGCGCGTCTCGCGCAGGCCGCTCTGCGCGGAAGCTGGGCCTGCGCGGCCGCGGCTTGAGAGGGGAGGAGCTGCTCTCGGTGCAGCTGCACCGCGTCATCTCGCACCTCCGCCTCCTCGAGACGTCGCAGCTCCCGCCGCTGCCGGGCGGGGAGGCGCACCCGCACGCGGTCAAGATTAGCCGAGATCTGCCGAGATCCGCCGAGGTTCGCCGAGACCGCCGAGATTCGCTGCTGCCGGGCGGGGAGGCGCACCCGCACGCGGTCGGACTGGGAGGAAGACCGCTCCTCCGAACCTGCCCGGCACCTTCTCGACCTTCTCCGAACCTTCCCGCAGGTTGCGCTGTGGGGAGACCGCGCCGCCGAGATGCCGCGCGCGATGCTCGCCTCCTCCGCCGACGGACTCGCCCTGCCGGAGGACGGCGGCGCGGACGACCCCGGCTACACGCTCGGCGCCTTCGCGTGGGGCGCCGTCTGGCTGGACTCGTTCGCCGCCGCGCTGGCACTCCGCGAGGTCCGCAAGGCGTCCGGTGGAAGGTTCCGTGAAGCGTCACGGAACTTCCGCGTAGGCGCACCGCGAGACGCGCGCGGCGCTCGGCCGCGGCGGTGGCCGCAAGGGGGGGACAGCGGTCGTGCTCGGCGCGTCGCTCGGCTACGAGGCGTACGCGATCGGCCTCTCGCACGGCATCCGCGAGATAGCCGAGATGTGGCCGAGCTGTGGCCGAGCTGTGGCCGAGATGTGGCCGAGATGTGGCCGAGATGTGGCCGAGATGTGGCCGAGCTGTGGCCGAGCTGTGATCGGTCTCTTGCGTGGGAGGCGTCGTCGGCGTCGGAGTCGTGAGTTGGCTGATGGCGCAGTCTTCCACGCGCAGGCGTCCGCACCGTCGGCGTCGAGCTGCTCTGCTCGCTGCGCGACCTCGCCGAGCAGGTCCGCTCTGACCGGAGGGTCGCGCCAGACCTGGTCTCGTTCGAGTGCGCCACAGCCCGAGGCAGGGCTGGAGGGCCGCTGCTCCCTCGTGGAGGGAGAGGGCGCGTGCCCGCCCCGCGTAGGTGCGCCGACGCGCTGTCGTGGCGCCTTCCGAAGGACACGCGCCTCGTCTACTGCGACGACACGGCCTGGGACGCGCACGCGATCCAAGGCAGCCTCGCCACTGCCCGCCGGGCGACACACAGCCGCTCCGTCCGTCAGCGGGTTGCCCAGCGCCCCCTCCCGCAGGCCTCGCCTAGAAGTTCGGCCAGACCTCGGCCAGACCTCGGCCAGGCCTAGCCAGACTTCGGCCGTATCCCCCGACAGGCCTCGCCAAGAAGCTCGGCGACGAGCTGCCGGCCGGCGTCGTCGTGCTGCACAACCAGCCGCACGGCTTCAACGCCGACCCGCGCTTCAAGCTGCTGCAGGTGGTGGAGGTCGCAACTTCGTGGAACACGCGGCACCCCCTCATCGTGCACATGACGCAGCCGGCCAGCAGCGCGGCGCGCGCCGCCCTCAAGGGCGAGCTGTGACGCGGGTGTGCCGGGGTTGGCGCTGTACCCATTCCCGTATCGAAGTCCCGTACCCAGTCCCGAGCGCGCATTCCTTCCTTTACACATTACAGAGGCTCCCGAAATTCTTTTTTGTTTTTTGGGTTGAAATTGTTATAAATCCTTTTTTGGTTTGTTGATATTGTTATAAATTCTTTGGGGGGGGAAACACATGGAATACCTCAGTGTGAGGGGTCTGTGAGCTGGGGGAGCACACTTGAGGTTGAGACTTGAGTGATTGAGTCTTGAGACTCAGAGTTGAGAAAAATGACTCATGAGAGAGATATGAGAGCACTGTGATAGAGCCGTACACCGTGTACACGTGAGATATACCCGTGTGAGAATCTCATCAGTGATAGCTCTACTGAACACGGCTTTACCTTTAGGGTCGCGCGTTCGCATTTTCCCCGCGCATCGCGCATGGTGTGCACAGTCACTGTGTCTGAGCTGTGAGCTGTGGAGAGTGGAGGTTCGGGCAGGCAGATTTTGTATTTGAGGCGGTGGCCGGTGCCGAGCGCAGGCAGTGCCCACAGGTCGGAGCTCGGACCTTAAGACAGCCTTGTAGATCCCTGGGAGAGGGTGGTGGAGAGCTGTCACTGTGCTGTGTTAGTGCCAGTGCGCGCCAGTCCCGAGTCCCGTGCCCCCTACTCGAGTACCTGTGCGAACAGGATCTTGGAGGACGATCTCAAGGATTGAGAAAGAGAGAGAAGGGGCGGGGGGGGGGGGGGGAGAAGCAGAAGCAGAAGACGACGACGACGACGACGACGACGACGACGACGACGACGACGACGAAGAAAGGGAGAACGGGAAGGAGGAACGATAAAGGTCCACTGTGAAGGCGTTTATGTGAGCTTGTGCGTCTTGGTGCCGGGGTTGTGTTTTGTGTGTCGTTGCTGTCAATCCCTTTCTTGACTGTCCGAGCTTGTGCGTCTTGGGTCCGTGCTTGTGTTTTTGTGTGAAGGCGCCGTTCCAGATCGCGCATGTATGTCGGAGGACGAGGCGCGAACTCGCGAGGCGGCAAAGAGGCAGAAGACTGAGGCGGAGAAGCGGATCGTAGCGGAGCGCTGCCCGATCTGCTGGGACTCGCCGCCCGACCAGCCTGTCACCGCGCCGTGCGGCCACACCTTTTGCCGCTCGTGCATCATGGCCGCGCTCGTCATCCGGAAAGAGTGCCCCTGTTGCCGCGAGTCCCTCAGCTCCCACCGCGCCCTAACTCACCGGAGTGATCCCGAGGTTGTCCCTCGCCACCCGGAAGCGACCGAGTTGCAGCCCACAGCCGGCGAGGCGCGGCAGGCGCGGCAGCGCGACACCGGCGAGGCGCGGCAGTCCGCAGCCGGCGAGGCGCGGCAGCGCGACACCGGCGAGGCGCGGCAGTCCGCAGCCGGCGAGGCGCGGCAGCGCGACACCGGCGAGGCGCGGCAGTCCGCAGCCGGCGAGGCGCGGCAGCGTGACGCAGGCGAGGTGCGACAGTGCGGCACCCCAGGGTGCTTCCTGGCCGCATTCCACGCCGGGCCTTGCGTGCCGGAGGCCGTCTGGACTCCGCGCATGCGGACCGCGCCCGTGCGGTTGCAGGGAGGCGAGGGGGGGGGCTTGGCGACGGCCGGAGCTCCGCAGGAGGCGACGCAGCCGCCTCCCCACGCGCGCCCGCGGCCTGAGCAGCCGGGAGGTGGCGACGGCAGCCGATCCTTCTCCGTCGGCGATGAGGTCGTGGCACGCGGACACCTCGGCCGGCTCGTCTCGTCTGGGAACGGCGCCTACCAGGTCCAGACGGCAGTCGAGAGCCGCGCCTCCACGTCGCTGGCGGCCGCCTCGCAGCAGCCTCGGCCGGGCGGGCCGCTCGCCGCTGCCGACGCAGGCGAGGGCGCGGCGGTGGTGGTCTACTTCTCCGACGTCTCGCGCTGGTGCCGCGGCGTGAGGCGCCAAGGACCGAGAGAGGGAGCAGTCTCTCCTTGACCTTCCTCCCCCCCCCCCCCCCTTGCAGGTACCGCGGCGAGGTGACGTCCGTCGGCGGCGACGGCACTTTTGGCGTGCTGTACGAGGACGGCGATGAGGAGGAGGCGGTACCGCTGGAGGAGCTGTTCCACGAGCTGCAGGCGAGATTCGCCGAGATTAGTCGAGATTCACCGAGATTCGCCGGCCATCCGCGCCAAGCTCGTCCTCGCTCGAGGCTGGGGAGGAGGAGGAGAAGGGCGAGGAATATGGGCTAACCTCCTCTGAACCGTCTCGCACTTTGCTGCAGGCTGCTGACACGGCGGGCGAGGCGCGGCAGGCGTGGGCGGAGGGCTTGCGTTTGCATCTCTCCAGCAGCAGCGCCACCGGCTACAAGGGCGTGTACGAGCACTTTGGCCGCTTCAAGGCCGAGCACAGTGTGAACGGAAGAAGGGCCCGCATCGGCACCTTCGCCACGGCGGTGGAGGCGGCGGTGGCGTACGCGAGGACGGTCGGCGAGTACCAGCCTCCTGCTCATCCTCCTCCGGCGGTGGCTGCAGAAGCGGAGGGCTTGCGGCTGCACCTCTCGAGCAGCAGCAGTACCGGATACATGGGCGTGACCGAGCCGAGCTCTGGCCGCTTCCGGGCGCAGCACAGCGTGGGCGGGACGGAGGTCTACTTGGGCACCTTCGACACGGTGGTGGAGGCGGCGGTGGCGTACGCGCGGGCGAAGGCGGGGAAGGCAGGAGGGCCAGAGCGGGCCGCGGAGGAGGCAGGGGCGGCGGAGGGCGGGGAGGCGGAGGGGATGGAGGTGGAGCAGGCGGAGGAGGCGGAGGCGGAGGGCTCAGCAGGCGGGGAGAAGGGAGAGACGGCGGGTGAGGACGAGGAGGGAGAGACGGCGGAGAAGGAGGCGGAGGCGGGCTCAGCATGCTCTACCGCCTCGCCACCTCCTCCGCCTCCGACGCACAGGGAGGCTGCACTCGCCACGCCGCTAGCGACGGAGGCGGAGGGGCTGCGCTTGCACCTCTCCAGCAGCAACGTCACCGGCTACATGGGCGTGACCGAGCCGAGCTCTGGCCGCTTCCGGGCGCAGCACAGGGCGGGCGGAAGGCAGGTCTCGCTCGGCACCTTCGCCACGGCGGTGGAGGCGGCGGTGGCGTACGCGCGGGCGGTCGGCGAGTCGGAGGGGCCGCAGGAGGAGCCCGGGCGCGCCGATCCAGCCACCGACCCCGAACCGGCACCGCCACCTCCGTCGGCGCCAGTACCGCCACCGCCGCCAGCATCGACATCGGCATCCGTCCCCTCTGCGGCCGCGAGTGCGCCGCCCGAGTTCTCGGTCGCGATGAGGGACGAGCTGCTCTCGCTGCCCCGCCATCGCCGCGCACGGCGCTTCTTCACACGCGCTCTCCGTGAACAGGACGAGCTGCTCGAGCTGTACGACCGGCGCGAGGCGCGCGGCGGCGTGCTGCACCCCGAGGCGCAGCGCCGCTTCGAGCAGCTCAAGGCGGCCAAGGCGGCGGCTGCCCGCAGCTCGAGCGCCCCGGCGGACACCTTTTCCGCCTCTCTCGGCGCCGTCGCGCCTCGGGCCAGGCGCGACTCGACCCGCATCCCTCACTTTCTTGTATCAGCACCCGTAGGCTATCACGACACGCCATCGTGGGTGGCGGAAGCGCCGGCGTGGGTGCTGGCGGCAGCGGCGGCGGAGGGACTCACGCTCGTTCGTTCGACAAACACGACGGGCTTCGCCCACGTCCTTCTGCCGGCGGGCGCAAACAAGGCGACGCCGTTCATGCTCCGGTGCGCAATGGAAGAGGGCGGGGCGCGGGTAGTGGGATACTACGCGAGCGCAGCAGAGGCCGCGCTCGTATACGCCCGCCGCGTGGGGCCCGAGGCGTCGGCGCACGAGCACCGGATGGGTGGTGCCCGCCTGATGACGGCGGCGCAGGCGCTCGCGGCGGCCGAGGCGGAGGGACTGACTCTCGAGCGGCCGCACCACAACAGCCGCAGGAAGGAGGCGCGGTTCAAGTACGTGCACCTCGACCAAGACGCGGCCTCGCGGGCGCGGCCGTACCGGCTGGTGATCCGCGGAGAGGACAAGCGGCTACTCAAGGGCGGGAGGTATGCGACGGAGGAGCAGGCGGCCCTCGAGGCGGCGAGGTACCACGCGGCATGCGCGCGTAAGAACTAAGACGCACTCGGCGGCGTGGGCCTGAGGGAAAGTTTAGATGATGTGGAGTGAGCACTGTAGTACTAGTAGGCTGTAGAGCTGTAGAGCGCGCTGTATGTAAGGGTAGAGCGCTGTGCGTGCAGGAGAAGCGCGAGAGCAATGAAAGGATGTTTCCCACAAACGAAGAGTCAGTGTGTGGATGTTTTGCCGAAATACGGCTCTACGCGATGGTGTTGGGACCCACTTCGGCTGGAAGCAAACGCCAGTTTCGTGATTCGTCACTCGCCGCCCCGGCCTTCGCACACGGTACAGGATCGAGGTGCACGCTGCTGAAGCAGTGTCGTCCCCCCTCTCCATCATCTCACTGGGAGACGTCGGCGGTGATGGCGGTGTGACCGATCGAGCTACAAGAGGAGCTTGTTCAGCAGGCCTTTCCCCCTGCTGGGGTTTCCTTGTGATCTCAATTCTTCACCTTTTTGGCCGTGGAAAATTCTCGACACTGTGTTAGTGCCAGTGCGCGCCAGTCCCGTGCCCAGTGTCGTGCACAGAGGGAGCTCGTGGTAAAATTCTTTTTGTGTACTTGTGTTAGTGCCCGTGCGCGCCAGTCCGTGGCTAGTTTGGAGAGAGACAGATCGAAAATTCTTTGTCGTGCGCCAGTCCTGTGCCTGGTGTGGTGCGAGGGAGTGATTCAAAGAAAGAAAGAAAACAGACAACCCAAACGAGGGATAGGGGAGGAGGGCAGGGTCCCCACCTGCACGAGCAGGATTTTGGAAGGACGGTCAGGGGGACAGGTGGGGCTCTCCTGCTCCTGACAAGGGACACGACAGGCTCGCAGCGCGGTGCACGGTGGAATCCCAACTCCACTGGCGGTGAACCTTCTTTTCTACCAGGCTAGGATTGAGAGCAGCCTCGCTCTCAATCCTAGAAGTCGAAGGATTGTGAGCAGCACTCCTCGCAATCGTAGCATCTCTGTGCGATTGTGAGCACCCACGCTCGCAATCCTACATCTTCTAGGACTAAGAGCAGCTCCGCTCACAAGGTGACTGGTGACGCTTACGACTACTACCAGCGCGCTCACAATCCGAGCAAACTCTAGGGTTGCGAGCAGCTTGGCTCACAATCCTAGCAACATGCCTCCGATCGCGAGCAGTAGCGCTCGCAATCCTAGAACTTTCGCCGATTACGAGCGACACCGCCCACAATCCTACGACTTCTAGGATTGCGAGCGGGTCCCCTCGCAATCGGTGCGATCACTGTTTTGGATTGAGGAGACCCCCCCGGCGCGCTGAGCGCTCACTCACAAGCGCTCGCGGCTGGTGTGGAGCGATTGGGAGCGCCCCCTGTGCGCCTGCTAGAAACTAGCAGTCCTTGGATCTTTGGTACGATTGTGAGCACCGCCGCTCATAGTCCTACAAGATGTAGGATTGCGAGCGCTACTGCTCGAATTCGGAGGCATGTTGCTAGGGTTGTGAGCCAAGCTGCTGAGCTCGCAATCCTAGACTTTGCTCGGATTGCGAGCGCGCTGGTAGTAGTCGTAAGCGTCACCAGTCATTGGGAGCGGAGCTGCTCTTAGTCCTAGAAGATGTAGGATTGCGAGCGTGGGTGCTCACAATCGCACAGAGATGCTACGATTGCGAGGAGTGCTGCTCACAATCCTTCGACTTCTAGGATTGAGAGCGAGGCTGCTCTCAATCCTAGCCTGGTAGAAAAGAAGGTTCACCTCCACTGGCGGTCTCATCTCAGTCTAGCGACCTTCCTCCGGCTTCTCACCGGCAGTCTCTCACTACCACGGGCACACTGACACAGGGGTGGCAGGGGCGGCGGCATGAGTCTCCCACATACTATGCGGGCCTCACTAGAGGTGCGGCCTGCGCGTGTCCTCGCCCTTGGGAAGGTCTTGAGGGGGGAGGGGAAGGGGCTGTGTGTCTGTGCATGCATGCATGCATGCATGTGTGTGTGTGTGTGTGTGTGTGTGTGTGTGTGTGTGTGTGTGTGTGTGTGTGTGTGTGTGTGCGCGCGCGCGCGCGCATGCGTGTGCGAGCCGCCCCGTACGCCTCGAGCGCGCCGCGAGCGATAAGTGGAGGTACATCAGGAGCCGCAGCCGGCCTGCTCTATCAACCCCGCAGCCGCGGTGGCGCGACCGGACCGCGGTTCGTTACAGGCGCCTTTTGGCCCCGGTTCGAATCGTGGTCGGCGCGCGCCCTCGCGGAGCGACGCGTGGCGCGCGCGCGCGCCGCGACGCGCGCGCGTGCGCGTGCGCGCCCAGCCGAGCCGTATGCCGTATGCCGTATGCCGTCCGTATGCCGCCGCCGCCGCCGAAAGAAAGAAAGAAGACAAACAACCCAAGGGAGGGATGGGAAAAAGAAAGAAAGAAAACAGACAACCCAAGGGAGGGATGGGAGGACGGTACGCCGCCACCACACACAGGAATTTTAAGGAGAGGAGTGTGGTGCTAGCCGTCGCCCACCCTCGGGCGTCTACCACTTCCTATCTCTCTCCGCAGTTTCTCACCAATTCTCGCAGCGACCTTCATGCCACCTCGCGTTCTTCCCACTCTCGTCGTTCTCTCTCCTTCCTGCTTGCTGTCTCTTCCCCTGGCCCTGACTCATCGCTCTCCTCGGCCTCGTTCTGAGACGCCGCTGTCGTCTGCCGATCTCTTGCTCTCGCTGCTTCTCTCGCCTTTCTGCGTAACTCCGCTCTGCTCTCCGCGTATTTTGGTCCCTCGAGTTTATCGAGCATTCCTCGCGCCGGCACCTACAAACCAAAATTCTTGTCGCTTCGGGGTGGTGAGGTGTTCTCATGGACCTTGACGCGTACAGCAGCTTCGTCGCGCTCGACGTCGAGGCGTCGAAGCCGCTCTTCACCGCCGGCCTCATCGCAGGCACGCAGTACGCGGACACGGAGGACGCGCCACCCCGTCGACCGAGGCACGGCCTCGAGGTGCTCAAGCGGGGCGTGCAGTTCTGGGACACGTCGAGCCTGGTGGCGCCAGTCTCGTTCGTCGCGCACCTGGGCGATGTCCTCGCGCCCGAGGCCGCTGGCGCCCTTGCCGGCGCGCTCGCCTCCTACGGAGAGGTGGTCGCCCGTTGCAAGAGGCCGCAGTTCCACGTCGCCTGCGGCAGCAGCGACCTGCTCGCGCTCGGGCCGAAGGGAGTGGGCGCGGTCGCGCCGCTCCGGCCTGCGCCTCCCGCCGCCTCCTACTACGCCTTTGCGCCCGTCGCCGGCTGGCGCGTCCTCGTTCTCGACGCGTCCGCCGTCTCTCTTCTCGGGCACGAGCCGGGCAGCGCGGCGCACTCGCAGGCGGTGAGCTTGCTGGCGCAGGCCGTCCCGGCCGTCTCGGTTGCTGCGACGGCCGGCACAGACCTGCTCTCCCTCCCGGACCCGCTCGCGGGCGTCGAGGGCGCCGCGCGCCGCTTCCACCCTCGGGGCGGCGGCCTGGGAGAGGCGCAGCTCGGCTGGCTGCGCGAGCAGCTGTCGCTGGCGGAGGCTGCGTCGGAGCGGGCGCTCGTGCTGTGCCACCGCAGCTGCCTGAGAGACTCGTGCGTGCCGGAGGCGCCGTCTGCGAGGTGGCATGCCGTCCACGCCTCGGCTCTGAAGGCCAGCCTGCACCTTCTCCGCCCGCGCAGGCGTTGCTCTTTGATTGCGATGCGGCGCTCGCGGCGCTCGGCTCGTATGCGGGCGTGACGGCGGCGTGGATCAGCGGCGCGCCCGAGCCACCCCCGCGCCCGGCCGCGACTCTCGCGCGGCACGAACCCCCCCTCATCCCCCCCTCGCCCCTGCTCTCCTCTCCGCAGGCGCAGACCCTGCGGGAGGGTACGGGAGGGATACACACGGCGACCTCTAGCCGAGATCTGCCGAGATCTGCCGAGATCCGCCGAGATCCGCCGAGATCCGCCGAGATCCGCCGACACGTTGTCAGCCGATCTCATCACTCTCCCGATATCATCCGAGATTACTCCACCCAGTGCGGGTGGGCACGGCGAGGGACAATTCACGGCGCTCGCCCGGCAGCAGTGCGCACCGCTCCCGCCTGTGCGGTGCGGCCGCTGCTGTGGCTGTAGTGACTCTGCGACGACCTGCGATGTCAGGCGTCCACCACGTGGCCCTCTGCAGCGCGGCACACTGCGCGGTCAACGAGGATGCCTTCGGAGCGCTGCAGGTGCCCGCTGCCACCCCCACCGCTGCCACCCCCACCGCTGCCACCCCCACCGCTGCGACCGCCACACCGCCTCCGCCACTGTTGCCACCCGCCACCACTCCCACCGCCACTCCGCCATCCGCCACTACTGCCACCGCCGCATGACCGAACGGTCGTCGCACTCGAGACACACCCCCACGTCTCCCCCGCAGGTCTTCGACGGGCACCTCGCCCTGCGGATGGTCGGGAGGCAGCCCAGCCCGGCGACGCGGCCGCAGGTCTGCAGTCGCAATCGGCATGCTAGGCTAGCAGTCGCGGCAATCGTGCCACGCTCGCAGCGCCGCCACAGCCAAGGCAGCCGCAGCCACTCCTCACGCGTTGGCGGTCCGCCCCCGACTAGGGGTGGCCCGAGACGCTCGCACTGCCCAAGAGCGGCAAGCTGATCGCGGCGCCGGCCGGGGAGGGGAGCGGCGTCTTCTTCTTCTTCGTGTCGATGTGGATGGCCGTGCTGCAGACGCTGCTCGTCCCTATGGCGAGCCCCCTCCCTCCCCCTTCCTCCCGCCACCGCCCCGCGGCACCCGGCCTGCGCTGCCTAACCCCCCCCCCCCTCCCCCTTTGCTCCCCTTGCCGCAGGAGCCCCTCTTCCGCCTCCTCACCTCCAAGGAGGACAGCCCCTCTCCCGACTCGAAGCCGCCCTCCGAAGAGCCGCACGCCGCCGGCTCTGTCGCTCTCGGCCGCGTCCCCACCTCCGGCGCAGGCACCCGCACAGCGCCGCCGCAGACGCCGCCGCCGCCGCCGCCGCAGATGCCACCGCCGCCGCAGGCGCCGCAGCAGGCGCAACCTCCGCCTCGCGCAGGCGCGGCGGCGGCGGCCGCCGCGCAGTCTCGCCCCGTGCATCCGGTGACGGCGCAGCTTCCCGCCGCGCAAGCCTCGGCCAATGGAGAGGTGGAGCAGGCGGAGGAGGGGACGCTCGTCTGAGAGCGAGCAGCGAGACATGTGAAAAGGTCAGCAGGGGACAGCAACCTGTGAGATAGCGCCGCGCCGCCAGCCGGCTTGGTCGTGTGGAGAGGAAGGGAGGGGCGGGACGTATAGACGAAGCGCGTGTAGCAGTTGCGTGACTCTCGAGTTCTGTTTTTCGAGCGCACTTCGCACTCGAGTTTCGTTTTGGAGAGGCCAGAGGGTTAAAATAATCTCTTTTGCTTTTTTGCTTGCGAACTCTTTTCGTATTTCGAAAATGCGGGCGCACGCCAAGCGCAGAGCGCTCAGGCGCCGCGCTCACAGTTCATACCGCGCCCACCCCTCTCTCTTTGTACTTTGACCAGACTTACTAAACTGGCGGGCGCCGCTGCGCACACTGGGGCACCGGCGGCGGCGCCGCACATCGACTCTTGTCACACAGTGAAACCACAGAGAGACAGGTCTCGCAGGGCAGCCCGGCAGCGCTCGCTCGTGGACTACCTCTCCTTCTTCTCCTCTCCAAGCCTCTGCGCCGCCGCTGCCGGGTCCTCCTCGCCCGACGCCCACCGTTGAAGCGTGGCGCTCGTGCGCGTCGCTCCAAAGGCGCCCTGCGCGAGCGCAGCCGCCTCGGAGAGCCGCCGCTTGGCGTCGGGCGAGTCTGGCGACGGGGGGCGCATTCGCCCGAATTTCAGCATCTTCTTGGTGGCGTCGGCAAAGAAGATATAGTTGACGTACGACATGGCGAGCACCACCGCCGCGCCAACGGCGGAGAGTGCCAGGTTGCCATCCTCCACAATCTCGCGCAGGATGACCGAGAAGACCCACGCGAAGCGAAGCACGCGCGACCAGAGGATCACGGCCCACACGACGAGGACGTTTGCCTTCATCGCGCGCAGCCCGCGCCTGGTCTGGATGTCCAACGTGTAGCCATAATTCTGGGCAAACATGGCGACAGCGGCTGCGCCTTGCAGAAGGAAGACCATTTCGTGGATCCCGCGGTGTTGGGGGTAAAACACGTTGACCGGAATGACGAGCGAGAGCGCCATGGCGTGGTGGATGCCGAGGATGAGGAGGAGACCGGCTGGGTTGCGTGCGCGGCCGACCTTGCCGCCGAACAACAGCTGTGTCAGCCGAACAGCAACGTCTTGCAGCTCCCACCCAACTTCGCAGAGTGCGCCGTGCCGTGCCAGGGCAAAGGCAAGCGGAGAGGCGAAGCCGAGCGCCGACGGCAGACAGAGCGCACCGCCGACGGCGTGCTGGAACCCGACGGCGAGCATGTTGGTTGCCATGTGGAAGTGCTCCACATCATCGTCAAAGAAGACGCCGTAGGACCGCTCGTTTGTGCTCTTGCACAGAGCGAGCCACCGATCACGCCACGGTTTTGTGCTAAAGGACTGGGCAATGAGAGCTCCAAGAGTGCGGGTGATGACCCACCACGCCACCGCCTGCAGCAATCCGAGCACAAGCTGTGTGTCGAGGTCCGGTGAGGCGAGCAGGAGGTCTTGGGTCGTCGACATGTCGAAAGGATTAATGGGCGCGATCAAGGAGTGAAAAAATAAAAACCGGGGCGATTATCGACGACTCGTGATTTGGGCTCGGGGCAGCAACTTGTTAGCCCTCAGCCGAAGCTGGGGCCGGTCCCGTAGCCGAGAGAGCCCGCGCCGATGAGTTCGACGCGGTCGGGGGGCCCTGTGGAGAGGCCAGCGAGATGGCGATCGCTGTACTTCATGGTGCCCTCGGTGGGGCGGCTGACAAGCCAGAGGTCGATACTCTGGACGACCCATAGGATGCCACGAATGCCTGAAGGAGAGGGAGGCGAGGCCAGAGGCAGGCTCAGCTGCTCTCGGGTGATCTCGCTTTGGTGGCTGAAGGACCCGATGGTCCTGTCACATTCGCGTTCCGAGTCGTCGGTGGGGGTAGACCCTGATCGTCCTCACAAGATCCTGCTCGTGCAGGTGGGGACCCTGTCCTTCTCCCACCCCTCGATAGCGTGCGTTTTATTTATTTATACGACTCGGCGACGCCATTCGCGACGGCGGTTGGCTTCTAAAATCTCTACTCTCTCCCAACAGACAGGAACCGGGCAGAGACGCTCACTCTCGTTACGGCGAGCAGCGACCAAGCTAAGCAACACGGTACTGGGCTGCGTATGGGCAAGTGGCATGCAATAACGTACGTCATGACAGAGCTGCGGCTGTAGTGGACAGAGTCTGCGCGCGCATCGTTCAGACGGAGCCAGCGCGTGCAGGCAAACCGCAATGTTGGTGCCCCGAGCGCATCACGCGCGGCACGCCCACTCCACGTAGGGGAGGCCTTGGATAATGATTTCGGGGCGGCACGTGCCGCGGCAGCACTCGGACTCCTCCCATGGCCAGCGGGGCGAGCAGCGGCGCCCCTCGACGACGCCGCGGACGAGGGTGAACGGATCGACAAAGGGCGTCGCCTCGGTGTAGCCGGGGCTGTCCTTGGTGCACCACTCCTCCTGCTCCCACGCCGTGAAGAAAGCCTTCCCCATCGCCAGCGCGAGGCTCTTGGCGGGGCACGCGCGGTTCATCTTGCCGCCAGCCACGTCGTCGTCGAGCGCAAAGTCAGCAAAGCCCACAAAGTGCGAGGCGTATTCGGCGTGCGGCCGGACGCGGAAGAGGTGCCCGTCCTCCCCCCACACGTTCGGGTCCTTGTTGGCCAGCGCCAGGTTGAGGATGGTACGCACGCCAGCCACGCCAGCCGCGGTATTGTACTGCGACGCGGCGTCGTCCTCCGCGCGGGCGGGCGGCGTCGTCCACCAGGGTAGCCCGACAACGGGCGCGAAGAAGCGGATCGACTCGTAGAAGAAGGCGCCGGGGTCGTCGCGCGCGCGCAGCGAGCCGGGCGCCGGGAAAGCCTCTCCGTACGGTGCGGTGTCGCCGTGCAGCACCCACAGTCCGGTGGACAGGCCAGAGGGGACGGAGAGGCCGCCAGCAAAGAAGAGTAGGTCGAGGAGGTGCGAGGTGGCAAGGTCGACGCAGTCGGTGGTTGGCGCGCAGTCGGCGTCGCGCAGCTCGTCGCCGTACACCGACTCGACGAGCGGCCTGTACGCGTCAAAGGTGGCCGAGAGCTTGGAGAAGGTGTCGCCGGCGACGAGTTGGGTCACATCGTCCGAGAGCAGTTGCGTGAGGGTGGAGAGGGTCACGATGGAGGACTGCAGCGCCACAAAGTCGGCGGCGGGGACCGGGAGTGCCCTGTTTGGAAAGGCACGCGCCACCAGCTCGGTGTGCACCCACGCAGTGACGTCCTCCTGCACGCTGATGGAGTCTTGTGCCGCAGCCCAGTCGCGCGCGCTCGTCTGCAGCGCGCTGGTGCAGGTGGCGTCGCACTTGCCAAAGACGCGCTCAACGATGGGCCGCATCACCATGTGCTGAGACGGGGTGCTGCCGAGTGAGGCGGTCCTCGGCGACACACGCGGCCAGAACAGCTCGTTCGAGATGATGAAGCCGAGCTCGTTGCCGCGCCATGCCTTGCCCTCGTACTGCAGGCGCGGCAGCTTGGCCATCTCGGCCTTGACGTACGCGTGCGACATGTGCGAGGTCGAGTTGAGACCAGGGAAGTCGTGCTTCACCTCGCAGCCAGTGAAGCCGCCCTCGCCGTCCGGCTCCCAGCCGCTGGGCGTGCCGGCGGAGCACCAGCCCTCGGTGTAGCCCACGCCGAGCTTGAACCGCAGCAGATCTGTGGTGGCGCTTGCTGGGATCTGGCCGTGAAAGATGCCTGCCGTCGGGTCGCCGAGGCAGATCCAGCATTCGCGGGACAGACTGGCCGAGGCAATCGGATCGGAGAGCTGAAAGTCGGAGAAGAGTGAGTCGGCGCACTCTCGAGCGCAGCGGAGGTCGCGTGGCGCGGCGAGCGAGGCTGCGAGAGGGAGGAGGGCGAGCGCTATGGAGCGCATTTGGACGAGCGAGGCTGCGAGATGGAGGAGGGCGAGCGCTATGGAGCGCATTTGGAGACAACGGTGGAGCCGGCGGCCTTGCCAGGCCACCTTGCTAGAAAAGCGTCACAGGATGAAGGAGCGAGAATTCTTTTTAGGTAAGTCTGCAGAGAAGGTCCTTTTTCATAATAAGCACACATAACAAACACCAAGTGACTTCACTGCAACCCCCATCATGCACACAGAGTCGGGTCGCTGCCAGCTGCTACTGCTGGTGCTGCGCGGCACACGCCCCCCCGATCCGCAAGCGCAGCGACCCCGCGAGAGCGAGAGCGACCCCCCCGCCCCACTCCAGTCTCCACCTCCATCACCACCGGTCGGGGCCGTAGTTGAACGAGGAGCCGTACGGGTCGTTGCGGCCGTCGTACCTGCGCAAGAAGGCGGCGTCGTACCTCCGCCACAGGGCTCGCGCGGTGGGAGGAGAGGGAGGGGTAACGGGTAAGGGCGGGGAAACGCACTGGTGCCGCCCGTCGTACATGCCGCCGCCAAAGGGGGCGCCCGCCCGCCCGCCGCCGCCGAAGCGCATACCGCCCATGTCGTACCCCGTCTCGATCTCCAGAAAGCGGCCTGGCGCCGGCCTGCCCAGCCGCCCTCCCAGCCGCACGGGCCGTCCTCCCATCCCGCCCCGCATGCCGCCAGCCATGCCCATCCCGCCTCCTCCCACCCCCATCCCCATCCCACCTCCCACCATGCCCCGGCCTCCCATCCCGCCTCCCACCATGCCCCGGCTTCCCATCCCGCGCCGGCCCGCGCCAAACGTCTCAAACGGCGCAGGCCCAAAGCCGTCGCGGCCAAGCGGTGCGGCGCGCCGCGCCCCTATCGCTCGCCCGCCGCCGCCGCGCGCCGCGAAGCGTGCGTCCCTGCCGCCGGTGGCGCCGGCGCCGAAGGGGTAGGTGCCGGCGGCGGCGGAGGGGTAGGAGCCGGCGGCGGCGGAGGGGTGGGGCGCGCGTCCGGCGAGTTCGGGGGCGGTGAGGGGCGTGGAGGATTCTGGGCCGTAGTTGAAGCCGGAGCTGTAGGCGGCATTCCTGCCGTCGTGCTTGTACGGGCTGTCCCGCCTGTGGAGGGGGAGAGGGGCAGGTCGAGGCGTGCGGGCAGGACGGAAGAGGGGGAGGCGACGCTTGGGAGGGGGGGGGAGGGGGGGTGGGGGGATGTGGGGCACGCGCCTGTGCATGCCCGACCGCGCCGCGTACCGCTGATGCGTCGGCGAAGGCTGGCCGTATCGCGGGTACTGCTGCTGCTCGTACTGCTGCTGCTCGTACTGCTGCTGCTCGTACATCAGGTCGGGCAGAGGGTCGTATGAGTGGTCCCGCCGACCCGGGGTGCGGCCGGGCGAGGCGCGCTGCTGGGAGTGCCCGTTGAAATTGTTGGCATCGTACGCCCCCCGCGTCGGCGGCACGCCGCGCTGCTGGGCCGAGACGCGCTGGGCCGGAGAGGGCGACTGCGAGTACGGGCCGCCTCGGTGTGCCGCTGGGTCGGCGTAGCCATTGTACTGGGATGAGGGCTGCGGCGCCGAGTAGCTGTTGTACTCTGGGGTGTGCTGATTGTTCTCGGGCGTCGCGATTGGCGAACTGATCTGGCTCTCCGGCGAGAAGCTGAAACCCCGCCTCGGGGCATCGTAGGAGGCATCTCCGGTCGTGACCGCCGCGGTGGGCGTCGTGGCGGACTGGGAGGGGACCGCAGCGCTAGCGGCCATGGTGGGGCCGGCGGCGGACCACCGAGCGCCACCGAGCGCGGCCGGTGGCGAGAAGGCGGCCGGGAGGCTGAAGAAGAAGGCCATCCTTCGATCTTCGAATCTCGCTCCGATGTCATCTGCCAGGTTTTCGAAGATCGTAACTGAGAAAATAACCGCGCTCCGTCCGAGCCGACGACATGTGTAGATGAAGGAGGCAGGTGGCCAATAGCGACCATCTGTGGATGCCTAGGCGTGAATTTACCGCCCTAGAAATAACGTGTGGGCCCTCAGCGGAGCTGGGAATAGGACCGCCGCGAGCGGCGTGGCGTGGGAGCGGTTGTGCATCCCTCCGGGGGCCCCTCTGCGCCGGGGAGGCGTTGTTGGAGGCTAGGACGCAAGCGTCCGTCGCCCTTTTTCAAACTCGGGGCCCACTCCGCTACGCTCCGACCCGAATTTGGAGGGCCTGAAAGTTTAAGGTGTTGCTGCGCAAAAGGGGTCGGACACAGGGCGCAGCTCATGCTAAGAGCTAGAAGAGGAGATAGAGAGACAACCACACCAACACCACAAAGCTCTCTCTCTCCTGCTCCTCACTCACGAGGGGTCACAACTACCGAGTTCCTAGAGTCTAGCTGCCACGTTCAAAACCAGGACGGCGACAGTGATGGTGCTATCACGGGCATGATCAGGGGAAAGTGGAGCGGGGGGGGTGAGCGTCAGCCAGCCAGGTACGGGATAGTAGAGCAGGTGCTTTGTGGGTGGCGGTGGGCGGCGGCGCTGGGGGGCTGGCCGAAGCGTTAGCTGAGCTCCTCCCTCAAGCTCGAGCACGCATGACGCACGTTGAGTGACAACGTCGGCGAGCTTCTGGATCAGGTTAGGTTGCCGGAGCACCCATGGCTGCACCTCCAACTCCTCCTCTGAGTCAGACACGACAATGTCAACTGCGCCCTCCTCCTCCCATTCGTCGACTGCGCCCTCCTCCTCCTCCTCCAATTCGCCGACTGCGTCCTCCTCCTCCATGGGCTCGATCCGATTCCGCAGCGTGTCGTCTCCCCAGAGGCGCTGTTGCGCGGGAGGCGGCCGCGGGCACGCTGGGCTCGATCAGCGGCTTCCCCTCAAGTTGCGCCGAAAGAGCACGGATTTGGCGGACGTTCTTGGCTTCAATTTTACGGATGTGGCACCAGCTGAAGGCTTGCGTCCGACATCGCCGGATTCGTGCACGGTATTCGGATTTTGCTATTTGCTCGTGTGGGGGTATATTGCAGATTTGTCAATGGTACCGCGTCTGCGACGCGGGCGCCTTGCGAGCAGAGCCCTTAGCCACCCTTTTATCTTGCGCGGTCAAAAAATCAAAAAGAAGAGAGAGAGGAGAGAGAGAGAGTCAGAGAGAGAGAGAGAGGAGAGAGAGAGAGTCAGAGAGAGAGAGAGAGAGAGAGAGAGAGAGAGGGGGGGGGGAGAGAGAGAGTTAGAGAGAGAGAGAGAGAGAGAGAGAGAGAAAGAGAGAGGAGAGAGAGAAAGAGAGAGGAGAGAGAGAGAGACAGAGAGAGAGAGGAGAGAGAGAGAGTCAGAGAGAGAGAGAGAGAGAGAGAGAGAGAGAGAGAGAGAGAGAGAGACAGAGAGAGAGAGGAGAGAGAGAGAGTCAGAGAGAGAGAGAGAGAGAGAGAGAGAGAGAGAGAGAGAGAGAGAGAGAGAGAGAGAGAGTCAGAGAGAGAGAGAGGAGAGAGAGAGAGAGAGAGAGAGAGAGAGAGAGAGAGAGAGAGAGAGAGAGAGAGAGAGAGAGAGAGAATCCCTGGTGTGGACGCTTTTTTCATCAGATTGACGTGCTATCTGGGGCGATCCAGATCAATCCAGCTCTCTCGTTCTATCTCGCGCGATCTCGCGGCGATCTCGCCTATTCGCGAGCCGTTTTTCTTTTCTTTTTCGCGCTGCGCGCGCATAGACGCTTCCCGCCAGCTCTATATGGGTCTCGCAGCCGCAGCCGCGACCGCAGCCTTTCCTCCTCCTCCTCGTCCTCGGAGGATTCGGCGGAGCGCGAGGAGCGCATGCAGCGCGAACGCGATGATCGCGAGGGGCGCGAGCTCAAGCGGGAGCAGAAGAAGGCCGCAAAGAAGGCGGCCCGCGTGCAGACGGCGGCCACCGCCAAGGCGGCCTTGCTCCAGTGGCGCTTCCTGATCAAGCAGGACGACCCGATCGATGAGGACACCTTCGACGTGACGCTGCTCGCAAGCTGCCCCCCGGAGCTGCGAGTGGACTCCATCGTCACGGCCGAGGATTGGGGCCGCCTCGAGCCGTACCTGCGCGAGTCGTTCGAGATTCCCACCTCTGTCAAGATCGGCCTGCAGGGCAAGGTGCTGCTCAGCGGCAAGCAGGCGCTCTTCTTCAAGGTCCGCGACCAGCCCACGCTGTCCACCGCGCACTTTCAGATCGAGCGGCTGGGCCAGCTGCTTGTGGACGAGACGGAGGTCACGGTCGAGGTCGAGATCTGCGCTGTGGATGTGGGCAAGAAGCTCAAGGCCAAGTCCAAGCCGCGCACGCGCAAGCAGGAGCAGGCCTCCACCACCAAGCTCGACGAGCTTAAAAGCTCCATCTACGGCGTGACGGCCTCGACGCGCAGCTACGTGACCGGCTCGTGGAAGCCCGCATCGAGCGACATCATGCGGTCGGAGCCAGAGTACCTGGCCAAGTATTTTGAGGGCCGTGGCCTCACGGAGAAGGTGATGGGCAACGCCGACTACCACCCGAGCCCCGTGGTCCTCATCTGCCCCTTCGACTCGTGCAAGAAGAGCCACCGCGTGCTCAATGGCGTGAGCGCCGTGTCGCAGCTGTACAGTACTCGCACTGGAAGGGGAGACACGCGAGCAACCCGATGGCGATCGCGCTCGAGAAGCGGTGGCGGCTGTGGCGCTTGACAACAAGCACAAGTCGAAAGAGTGGCTCGATGCGCAACCAGGGTGTGCGCTCTGCCTCACCTGCGAGGAGGCCGATCGCCTCGGCGGCGAGGAGGCAGGCTACGAGCAGATCCGCCCCCCCAAGCTATCTGGGTGAGAACGGCGTTCTCTGGGTAAGCTCAGTTGTGAACTTCCCAGTTAATTGCTCTTGCTTGCGCGTGACCTCTTGCGTGCACGCCCAAGCTCGAGCGGCATCACGCAGAGCGAGCTCTGCGCAGGTCCCGCGACCTTCTCGGGCAGGAGCCCACCTCTCCTTCCCTCCGTGCGCCCAACGATATGGGCAAATCCGCGCCAAAGCGCGCTTCCGACGCTGACCAAGACGTACGGCCCGCAGCGAGGCAAAGGATGGCTCTAGGCCGGAGCCCCCTCCCTCGGGGGCTGGCGGGGGCACCGACGGGGCCCCAGCCGCGCCTCCCGCTCCTGTGGACTCGGCCGAGGAGCTACGAGTGCTTCGCAAGCGGCTCGAGCGGCTCGAGGCTCAAGCCGCCCAGCCCGCCGGCCGCCGCACAGCCCGACGGGGGAGACCCCCCACCGGGCGGCGGTGGCGGCGGCGGCGACGGCGGCGGAGCGGGCGGCAAGGCGGCCAAGGACCGCGAGCGGGTGCGCCCCGACCCTCCCACCCCCCCAGACTCCGACGCCGACTCGTCGGAGGACGACGTGGGCGGCGGTGGTCACCGCGGCCCCCCCCGCCTCGGCGGCGGCGTCGGTCGCGACGATGCTGTCGGCGAGCTGTTCGGCGGCCACAAGCTTGCCTGCGACTACGACAGCGACAACCCCTTCGAGCGGAAGCGCGGACTGCAGCTGCGGACCTCGCACTACGCACCAGCGGCGGGCGGCGGCGACACCGTGCACGCAGAGCTGCACCGCAAGCTCGGGGCCGCGAACTGTTCGAAAAACTGGGAGATGACATCGAGCGAGATTTCGCCGCCCCTCACTTCGCCCCCGGGCCAAGCCTCCGGTGCCGTGTCTACCCCACAGCCCCCGATTTCGAAAAACGAGAAAACACTTCGCCGCAACTTCGGGCCTGCCCGCCCCCGTTCGGCTCGCTTCGCGCGTAGTCGCGGCGAGCCTCGTCGAGGGCGCGTCTCCGCGTGCTCTCGTTTCGGCTCGGCGTTCCAACGGGCCTCGCGCCCCACGTGCACCCATGGGCAGCCAATCAATCGGCGATCGGCTCAGCGTGGTGCTGACGTTAAACCACTTCAAACTGCTCGCGGACGGGAGTGTCCCAGAGTACGCTGCCGATGTGATGCTTGCCTCACTACTCCGGTATGCGCCCGCCCTTGCCAAGTGCCCCAAGCTTCTGCTCATCTGCAAGTGCGACGAGAACAGTAGCGAGTCTTATCGCGTGGGTAGAGCGAAACAAGGGCTCCGACTTGCCAAACTCCCGTCCTTCGCCGGCGAGACAGTGATGGAGGCCAGCTCGGTCAACTACGGCCAAGAGCTTCTCTCCGCGCTCTCGGGCTGGCTCCAAACACCGTTTGTGCTTGTCATGCCGAGCTACGAAGTCCTCACCCAGCCAATTGATTGCTGCGCCATCGTGGAGGCCATGCGGGAACGTGGGATGCACCATGTTGGCTTCGTATCGGAAAACGGAGGATACAAATATCCGGTTTCCGGAAGCTGTCCAATGCCAAAGGGTCTGGTTCCGATGATCCAGGCTAGCAGGGAGTTTGGAGGCAAAAACTTTGATAAAAAGATGTTAAAACGGAGTGTGCGGGATTTTCCTGTCGATGGGATTATCGAGCATGGAGGCTTGACCTTCGTGCCTACGCCGTTTCTCTTGGACCAAGCCCACTTCGCGTCACGGGAGCTGTATGAGGAGATCAAGAGCAGTGGCCTTGTGCAAGGCGAAGGTACTATTGCGGCTACCTTCGGACTTGCCCGCACGAAGAGGCTCTTGGACGAAGGTGTGTGCATCGATGCTGGTCATGGGGTATGGCGCCTTGGACGCCACGCGCGGCAGGTGATTGGAGATGAGCGTGAGCAGGTCGTTTCCTACCCCGGTGGGTGCAATACAACAGGGGGGACTTACGTCCTCAGGACTGTTTCGAGCATGAGTCATGCGCAACTTCGTAATGAGTCCTTCCTGTTCCGATCGGAATGCGAAGACCAAAAACGCGATCGAGAAAAGGTGCGTTTAAAATTGTTGTATGACGCTGCAAAGTCCGGCGACGCCTCGAAGGTCGCTGCGCTCCTGGAGGCTGGAGCTGATCCATACCTCTGCCTTGATGACGGCTCTACGGCTCTGATGACGGCGGCCGAGGCGGGACACACTGCGGTGGTTGAAGCTCTCCTCTCGGGACGCCAGTCCTTGGTCACTGCTCGCCCAGCCCAGTCCACCCGTTGCCCCTTTTCTGCGTCATCACGATGTTGCCCCGCCCAATCCCCACACAGGTGAACAGGCGCAACCGCTACGGCCAGTCCGCACTCCGGTTCGCGGAGCAAGCTGGGCACCGAACCATCGCGACGTTGCTGACTGAAGCAGGGCACTCTCCTCTCTCGACTGTGTCGGCGCCGAGAGCGGACACGACAGCTGCTGCGAATATTGCCGTGAGTGTGGAGGATGAGGTCAAGGGTTCGATCATTGCCGCAGAGTCATTGAGCGCAAAGCTTGCTTTACATCGGACTGTGGCTGCGGCGACGGACGACGCGGCAGCGCAGGCGGCGGCGAAGGCAGCGGAAGAGGCGGAGGCGAGGGCGATGGCGGCGGCGGAGGCGAAGGGGGCGGCGAAAGCCAAGGCGGCGGCGAAGGCGGCGGCTGAGGCGAAGGTGGCGGGCGTGGCCAAGGCGGCAACGGAAGCCAAGGCGGTTGATAAGGCAAAGGCGAAGGCGAAGGCGGCGACGGAAGCCAAGGCAGCGGCGGAGGCGGAGGCGAAGGCGGCGGCAGAGGCGGAGGCGAAGGCGGCAGCGGAGGCGGAGGCGGCAGCAGAGGCGAAGGCGGAGGCGGTGGCAGAGGCGAAGGCGAAGGCGGCAGCAGAGGCCAAGGCGGCGGCGAAAGCCAGGGCGGCTGCCGAGGCCAAGGCGGCGGCGGAAGCCAAGGCGGCTGCCGAGGCCAAGACGGCGGCGGAGACGAAGGCAGTTGCCGGGGCAAAGCCTACTGCGGGGGCGACGGGTGCAGCGTCGCAGGTGCAGCTGGCGTACAACGAAGAACGATCAGCGGCAACAATCGGGGTAGAGCAGGGTCGGCAGATGTCCAAGACGGTGGCTGCTGCAGCAAACCGACCTCTCGTGAACGCGACAGGTTCGGCCGGCCTCGGTCCTGCCCGCCGAGAGGTTGCACCAGTGAGGGTAGATTTGGTAGCGACAGACGAAAAGGCGCAGACCAGGGCGCAGAAGAAGGCGCAGGTTCGCGAAAGGAAAGAGGCCATTTCGCGTGCCAAGGCGGTGGCAAGGGCCCAGCGAGTAGCCCAGCGAAATGAGCAGGTGCGGGCTCGGCGGCATGCTGCGCAGGCGGCCGCCGCAGCGCGTCGCTCCAATGCGTCTCGGCGAGCCCATGCTAATGCAGGTGCCACCCCAGTGATGGTGCCGCGCCGGCTACCGAGTGAGCGCCGCAGGCGTGGGCAGACGCCCCAACCCACCCGCTGATAATGGGGCGTGCCGCTTCTCCTCGGCTCCCAGCTGCTAGCGCTGCCCGCACATCAGCTGCACGGCTTGGCGACATAGTCAAGCACCATCGTGCCCACGCCGACGGAGAGGAAGAGGTGATGCGACGTCTATATACATACATAAGAACTATATCAGTTCATACTCACTCCCTGTG